CGCAGAATCGTCCGCCGCAGAATCGTCCGGATGACAGGCCGCAGAATCGTCCCGAGGACAGCTTCCAGAATCGCCCTGAGGACAGCTTCCAGAATCGCCCTAAGGACAGCTTCCAGAATCGTCCTGATGACACACCGCAGAATCGCCCCGGTGGCAAACAACCCGTACCCGGGGAACAACAGGGCGGCAGTAACAGCGGCGTCGACAGCAACAGTCCCGGCAGGGAAGACCAGAGCCGTGGAGGCTCTCCTGCTGATGATACACGCGGTGGTGATGAGAACAGCATCAAGAACCCTCCTGATAACGTCGTCGAGAATCCTGTTGACGGAAAAGCCCCCATCGACAGCAAAGACCCTATAAACAGCAAGAAGCCCGGCAACAACCAGGGCGTAACTGATGGCAACAACCCTGGCGAGGACCCTACCAGCAACAGCCCTGTGAATAACGACGGCGGCAAGAAAAAGGATGGCGGTAGCCAGGAAGCTCCCCAGCAAGAAGCACCAAAGCCAGAAGCCGCCCCCAAGCAAGAGCCCGGCAACAACCAAGGCACACCTGATGGCAACACCCCTAGCGAGGGTCCTGCTATCAACGGCCCTGTGAACGACGGCGGCAAGAAGCAGGATGGCGGCAACGAGGGGGCCCCCAAGCCGGAAGCCCCCAAGCCGGAAGCCCCCAAGCCGGAAGCCCCCAAGCAAGAGCCCGGCAACAACCAAGGCACACCTGATAGCAACACCCCTAGCGAGGGTCCTGCTAGCAACGGCCCTGTGAACGACGGCGGCAAGAAGCAGGATGGCGGCAACGAGGGGGCCCCCAAGCCGGAAGCCCCCAAGCCGGAAGCCCCCAAGCCGGAAGCACCCAAGTCGGCAGCACCGAAGCCAGCACCGACACCAGCAGCACCGAAGCCAGCACCGAAGCCAGCAGCACCGAAGCCAGCAGCACCGAAGCCAGCAGCACCGAAGCCAGCAGCACCGAAGCCAGCAGCACCGAAGCCAGCAGCACCGAAGCCAGCAGCACCGAAGCCAGCACCGAAGCCAGAAGCCCCCAAGAAAGAGGCTCCCAAACAAGAAGCTCCTAAGAAAGAGGCCCCCAAGCCAGAAGCCCCCAAGAAGGAGAACGGCAGCGGACAGCCCGCCAAGCCCAGCGGCGCGATCGATCTCAAGCTCGACCCCCGCAGCGCCGTCACCCTCATGAGCACGGCCGGCGGCGCGATGGCGCTGCCCGCCGCCGTCCTCTCCGGGATGGCCCGCGCGCTCGGCACCAGCTTCTCCGCGACCGACGGCCTCGGTCCCGTCGACTGCGGGCGTCTGGGCGGCGGCGCGGCGCTACTCCTGCGCTTCAGCAACGACACGGTCGAGGCGCGCGTGCCGCTGGCCAACCTGCGCGTCTCCGCCGCGCTTGCGGACCCGGCGCTCGCGGCGCGCGGCCTCTGCGAGGTGGCGGTCCGGCCGGTGCCGGACGGCGGGGCGGAGGTCAACGTGGCGACGCTGCCGTTCTTCGCGGCCGTGTATACGGTGTTCGATCTCGGCAACGGGAGGCTGTGGTTCGCGCAGGCCAAGGGCGACCCAGGCGTGCCAGGCGGCGCGCAGCTGGAAGAGTTCCCTTAACCGTCGGGGTGCCTCTGGACGTTGAGATAATTGTATAGTTCCATAATTAGATATAGAGATAATGTGCTTTCGGTTTTAGAAGATGCTTGAAATTTAATTGTTTTGATACGAGCCGTCTCCTGAAATAGGTGGGTGTTTTTCACTGGTGCCATCAAAGTTGATACAAAACACTAAAAAGCAGTGGGTGTTAGTGGTGCACCCGTCCTCCAGAACTGGTAACCGGCGCGACACTATGGGCTAGCTACAGTACCTACTGTACATACATACAGTGCATACATAGTTATAGCTGAGCTTGGCTTGGTGTGCTGTAGACCTGCAGTCCATGCTTTATTACGTTAGAAGAACTAGAGAGAATGGCATACGGCCTGAACTGAATGCAAGCCACACGGGTTAGGCAAATACATCGCTGCAAGCTGCGCGGGGTTAGGCAAGTATGTAGGCGCGAAGCCGCAGCCAAGTTAGAGGTGTTTAGTGGAGGAAGTGAGGGGATCCTCAAAATACCGAACCCCGAGATTGTTCCATCTCACACCACACCCCACCAACAATCGCGGGTTGGACGGCGTGGGATTTAGTTCGCGGCTGGACAAAGACGAAGCCGGCCGATCCTAGAAAGAAGGGGCAAAGTTAGGGTCACCCAATGCCGAACAAGCTGCGAAGCCATCCCGGCTTCCCTGGTAACACCCGCCGGGCGAATGGCGCGGCCGTTCGCGGGCCTCGTCCTTGGGCCATGACGTTTCCGTGTCGCAGCAGGCAACCCTTTGGGCTACACCCTCCACCCTCTATTATGTGTACCACTTCTTGTAGGACTTTTGAGGTGAGATTGGACGAGGCACCGGGAGGGGGCGTCTCCGCCGCAAAGGAGGGGTAAACAGCTTTGCCCAGACGAACATCGAGAATGAAGCATATATATAGCTGGGCGGTGCTCGCTCACAGCTGCTGCACAATCCCTTCCCCCCTCCCTTTCATTAAGCTTCATCTCTGACACATACAAATTACTTTTCATTTTCCATCTTCCGAAACACGGTAGTCCTAGTGCACCGCATTACTTACTATAAAAGCAAGCTACTTGCATACCTCCCCCCTCCCGCCTTTCGACCTCATATAAACACACACACACACACACACACACACACACACATACAACATCATTCAAAATGGTATCTTTCCGCCCTCTCTCCCGTTCTCTGCCTCTGGCGGCATCGTCTCGCGCGGCATTCTTCCACTCCTGCGCTCCCTCGCCTGTCCTCCGACACGCCGCCTCCGCTGCCACCCGGCGCGCTGCGGCGGCGGCGCCCGTCTTCGGCAAGCTGGGAGCGGCCGCGCCGGCCGCCATGCCCTCATCGTTCCGTGCGCTGACCACTGCCCGCGAAAAGGTCAAAGTTCTTCTTGTTCTCTACGACGGTGGCAAGCACGCCGAGCAGGTTAGTGGTGTTTTTTTTTTTTCTTTTTTTTTTCCCATTGACAGCTTTCCCCCGCCATTTCGCGCCCTGGGATCGAGGCCCTCCCTCTTTTGCTTGGCGTGCCACATCGCCGATGGCAACCAGAACGCAGCAGCATATTGCAGAGTCGGTTACGCAAGGACTTGCTGGACTTTCCTCCCAGCCTGATCTTGCTAGCGTTTCTGCTAGTGATTCAGCCCCCGCGCTTGACACCTCAAGAATGCGGGGGAGGAAGCTCCTGCGGGTCTCCAGATCGACGACGCTATCACTCTTGGAGCCGGGCCGGCTTGCTTCTCATGCTCCAAGTCGGCAAAGATGCTAACATGTTTGATTCTCACACCAGGTTCCTGAGCTCCTCGGCACCACCGAGAACGAGCTCGGCCTCCGCAAGTGGCTCGAGGACCAGGGCCACACCCTCGTCACCACCTCGGACAAGGAGGGCGAGAACTCCAAGTTTGACCAGGAGCTCGTCGATGCCGAAGTCATCATTACCACTCCGTAAGCCGACCTCGTCTCCTTGTATCCCCTCCTCCCTCCCACTAATACCCCCCCGCAGCTTCCACCCCGGCTACCTCACCGCCGAGCGCCTCGCCAAGGCCAAGAACCTCAAGCTCGCCGTCACCGCCGGCATCGGCTCCGACCACGTCGACCTCAACGCCGCCAACAAGACCAACGGCGGCGTCACCGTCGCCGAGGTCACCGGCAGCAACGTCGTCTCCGTCGCCGAGCACGTCGTCATGACCATCCTCGTGCTCATCCGCAACTTCGTCCCCGCCCACGAGCAGGTCGAGCGCGGCGACTGGGACGTCGCCGGCGTCGCCAAGCAGGAGTACGACCTCGAGGGCAAGGTCGTCGGCACCGTCGCCGTCGGCCGCATCGGCGAGCGCGTCCTCCGCCGCCTCAAGCCGTTCGACTGCAAGGAGCTGCTCTACTACGACTACCAGCCGCTGTCCCCCGAGAAGGAGAAGGAGATTGGCTGCCGCCGCGTGGAGAGCCTCGAGGAGATGCTGGCCCAGTGCGACGTCGTCACCATCAACTGCCCGCTGCACGAGAAGACAAAGGGCCTGTTCAACAAGGAGCTGATTAGCAAGATGAAGAAGGGTGAGTCCCCCCCTGCCCCGTGCCCCGTGCCCCCCTTTAGTCATGAGCATTCATGGGAACTAACATGTCCGGCAAGGCTCCTACCTCATCAACACCGCCCGCGGCGCCATCGTCGTCAAGGAGGACGTCGCCGCCGCCCTCGAGTCCGGCCACCTCGCCGGCTACGGAGGCGACGTCTGGTTCCCCCAGCCCGCGCCCCGCGACCACCCGCTGCGCACAGCCAAGAACCCCTTCGGCGGCGGCAACGCCATGGTCCCCCACATGTCCGGCACCTCCCTCGACGCCCAGAAGCGCTACGCCGACGGCACAAAGGCCATCCTCACCAGCTACTTCTCCGGCAAGGAGGACTACCGCCCCGAGGACCTCATCGTCCACAAGGGCGACTACGCCACCAAGGCGTACGGCCAGCGCAAGTAGAGGAAGAGCAGAGCTCTGTCGTCTGCGGTGGGAGGAAAAGGAATTCTCCCGACATTTAATGAAGTGTATTTCTTTGTGCTGACAGTTTGCTGCACCGACATGATCCTGGGCAACGGCTGTGTATATCTATAGGTGTAGCTAGCAATGCATCCTATCAACTTGCTTAAGATCAGCATGTCTGTGCTCGTACTAGTGCTCAGCAGGACTCACCCCATCATGCTCCTAGAATAATTGAATTGTATTGACGTCGTTGAATTAATATTGTAGTATGTACCCAATTGCAGAATACAAGTCGTGGAATGCAGTCCAGGTCCCCCCCAACGCCCGCCTATGCTAATTGTTACTGTAATGGTCATGTTCCAACAAGCTCAATAGAGGAAATAATACAAAAACGAATCTGCAACCTGACAGTTGAAAAGCTCAAACCCTCAGAAGCTGCATGCACACCGTCCGCTCTCCAAGACCACGCTCATTTCCAAAACTGCCACCACTTCTTCTCATGATCGCCCATGCCCTTGCGGTCCCGGCCGTGCACGCGCAGGAAGTAGACGGGCACGCCGGCCACGACGAAGCCCACCACGAGCAGCGTCTGCAGCGGCTGCGCGAACACGGCGCGGCTGAGCAGGAACAAGCTCACGCAGCAGAAGATGATGGGCGTCGTGATCCATGTCTTATATGGGCGGTCAAGGTGGGGCTCGCGCACGCGCAGCACGATGAGCCCGAGGACCGTCAGGAAGTAGAACGTGTACCCCGCGACGCCGTAGAACGTGACGAGCGTCGAGAACTCGCCGACAACGCAGTAGGCCGCGGTGAGCGCGCAGTTGAGCAGCATCGCGTAGACAGGCGTGTAGAAGAGGCCCGTGTCCTCATCGTCGACGCAGCAGCGGCGCAGCGCCTTGGCGAGCCGCGAGCGCGTGCGCTGCGTCGATAGCGCGTCCTCGAGCGGCCGGTCGCCGAAGCCGATGCGCCCAAAGACGGTCGGGATGTAGCCCTCCTTGCCCGCGACGTAGATGAGGCGGCCCGCGGTGAAGGTGGACGAGTTGAGCGCGCCGAAGCAGCTGCAGCTGACGATGAGCGCGATGACGAGCGCGCCGGCGGGGCCGAACACGCGCGAGCCGAAGAGCACGGCTACGGTGTTAGAGCTGTTGATGGCGGGCAGCGGCAGCACGAGGAAGTAGGCCACGTTGGCGAGCACGTAGCAGAGGATGACGAGCGGCATGGCCGTGTGTATGACGCGCGGGAGGTCGCGACTGGGGTTTCGGAACTCGCCAACGACGTAATTGGTCTGTTCAGAGAAGAAAAGGTCAGCATGGCTTCGCTGTTGCGTACAGTTTCAATTTTTCTGCGCTTACATTGTCCCATCCGTCAAATGCCCAGAGCCCGGCATATAGGGCGAGGGCCCACGCGGACAGGTCACTCGAGGTGCCCTCGAACCAGTCGTGCTTCTTCCACTCCAACGTGGGCTCGCCCGTCAGGGTGTGTCCGGTGATGGCGACGACAATTCCCGTGACAGTGATGAAGATGAGGGCGACAAACTTGAGAAACATGAGCCAGTCATTGACTCGGGTGCCGACGCGCGTAGAAATGCAGTTTAGCAGGGTCACGGCGAAGATGCCGACGAGCGCGACGGCCTTGCAGACCCAGGGACTTATGGTTTCAGCGTCGGCGCCGATGGCGGCCCGGACTAGGTACTCGCCCATGATGATGGCGATGATGGCCGCGCTGCCGGGCTTGAGGACGAGCACGGCGGCCCAGGTGAAGAGGAAGCCGGCGAGCTCGCCAAAGGTCTTGGCGAGGTAGACCTGCGCACCGCCGTTGAGGGGGATGGCGCCGCCGAGCTCGGCGAACGACGCCGCGCCGGTCCAGGCGAGCAGCCCGGCGACGACCCAGACGACCAGCCCGGCGCCGGCGGAGCCCACCCGCGAGCTGACCTGGCTGGGCGATGAGAAGATGCCGGAGCCGATGATGAGCCCGACGATCAGCGACAGGCCGTTGAGGTAGGAGAGGGTCTTGTGCTTCTCGAGGGAGCCGCCGCCGAGCGTGCCGCCGCGGCGCCCGGCCGAGGTGGGCGCGCCGATGGGCGCGTAGCCGCCCGCGCCGGCGGTCGACGACAGCGGAAACAGGTTGGCGGCAAAGTCAAAGGTGGACGAGACCGAGTAGGAGCGGCCGAGGCGCGCGCCGGCCGGGTTGTCGCGGTCGAGGGGGTCCTCCTCCTCGACGAGGGAGAGCCGCCGCGACGAGGAGATGCTGGGTCGCGAGGACAGTTCTGATGATGTTGACGTGGCAGCGGCGGTGCCGGCGCCATTGTCGTGCATGACGCTGGACGAGGCGAGGGAGGCGAGCTCGAGCGAATCGCGCGTCTGCGACGGCAGCCCGCCGTTGTATGCGGGCATCGTGTGTGTGTGGAGGTCGTCGGTTTGTATCGGGGCTGGCTATCGAAATGGATGGGATCGCAGCACGGGGATGGGGAGAGTCGGAGGGCCTTCTACTGACGGCCCATAACGCATTCGATGGCGAGACGGTTCGGTAGCGTGGTGAGGGGGAGGAGCTGCAGTCGCGAATCAGGAGGTGTGGTTGTTTGAATGTCGTCCATGCGCTGGCCTGACTGCAGGCAGTGTGGTGCTTGCCAGTGGCCAAGACACAAGGCGTCGGGATGCTTGGTCCTGCGATTCGACTTGTGCAGGTAATGGGGAATCGTAAAATCAGATGCTATAGCTGATGCACGCTGAAAACTGTCGAGTTTGGGCGATGGAAAATTGAAGCCTGGACAAAAGGGGATGAGGAGAGACGATGCTGTTTGGTGGGTTTAAAATTGGTACCAAATGATACGCTGGCCAAATCGTGGTCATTTTTATTAGCGACTTTTCGGTTATCACCGCACTTGACACTCTCGCAATAGGGGTTGAAGGAACGACAGGCCAACGATCATTTCTACACGTTATTAATCTATCCCATTATGCTCTCATATTTCTCCTCCCATTTTCGGATTTCCCTGTATTTTTATTTTTTATTTTTTCCAATTTTACTTGAACTCAAAAGTTTCCCAGTACGACCTCGTTCAAATTGGGCGTCGGCCAGAAAGCTAACTCGTCCTCTAACACTATCTAGCATGGAACCGTAAATTTCAGGGAACTGCCGTCTCCCATTCCCAAAAAGGGGGAAAGAAAAGAAAACGGAGAAAAAGTCATGGATGGTATCTTTGCTTTCGCAATCGCTAAATCCTAGTGGTGCTTCCACCTCGTAGCTCCTGCAAGGGAGCAGGAACGCGTCTCAAAAGTCAGACAATGGCGTTTCGTTTAACGTCAGCTGCCTCTAAAACGCATTAGTTAGTATATAATCGACGCTAACCACCGAAATACACGATTGATGGCTCAAATACTGACTCTTGTGATTCATCTTCTATGAGATTGAAACGGTACCCTGTAGCTAGGTGTAGGGTAATCAATGTACTCTGCCAGAGCAGTGAGGAGTGGCTCAGTAGTTGAGCAAATCTCACAGAAATTTATCAGACAACACCTCATCCTATGCTTACTTATCTAATACTTATCCTTGGTTTTATTTCCTTTTCCAAAATTTATTTCCTTTACAAATTGCCCTCTTCCTTTTATTTTTAGTCCGGCGCGCTGTATTAGCCAAGTCGTGAACGTCTTCGTTAGGTAATCCCTGCTCATTGGTGGAGCCAACCTTGCACCTCATCTCAAGCTTCTCTTCGCAACCACATCCCGTCTTCTCACACCAACATCGCCACCAAGTCTCATCCAATCTCATTCAATCAGTGGCTAATTCACAAGTAGCAGCCATGCCGTCCGACGACTACTCACTGTCGCGCGGCGGTGGCGGCGCCCTGAAACTAAAAGGCGCCAAGGTCGACAAGAAGAAGAAGAAGAAGAAGAGCCGCGCAAAGACGGACGTTGAGAAGAACCTCTCCGCTGGCGGTGACGGCGGCGAAGACGACGACGCATCTTCCTCTAAGGAACTTGTCGCGAGGAACCGCGATGCAAGCCAGGAAGCGGGCGATGATGACGAGGATGTGACGCCGACGCAAAAGACGGAGTCGCAGCAGCAGCACGAAGAGGCCAAGAAGAAGAGAGTACGTTTCACCCATGTCTACTCCGATATGCTTATACTTTCGCCGTTTCGTCTACTTTTTCGTTTGGTTTCATTGCCCTTCATGCCTTTTCAATGAATACATTTATGCTAATCGTCATAGCTGCTCAAAATGGCAGAAAAGTCGGGATCCCGCCCTGAACTGCTAAAGACACACAAAGAGCGCGTCGAAGAACTCAATACCTATCTTTCCAAACTCAGCGAGCATCACGACATGCCCAAAATTGGACCCGGCTAGCCTTTTACGTTTGCACAGTTTGCCACTAGTTTTGTATCTCGGCCCATCATCTCGGCGTCTGGCGTTGGCCGCCTTCATTTTCAATACACACGTTCAACATGGCGCAGCCGTAATTAGTGCATGTGCAATCTTAGTCTATGGACATTCCATCATAAATCAGTGTAGCCGGCCGTGTTCGGCACCGATCCAAATCTATCTTTTCACAACCCCATTACTTCCAACCCCAAGTAGTATGCCAACTGGTAAGGAAACTAAAAGAGATGCTATGACGCCATGAATAAATAGTAAAATTGTCAATTTTCCTCCACTCCTGGTTCCAAAAGACGCAGCTTGTAGTGCATGCTGGTCAGCTTAAATCATCATCACGCCGGCAATGATGCCCGCCACACCAACAGCCACGGAACCAGCAGCGCCACGGCCATTGGCAGCGTTCTGCAGGCTAGGATCGGTTGAGCCAGTCGATGAAGGGCGAATCTCAACCCAAGAAGTCGATGTAATGGTCTCAATACCGCCGTCGCCGTTGGTTCGTGTAAAGGTTTCCTGCACAGCGCTCGAGGTAGTGACGGTGCCGGTGGTGATCGTGCGACGCGGAGTAGTCTCGGAGGGAGTAGATGAGGTACTTGGTGCTGTGAAAATGTTAGATCTTGAGTATGAACGATAACCGAGATATAACGTGGGCGAAGTTAGACGAATGGCTCTTCAGAAGGGAACCAGATCAAGTGCTCTACAAAGAAAAGCTTCTATATAGGCTTTGAAATGAGGCACGGGATAAGTTGAGCGGGAATGACGCCTGGCAAACCTAGGTGCAGACCGCTTGGCAACTTCACTGGCGCTAGACGTGTTATCCAATGTTTGATAGCATCTGTGAGGATACTGAAGAGCCAGTGATAGACTGCACTTCTAAAAGCAAACCTCAAAGCTCCCGCCCTGTGGAGTAGATTTGCGCTGAAAGGGAGATGTGACAAAGCCATGAGAATGGCAGCGAAGGTAGAGGAGAAGAGGGGATATAAATAAACGAGAGTAAAGCGAAATTTGCAGTATCTGCGTTCAATGGGCATGATGAACTAGATATCATGTTGGAGACACAAATTGGGGGAGGGGCGGAAAATGGAATAATGCTTTGCCGTGAATCATAGGGTGCTTCATAAGGGAAGAAATGGAGGGGTCAAGAGCGAGACTATGGGAGCAAAGATTTAAGGCAAGGCTGGGGGCTTGATCTTCTCAAGGAGCTGGAGGGAAAGACTGACGTGGAGGATCAGATGATGCAGACGGAGAAGAAGAAGAAGAAGACGAAGGAGGAAGAGACGAGGTTAAGGGTTGCTCTGCAAAAGAAGAAGACTGACGTGAAGTAGAAGATGTCGAAGAAGGGGTAGGGGGAGGCACAGACGATTCTGGTACAGACGTACCAGATGAGAAAGTAGTTGGAGTATTAGGAGAAGAAGAAGAAGCAACTTCGGTGGTTGAAGTTGTAGGAGACGTACCCGAGGTGGAGACCGGAGGAGGAGCCGATTGTGAGGTCGATTTAGAGCTGGAGGGAGGGGCCTGGGAAGTCGGGACAGATGTTGGCGGGTTGCTTGAAGGACCTTGTGAAGACGCCGGGGGAGACGAGACCGGGCTGGATGAACTCGGCGAAGAAGCAGGCGAGGAAGATCCGGGCTCCGATTTTCCGGTTGATGAAGTCCCAGTAGGGCTGCCGCCAGGCTGGTGAACCGTCTCAGTTGTCACGACTGTTGAAGTGACGGTGTTGTCAACGGTCTGGGTAGCGCCAGTGTCTGCGAAGGCGTTAGTACAAGCCATTTGACGCCGATGGCTGGCGCAGAGATGGGCTCAATTGATTGAGTAGAGTTGGACCACACCAATTGACCAATCATTGGGGGAAATAATGACTTACTGCTCTGCTGGCTCTCGCTGGCCTGGTTCGAGTTGGCGGGCGGGATGGTGGTATTACTTCCAGTAGCCTGGCGCTTGTCAAGGATGACGGCGTGGTTCTGGACAGCACCTGCACGACGGCAGGGTCCGCCAGCGGCGGCCAGGCCCATCAAGGCCACGAGGCCAATGAAGGCAATGATAAGAAATCGACGAAGAGGCGACATTTTGCGGTTCTCCTGTGTTCCGGGGCAGGTATCGGGATGTCCAAGGGCGCGGTCTCCAAAACCTCTTCCAGAACGTTGCGACTTTTCTTCTTCCTGGTGCTGCTTTCTCAGTAGTCCAGCCTCAAGAGAGGTGTCGTGCTGCATGTCGGAGGACATTTCTGTATATATATTATGCAGAAAGGAAGAGAAGATAAGAGGAGGAAGAAGAGGAAGCGCAAGTTCAGTTCAAGGTGCAGAAGAAGCAGGGTCGGAGCGGGAAAAAAGCGGTCCCAACAAGTTTTGGCTTGCCTCAGAGGAAGAAAGTAGGCGGGCAAGCTTGCGATCAGGTTCTGTGTGATGTGCAACGATGGTTGGTGTGTGGTGTGTGCGTATACGTCGTGCGATGCTGTCTGCCGACGAGATGGAGAGGAAGGTTGTAGATGAATGACGGCAGGTATGGGTGGGTTGCAGTGTGTTTGCAGGCAGCCTGACTGTCTGAGAGACTTCTGTGGGTGGTGGTGGTGGTGGTGGTGGTGCCGTTTGCTGCAGTGCTGTGGCAGCTGTGAGGTGGCGGGCAGCTTGAGGTGCTCCGCTTTCGCTGAAGGTGGACCTGGGCCGGAGGAGGACAATGGGGCAACCCGGCCTTTCTTTTTTTCTTGGTCTGCTGGGCGCGGAGGGGCCGTGTTGCCGACAATGGAGCTGTTTACACGAGGTGGTGAGATCGCTAGTCGGAGCTTGGGTGGAAAGTTTTGGTGGTGGTGGATTTAAAAATAACCAGGGTGGTGTTGGTGGTGGTATTGGTGGTGGTGCGGGTACCTATGTATTGTATGTACATAGGTTGGGATGGAAGGAGGCGGCGCAGCAAGGTACATACATAGATACTCAGGTTGATTTCATGGGTGAAAGCGAGACAAGGCGGCAATTGTCGGCGTGTATATCAATGTGCGAAGTGCTCCGTAAATCGGGCTGGGACAGCAAGCCTGAAGTTCATTTCGTAACATCAAACAATACCCATGGATGTCCTTTGTGATTCACATAATCAGCTCGGTATCGCCATCTGAGTCCCGAAAAGCCCAGTTCGACGCCACAGCCTGGGCGAGGCCCACAATGACAGCATCTTGTAACGCTTTGCAGTGCAATTGCCCTTGGGCTGCTGGGGGCTGTAACCGCGCTATTATCATCATGGCTGCCCGGAGCCACTGGGCCGGCACTAACTGAGACCGTATCGCCAACTGCCTCCCGTCCCAGCTTCGCCCCAAGGCAGCCGCCTCTGTAATTCTAGTCTATATCCGTACTTCCCATTCTTATGATAGAATGGTGACCGAATTTATTGCCTTTCCCTTTCATTTTCTTTTAGACGCACCATCCTAATAACCCAGCTCGGCTCGCTTAGGTGTGGCGCGTCCAGTCGGTGGGACAGCCAGCGTCAGCCAAGCCACCGAAATGCCTTGGAAGAATACGAGACATGTCAACCTCTCTTCTCCAACCTCGTTTTGCTGTCTTGCTAGTTTTAGCGTGCAGCTACGACACCCGTGCAACCACCATCATGCCTGATTCCTATTGCATCTCACGAACAACGCAGGATGCCCTTTGTTAATTCTTCGCGGCCTGCTGCCGAGTATGGCCTGCATTGACATGTGCGGAACGCACTACACCGTGGTCGCGTCCGCGCCGAGAGTCTGCCCCTGGAAGCAAACGACAACGAGAACGTCGTCACCAACATTCAACCACTGAACAAATAGCCTTGCCGTTGTTACAAATCGCTGCCCGGCTGTCATGGTCCGATGCACTAGTTCGAAACCGTAACGATCCGTGGGCAGGCCGCGCTACGCTACCAGCACCAGTCTCAGCCCTTGTTGCGTTGTTCCCTGCCTGTTTCCTGGCATCACGACTTTAGCACCAGAACCCAAAGCCCGACTATAGCTAGAAACCCCAGGCAACACCCGCCAAGTCCGGACCTCGGGCTCAGAGCTCGGCGGGCCTGCATAAAAAAACTGAGCTTCCCTCGCTTCGTTCAGCTCGACAAGCCCACAGAGCGCGGACTGTGCCCACAGCCTGGTGGACTGGTGGTGCCACCTTCTTCAGCGTCTGTACCCAGTGCGCGGCGGCGTAAACTTTGTCACGCCCAACAGGCTGGCTCCATCAGCGATAGGTCCGCATCGAATGCCAGCTTGTATTCTGCCAGCTACGGTATCCAGCTGAGCTGTTGTGCTGGCATAGCCCGATTCGCCTCCACCTATTGCCGTTTCTGTGGCGCGCTGTGAGGCTCTGCTTGGGCTATTACGGGTTGCTTCCATCATCAGCTGGGAAGCCTCGATCATGCTGCGCCTAGTTCTCATGGCACATAAAAGTCATGATGAATCGGCACCCCAATCATATTTCTAAGCCTATGGAGTAGTACTTTACGCCTCAGTGAGTGCAGCCTTTGTCTATTACTTGGGTTTCTGGTCCGTTCGTTACTCGTCCATGCTACTGTTGAAGCCCAACTTGCCCCATTGCTGAGGGCAAAATTCAGTGGCTGGTGAGACATTCTCTGACAAGACCTGACAGCTTCTGCAGCCTGCCCGAGCCTGCCCGCCAACCCGTCCCAGCGGCCCCGTAAAAGAAGTTCCGCGCCAGCCGACTACTCCATCCCAAGCCCCCCATAGCTCTTGTTGGCGAACGTCGTCGAATGATTCCATACTGTTGACAGCTTAACGACATCAACAATATGAGCTGGGCGAGGGGGATAGGCGGGAAACAGGTAAGGAAAGAGAACCCGTTTCATATAGCAACTATCGTCTGCAATAGTTTGCCATGCGACAAAGTCCGCATCGCGAACTGATATAGACACGCCCCGTATAGAGCACGAGTCAAAAACGTTGCCGCATAATGTTGCGCAATGCGTTTAACTCTCTAGTCAGCTGCTTCTGCCATCCATCACAGTACGTCATTCTCTGGAATTCCGTGTACATATTTGGGGCCTTTGGGAATATTGACAAAGTGGAAGCGACGAGCCTTGGCAAACTCTGGTTCCCCATACAGGCCTGTCGATGTTACGTTCGCCTGGTGAGCCAGCTAGTTTGCGAGCGTAGCCAGCTGCATCTGAAAGTTCAAGCCATGAGTCCGCTATCAACGTCCAGATTAGAGCAGCGCATCACGAAAAAAACAGACCGACTGTCGATCATTTCTCCAGCGATGCGCCTTCTTTCCGTCTGCGCGTGGGCCACTATCTGGCTGCGAGTTCGAGAGGTAGATATCGCTCCACCACAACTGCGGTTTGGATAGCATTGTGGGTGTAACGACAGTGCGGCAGCTCACTCATATTGCTGTATCAGACCTGCATATCTAAAATTTGTCGTCATTATTGATAAAAATTAGTTCTAATAATAACAGCAGACAATATCAACGATGCTTAAGAGCCAAAAGGAAAGGTAGGCGGTACTTGTACTGCTCAGTGAGAGCACACTTTCAACATTTCCACTTGCCTCTTACCTCGCGTCTCATATTCACACCTTCACAGCCAAACGGAATCTCGCTCTTATTTCTGCTTGGCCAGCGGTACAGACAGGAGATGCATAAAAGCGGCGTATGCGACACTGTGCCGTCCGCATCCCAAAAATTCAGCGCCTCGCTATGTAGACAGAAGATGGGTGAAAGCGGCGTATTGGGCTCTGGGCCACCCACACACAAAATCCCAGCGCCTACCCTCTTGCGAAATTGGCGCCGCGAAATTGGCTCATCATCCGTGTTCGAGCTTCACACGTTAGGCAATCGACGTATTGCTCATCAATATCCGTGAAGTGAACGAGATTAGCAAGATGAGCCCACATGAGTCGAGAGCCACGCTCTCAGACAGCATGAGGGACTGGGCCTTGCGCCAACCTATGTTTTTCGTGGCCTCGGCACCACTACGTGGCCGCCATGTCAATCTTTCACCCAAGGGTCTTCCAGAATCATCGCTCGCCGTCATAAACTCTGGTCAGGTCGCATACATCGACTCGATCGGCACCGGATGCGAAACAATCGCCCACGTCCGCGAGAATGGTAGGGTGACACTGCTGTTCTGCTCTTTCGACAAGGTCCCGCGCATCCTGCGTCTCTATTGCGCCGGCACCGTCGTAGAAATTGATGTACCCGAATATGCTATTTGGTTGAAAAAGTTGGGGGAGAAGAAGCTGGTCGCTGCCCGGGCCATCATTGTCCTCGACATCTTCAAGGTTTGTTGCGCCTCAACCCGCGCGCGTTAACGCGACAAGAACCAGGTTGGAACTGACATCTGACTCGGCACAGGCACAGTTGTCGTGCGGATTTGGCGTTCCGTATCTAGGCCTCGATCCTGATGCAGCGGCAAAGGAACCTACACCGCGCCTGCTCACGCGTCCGCGGCTGGACCAGTTTGGCCAATACACCGTCGATCGAGGCCAGTTGCAGGACTACAAAAAGAGACACAACACTAGAAGCTTGGACGGGCTTCCCGGACTTCATTGCGCTCTCCGCGACAGCGGCCAGAGCGTTTGGTGGGCCGAGTGTCAAAACTGGCACTGTCGGCATCAGCCTACAATCGAACGGGTTCAGATGGGCATCATACTTGGGCTGCTTCTCCTATTAGCTCTCTAGGTTTGAAACTGCAGTGGATCTATGTAAACCTCGTTCTGAATGCATCTCGAATGGCCATCAAAGTGTGTACTTCATCCGACGCGTGGTCGGCGTCAGCGAGTTTGGTTCTGCCCAACTCCCAACCACTACTGTCGGTCCTCAGACTGGATCTGGTTGACGACTGTGTCAAGCTCATGACAAACGGTCTTGACCTCTTCAATAGTATTGTAGTGAACAATGCTAATGCGGATCAATCCGTCGCGGCTGTCTGGTCTTAGAACGTCTCGCGTCGGTCGAGGCGCGAGACACTCGCCCGCAATGAGGCGGACTCGATTTCTCGAGTTGATGCGCGAAACCACGTTGCCCGATTGCTGGCCGCGGACTTCAAACGTAATGATGGACACGCGCTGCGTCGGGTCTGACGTCTGCCTCCCAAAAACACGGTACGTGGTGGGCTTGCCGAGGAGGTGGTCGAGCACAATTTTGGTCAGGAGGGTTTCCTGCCTCACTACGGTCTCCCACCCGACCGCATCCTGCAAGTAGCGAACGATGGGGCCGCACATGCTCTGCATCTCAAACGAATGCATGCCTAGGGCCAGCTTGCCTTCGAGCGAGCTGGTAGGGATGAAGAAGTGGTTTAGGCTGGTCATGTACCGGTCCTGCGCCGAGCGGCTGCCATACAGGGTCGCAAAGTGCGGCCCAAATACCTTGTACCAACTGAAGCAGTAAAAGTCGACGTCGAGGGCCTTGACGTCGACAGGCCGGTGTGGTATGCACGCCACCCCGTCCACGATGAGCATGCAGCCTGGGGCTTCGTGGACAACACGGGCGACTTCCCGGATAGGATGGATGCTTCCGATGACGTTGGACACGTGGTTGCAGGTCACTATGCGAGTTTTGGGCGTCATTAGTCGTTTTAGAGTCTCAACACTCAGGCGCGGGTCATCTGGGTCGTCCTGGTTTGGAGACCACCACTTTATCGCGACGCCAAGGTCTTTCGCGAGGTGAATCCAGGCGCTGGCCATCGCCTCGTGGCATAGGGTCGAGCATATGATCTCGCAATCATTGTTCAAGTATCCTTTGAGAGAGAGCCCAAGCAGCCGAAATAAGCAAGTTGTTGACTGGCCGAATGCTGCAGAATCGGGCGGTGTCAGAAGTTGCAGCATATGAAGCCGCGGCGCTACCCGTGGTGAATCATTGATGACTTACTGATTTCATCGGGACTTGCATTCAAGAATCCAGCGACCGTGTCTTTATTATTCTTGTATGCATATATTGCTGCCATGCTCTTCGGATCCGATCCTCCGGGCATTGGCATTGACTGCATGAGCGTGCTGGCGCTATATTTTCAATCAGCGCAGCTCAATCGTCAACACTCGCCGTGCTGAATTGTGTTCAACGGCACTCGCGCACCTTTCGATTGCGTCTTTCAGAACAACGGTTCCGGAAGCATTATTGAAAAGCGCTGTTCCTTCCGGTAGCCCTGGGAATCGCGCTCTGATCTCAGCAATATTGACGGCATCTTGTGGGCTCGTGTCTAACGTATCGTTGACGCTTCTGTCGACACCGCTGCAAGAGGTTTCAAGGACCATGGTCGCCGTATCTGATTCGACTCTTTATTCTCTCGAAATGAACAATATGGTTGGTATCCGCAGCGACAATCAGCCTTTTTTTTTAAGACGTTGGCTTCGCACCCTGGAAGTCCGCGCCAAATTGGCGCCAGGTTGCATGACATCAGCGCCCTAACTCAGAGTGAGTTCATGAGGATGGAAGGGAATCCGAGATGAGTTACGCACTGAAGCTTGAAGATTGACCTACGATACAAAGTGATGGAGTACTCAGCAACACAACGCGTCGCTATCCTTGGCGCGGGAGCCAGTGGTATATTCTCGGCGGCCCATCTCATCGCCAGCGGTATCGAGGTTGAAGTGTTCGAGCGCAATGCTGCCCCTGGTGGCGTATGGTTAGCTACAGCACGATGCACCATAATAGCCACGGTAACTAACACGAGCTAGGCTTTATGATGAAAGGCCAGCTCTTCCCCCGCCGTTCCCGTCTATAAAGGCGTCCAAGGCAGATGCACCATTGGCGGCCTGCGAGGACGGCGAAGATGTCACTCTCCGGCGTGCTCCACCAGGGTATGTTTGAGTGGTTATTGTAGAAGATGCAAAGCTAAGCCTCATGATAGACCATGTTATCGGAATCTCCGAACCAATGTTCCCTCGCAGCTCATGGCGGTTAAGCTGCTGGACATGCCGCTGTCTACCCCTGAATACGTGCCGCACGAGAGAGTCCTTGCCTACCTTCAGGAAATCTACTTTAGATATGGAGTCGACAAAGCTACGACTTACGGAGCGCTGGTTGAGGAGGTTAAGAAGGTCGGGGAGAAATGGGCAGTGGCATGGACGACATCGCAAAAGCACCACGCAAACGGCCATCTCGAGGTAGATCACACATCGGTGAGTGGTATCAATCAATATGAACTTCAGTATTACTGCTAATCAATGTGCTGCCGAAATATAGTATTTCGATGCGGTGGTGGTAGCGACGGGTCACTACCACGCCCCCCGTGTCCCTGACATACCTGGCCTCTCGACGATCGGGAAGCACTTTCCGTCGCGAGTGATGCATTCGAAACAATACAGACGGCCGGAGGGTCTCAGCGACAAGGTGAAAATTGCCCCCAAGAACTCAGATGGGCCTGCCTATGCTAACATAGAGCAATCCTGCAAGAATGTCTTAATTATTGGCGGCGGCGTCTCGTCTATTGACATCGCCAAGGACATGACCACGGCGCGGCATATATACCAAAGCACAAGAAACAGCGGGTTTGACTTGGACGCTCGAATGCTGCCCCAAAACGCAAGTCGCGTGGATGAGGTGGTCTCTTTTGAAATGCAAGACAGCGACCGTGTTCTGGGCGACGACGAGCCACTACCCGTCTCGGCGACAATGTCCAATGGGGAGACCCTACGCGGAATAGACTCTATCCTGTGCTGCACCGGATATCACATTAGCCTGCCGTTTTTCCAGCATCTCCATGACGACGACATGCGCCCGGAGGATGCCGACGACGCCGTCCTGGTGACGGACGGCGCCCAGGTGCACAACCTCCACAAGGACATTTTCTACATTCCCGATCCCACGCTCGCATTCATCGGGCTTCCAACCTACACTTTTACGCACTCCGTGTTTGACTTCCAGGCAATCACCATCGCCCACGTCTTCTCCGGCATCGCCGACCTGCCGGGACGGGCGGAGGCGCGGGAGGAGTATCTGGACAAGGTCAGGAAACTGGGGGTGGGCAGGAAGTTTCACTCACTTCTCAGCAAGGAGGAGGTTTATGTGAATGACCTCGTCTCGTGGATGAACAAGGCGAGAATTGGTCGGGGTTTGGCCCTGATTGATGGATTTTCCGCAAACTGGTTCGCAGCAAAGGATGCGCTGCGGAAGAGATACCAGGAGCAGTCCAAGACGGGAGACTTTTCCTGATGGCCATTCGATATTCATTATCGCAAGTTGCGGCGATTATGCCGTAATTGACACTCTGTTTGGAAGTATTCAAGGTGGCTGGCTGCAAGTGAAGAAGTGGGCGGCGCCTACATAGGCCTACGCAGGCGCCAATAGTTTTTATCAACAGAATTAAAGTTGTAAATGCAACAAGGCACTTACAAAAAGGCCCTCAATACAAGCCGATGTCATTTTGACCTTGAATCATGACCGCACCACCCATGCAGCGACGTGACGACGTCCGACGAGTAGCCGTCGTAGGGGCCGGTATTAGTGGTGTCGTCAGTGCTGCCCATCTCCTCCGCGCCGGGCTTGAGGTGGTCGTCTTTGAGAGGAATAGCGAAGTCGGTGGGATATGGTAACTCTCATGCGAATCTTCTTAGTAGGTTTAGTACACTTACAACTCGTGCAGGATACACACCACCGAGACGGCGATCGAGACACAGTATCCTTGCCTCCGGCCCGAGGACGCAGACACGGAGCTGCAGGGTCACGGCAAAGTCGGTGATACGGAGCGGCGACGGCTGCTTCACGCACCACCCGGGTACATAACGCTGACCCAGAAGTTGTGCATATTGGGCTTCTCTGCTGATGCTTCTTTCCTCTCAGGCCATGCTACGACAGCTTGCGAAACAACATCGACACCCCGCTGATGCAGACAACACTGAACGCGTGGCCCGAGGGCACGCCGAGAGTCGTCAGTCACCCCGCGGTGAAGGACTATATCCAAGAAACGGCTTCAAAGACGGGAACATGCGCAATCACGGTGTTTGGCGCGCTGGTGACGAGGATTGAGAAGCACGACTCTAAATGGTGCGTGCGGTGGGCTTCCTTGAAGGAGCATGACGGCACCGGCTCGGCGGTCAAGGACAATTTCTCGGTCAGTAATGAATCCTGATTCCAATCGGTATGATTATCTGAGGATATAAGCTCATGTTCTACAGATTTTCGATGCAATCGTCGTCGCAAATGGCCACTACCACGCTCCGCTGATTCCTGACATTCCTGGGCTTGCCGAGGCCAAGTCGAAATATCCTGCCCGGATAAAACACTCAAAGTGGTTCAGAAATAACACCGGCTACAAAGACAAGGTTAGAAATGAATGACACCTAGTCTGAATAACGAGTGTTCTTTTCTCTGATGACGTACTTTAGAATGTGCTCTTGATAGGCGGGGGTGTATCATCAACGGACATTGCCAGGGACATTGGCCGTTGTGCACGACGCATCTACCAGAGCACCCGAGGCGGCATGTCCGACATGCCAGCCAGCGTTCTTCCCGCCAACGCGACGAGAATAGCCCAGGTGTCGGCCATCAGCATGGAAGCCGAAGATGGGCCAGACGCCCCCTTCACCATCCATCCAACGCGCGGGCTTTCCATACCTGGCATCGACGAGATCATCGTCTGCACCGGCTACCAGTTCACCCTGCCCTTCCTCCCTCAATACCACGACGCCCAGGCTTCTCCCGCCGCCGCCCGCGACGACACGCTGTTCACCGACGGCGGGCAGCTGCACAACCTGCACCGGGACATCTTCTACATCCCCGACCCGACCCTGACCTTTGTCGGCGTGTCCGTGTTCACCACCACCTTTCCGCTGTTCGAGTTCCAAGCCGCGGCCGTCGCCGCCTTCCTGTCTGGCGTGGCAAGGCTCGCCCCAGAGGCGGATCTCCGGCGCGAGTACCGCGAGCGCGTGGCGAGGAAGGGGCTAGGCAGGTACTTGCACTCGCTCAAGGAAGAAGAGGAAGAGTACGTGGACGGCCTGGTGGCGTGGGTGAACGCGGGAAGGGCGAGGTGCGGGATGGTGCCGATGGAGGGGCTTACGGCGACGTGGAGGGCAGAGAAGCAGAGGATAAGAGAGCAGATTGCGAGACTGCGCGCTGCCAGGGCTGCGGAGAGGGCGGCTGAGGTGGTGAACGGAGTAAAGGCGGAGGAGGAGCGCGGGATCAGAAACGAGCAAAAGGCATTTTGATGTTATTTTTCAGGTCATGCCTAGTAAAGAGATGTGTCTTTATTCATCGTCCAATTCTTTAATTCGTCTCTTTACAGATCCTAGTCCTACGCGCATCTCAGTACTTGTAGCAGAGGAAGCCCCCTTCGGTATCCATGACCTTGGCCACGGGTATACTGGCGGCAAAGCTCCCATACAGCAACTCGTCATTCAGCGTTGCGTTCCCGGTAGAATTGAACATGTGCCTCCCCTCGTACTCGAGCAGTCGTGTGCGGGGGTACATTTGCTGCCAGCGCCACCACGTCCGATCCAGCTGTGCGTGGTGCACATAAAAGAGAGGATCTATGCCACAGCGTGAGCGACTCGGACCGACGGGATGATACCAAGGATACTGACCGTTTGCAGCCGTCATGGCTTTAAAGTCTCCGTTGACCCCCTGATGCAGCGCGCCGTGGAGGTAAATCTCCAGCTGCCGCCTGAACCCGTGGTAGGTGGGCTCCCGCAGGATCTCGCCCATCTTCTCCGGCCTGTACGCCTCGCCGGACAGGCGGCCCATGGTCGCGCCGTCGTGGAACCCGCGCGACAGGCAGTGCCGCGCAAAGGTGTGGTTGTACAGGATCGGGAGGAGATGTGCAAAGGGCCCGTCAACGACGCAGCGTCCGTCCCCGACCACCACTGGTCCGCGCGCGTCGCCGTCGCCGCCGAAGCCGTCGTCGGTGCTCCAGATGGACGAGTTGGCGAGATCCATCCAGTCGAGAGACCAGTCCCAGTAACTTGGAGGGAGTCAGCGCCAACGTTTGCGATTTCTGCTGGCGAGTTCTAGGTGTGTGCTCACGGGACGTGGCCTGCGAAGCCGGCGTGCTCGCGGAGGGCGTCCTCAAAGAGGATGAGCGTGTACCGGTGCCACGGGAGAAAGGACGCCGAACGGTGAGCTGGAGCCGAGATTTCATCAGCGGCGTCGTAAGTCTCGGTGCGACACGAGGGGGCAGCCGCATGGGAGCGGGAAGGGTCCGACTCACCCCATGATCCGATCGCTCCGTGCAGAACGGCAAAGTCATCGTACACGGTGCCGTTTTCCCGCCACCGCGAAGGAACCTCTGCGAGCGCATTCACGGCACGGATGAACTCGAGTCTCTCCGCCCGCGTCAAGGCGCGCCATTCCTGGCGGATGACTGGGTTCTGACAGGCCGACGATGATGACGACAACGGACGCGACAACGTCGTCAAGGTGACCGCCAAGACCAAGCAGAAGGTACCGGCGAGGATCAGTCCGGGAAGCGTCGCCCAGACGAGCCGCCAAGCCGGGCTTTTAAAACCGCGTAAATGCTAGAGCCGGGACAGAAATGGGGAGCTCGAGATGGGCTTACGATCTGCTTGTACTTTGCTCCCCATTGTCGGTGGTGGTAGCAATAGGTGTGTAGTGCGCCTTGTATCCTCTCAACCACTCCTTGAAAGTTTCCAACCCCATTATCGGCGCTCGAGGCTTGTAGAGCTTGCCTGAAGGAAGTAGAAAAAGGTTGTCTGTCTGTGCTCTATTGAAGCGGCTCTCTTGGTTGGTGAGTATGGCTGCAGGGAGCGCATGGGTTTAGGGTAGGTAGGAAGGGAGGCGCGAGTTGGTTCAAAGCTGGCGCGAGACTAGACGCAGCAATAGCGATTGGAGAGAGAGGCTTGTCGCGGATCCTACGTCATACGTATGTGTTGATAACTTGACCAATATAATTAATTCCCTCCATCATCCATCACAGATGTTCTGGCGCACACGTCTCTATTCAGGTTTTTATTCAGTTAGGCCTTTTTCAGTGGCGCCCGCTTGTGGGAGCCTAGGGATTTAAAGTGGCTGACCACCTCTTCTTTAGTAGTTTAAATTTTCATCATCTCTTGTTTAACTCACGGCTTACCCTATCTAAAAATTGACCTTGGTATCTGATTGGCTGGTTGGCATTGTAGTTTCTTCGTATTGCTATATTGAACAGCTTTGTAGCCTTGCGCTCTCCATGTGGCTCTGATACGCTAACCTCTAGTTACTACAAAGAGTCTGATAACAAAGAATGCACTGTGTCTTGTCCGCAACTCGCCGGTCTCTTTGTTGTAAAAAGGAGCCAACAGGGCATGGGACCCGTAATGAACAGATGAAAGGACCCCAGGTCTACTCAAAGAGGCTTATCAAGGACGCCGCGATCGGAAGTTACCGCTGGTATTTCCCTGTGTCGCAGTACCCGAGTGGATGGCCCGTTTGCCTACTATCACAAAGTACCGGTTATGCTTAAAGCGACGTGATTGGGCTGAAACCCTGCAAAATATCTGCTTTCTCCTTCACGGCAGTCAAAGGGATAACCTAGGCTGGCACACACCGGCTCTCCGTGATCATCACGCCACCCAGAGGGCTTCTGTTTTTTTTTTTTTTTGGCCCTGAGAGGGCTTGTTTTGGCGCGACCGCCACCACTACGTAACGTAGGGTCACGAAGCGATCACCCTAAACCACCCCAACAATGCATTTTTCCATACTCTTCCTTGATATAAGTCCAAATTCTCTAGTAACACCACCTTGGCATTTGAATAGTATTTTTCCAAAAAAATTCGCTGGCAAAATGTCACTCTCGTTTGACAAGGAGCGTTCCGCTCGAGCCTCGAGTGAGTCTCTTATTCAACACCACGAGCGACCGCAGGATCGAAGACGGCGATCATGGAGCATACGCAAGGCTGCGCTGGTGACTGTGGGTGTCTTGGTTGGAAGCCTGGAGCTGATCGTGCTGGAAACGATCCTCGTCCGCTGGGGCGAGGGCAATAACTGCTCCCAAGGACCGCTACTGAGCGAGCTCAACAACCTCGTCCCGCGCTGTAAGTTTACGAAAAACAAGGTGAAAGGAGTACTCGGGGTTCTGATGATTGCAGTCTCTACAATACCTGTATTATTCCGAGAAGACAAACTTGCGACTGTCAAGGACATGTCCGAGCGCTCAAGAAACGAGACGCATGATAACTGGTTATCATACATGCCAAGTCAGTTGACCCAATACCCTCATCTGACGATTAAAAATGCTTATCTGTTATCTAGAGGGAAATGGGTTCATCGGCGTCAACAACTCTGAAACATATCAGCTGCCAGACCCGATTTCTTTTCTAGGTCACGACGTCTATTCCATGGCAGTCTTCCACCAGCTCCACTGCTTGGTACGTCCCCTAACAATGCAGCGGCATGAAGCGTTCTCATTCTAACCGTCTCCCTCAAGTATCAAATCATGGACCGATACAATGCGCTGAGCGGCGGCTCTCCCGAGGCTCATGGACACGCACACCCTGGTCGCTCGGAGGAACCCGATGATGGCGGACAGGAACAGGACCAGAGCTCGCACCGCCACATAAATCACTGCTTCCGATATTTGCGGCAATCCCTGCTCTGCTGCGGCGACACCGCGCTGGAAGGGCAGGACCCGAACACGAACACTACAGCGACGGACGGGACGGGGGCGGTGCACATGTGCAAGGACTTTGAGGCGCTGCGATCATGGGCGGAGAAGAACAGACTGGTGAACAATCAGGCTGGATTGTGAGATTGTGAGAGGGGGGGAGAGCAGCAGTTGTATGTCGCGATTGAATCGAATGGTCTGCTCACTTGTGTCTACAGTTTATTTGGCCATTGCACCATCTTAATAAATTAGCCAGGATGTCGCGATTGAATCGGAAATTCTGTTTACAATTTTTTTTTCTTTTTTGCTTTAGTCCATGTACTAGTTACTGCCTTTATTTTGCGCATGATCCTTCTCCCACATAAATCGCCGGCTCTCCTTTGCAGGCAACACTGAGATGGGTAGTGAATATCCTCATGTAAGGTAAGCACAGAGAATCTGACTTGCCTCGCAATCTTGTACACCCGACTTGTACTCTATCTTGATCTCATCTCATTCCAAACAGTGTGCGAATTGCCAAGCCGGAAGGAGGGAGTTTTTGGCGAATCGCCAAGCCGGGAGTCCTTGGCAGCGCCACGACACGTTATTATCCCGCGCACGGGATAACAAAGACAAGCAGATGAATAACTCGGAAAAAAATCCCCCCATCTCCGACGTACATAGGCGTGTCGCGGCGCCAAAGATGGGCTTTGCATGGGCGTGCATAGCTGCTCGGCCAATTTTGGCGCCATTCCTGAGACCGATGCTGCAGGCTGCAGACGGCAGGCCGCAGATTGCTGTTGCGCTTCTCCTCATGTGAAGGAGGGTTATACGGTTATTTCGAGTATCCCAGCCAGGGACTCTGTGACCGACGTAGTGTTCCTCGAAACTAACGACAACCTGGTTGTGTTTGGCAGTTTTGCACAAGTCAGTCCAGCCAGAGAACGCAACACGCCCACACACACTGCTGCCCTCGACTACAATGTATCCAAAGCAAAAGTACAGCATCGTCGACGGTAGCTCCGGCTCGGACTCGCCCCGGGCCTCGCTTTCGCCGGAACGTGCCCAGGACTTTGCTGCTGCGCCGAGACTATGTTCTGGCAAAGGACGGGACCGCATTGGCCGATTCCTCAGCTTCAACGCGCCGTGGTTCGTCAGCGCTTTACTGGCCTTGACGAACCTGCTGCTGCTTGTTGCCTTGCTCAAGCAATATGTGCCGCGCAGGCCTGCCCAGCAGTTTTCATGGATGCCACCTGAGAGTAAGTCAAGCCCAGCCCACCGCATCCGCTTAAATCACCCTGCTCATGAGTTTCCCGCAGTCGAGACCACGTCGCTCTTTGAGCTCAAGCCCTTGTACGGAGAGGGTCTTAATAATGAGTCAGAGGCTGCATGGAACGAGTTGATGCCGGGTATGTGTTGTTCATCCTTCCCTGCTTCTCTGCTTTGTGTGCCTTGTCTTTTAACAGCCACCAAAATTTTTCCTCTAGTCGGCCGCGGATTCGTCGTCGTCAAAAATCACACGGCCATCCCAGACCAGCCCGGTCTTGACCAGTCCGTGTCGGAGCAAAAGGCCATGGTATCCGTCTTCCACCAGCTACACTGTCTGGTAAGCGCGTCTCCCCCAAACAAAATCGTCGCGACGTCCCGACTAATCGACGTGTCTCGATCTCCGTGCAGTACATGACTCGGGAGGGATACTACAGCGCTCTTGAGGGCCGCACCGACCAGGTCAGCCCGGCTCATTTGCTGCACTGCTTTGACTATCTCCGGCAGACCATCATGTGTTTTGGCGATACCACGCTCGAGTGGCTTCCAGCGCCTCCGAGGGACAACGGAAGTACGGGGTGGGGGTTTGAGCATAAGTGTCGTAACTTTGATGCCATTTCGCACTGGGTAGAGGACAACAGGCTGAAGACGACACATGGGATTCATTAATTATCTTTATATTTTTACTTTATATTTTACTGTGTTTTTGCCATATTCTCTACTATACTTTTTCTGTGTATTTTACCGTATCATTTGCCATATTTGTTGCTCTACGGTTGACTATACTTGCCACTGCATTTTTGCTTTATTTATCTTTACAAAATACCAGTCGAGATCAACCCTGGAATCTTGATAGTGACACTTGTCGGGATTTGTTGACATCGTAGGAGCCTTCTGTACTGTGCGTAGTCGCACAGCCTGTCCACTTAAACGTCCACTTACACCTCACCATAAGCAATACCGCAAAACTGTGAGCGCAATCATTGGCTTGTGTCAAGGCACAATCACGGCATTGTATAGAGCAACATCAAGAGTAGATAATTTATTGCTTGTCAAAGGGTAAACTATCGACTTCATTTACGAGCGCCGTTCCGTTTTTGCGTGCTCTCGGTTGTTCTGGCGCCATTGCCTCGATTGCCTTGGGCGTATCTTGAACAGTACCATCTTAGTTGTCGACGCCGATGGCATAGTCCTCGACAGTGCTGCGTCGCTTATTATCAACGCCGATAGCATAGTCCTCGACAGTGTCGACAGCAATAGCATAGTCTTCAACCGTGGCACGTCGCTTGTTGTCGACTCCAATTGCATAGTCTTCAACCGTGTCAACCGCGATTGCGTAGTCTTCAACAGTAGAACGCTTGTTGTCGACGCCAATGGCATAGTCCTCGACGGTATCAACTGCGATAGCGTAGTCTTCAACAGTAGAACGCTTGTTGTCGACTCCGATGGCATAATCCTCAACAGTGTCGACTCCGATGGCATAGTCTTCAACCGCACCACCCCGTTTGTCGACTCCAATGGCGTAGTCCTCAACCGTCGCACGCTTCTTGTCGACACCGATCGCGTAGTCTTCGACAGTGCCACGTCGCTTATTATCAACGCCGATGGCATAGTCTTCAACCGTAGCACGTCTCTTGTTATCAACACCGATGGCATAGTCTTCAACTGTAGCACGCTTGGCATCGACGCCGATAGCGTAATCCTCAATGGCATCAACTCCGATGGCATAGTCCTCCACAGTGCCCTTTATTCCGTTGAATTAGCCCGGATGCGGTCGTCAAGAGATGATAGGTCAACATACAGTGGGTGCGGCGACGGCGACGCCAGCGGCAAGGACGGTGATGAGGGAAAACTTCATTGTGACTCTTGCTTTTTTCTCAAGTGTTAGCAGTTGTAGTGTGAACTGACTGTGATCAGACTGTCCGTGTCCTGACGCAGGTATGAAGCTCCGCTATATGTATTGAAAGATGAATCTGCAAGTGTCAAGTCACGTTGTCTTGAATAACAGAAGTGCTATCAAGGAAGCGCGGCGCCAGAATGATGAGAGCTGCTGAGGGAACCTCGCATTGTTTTGCCCTTGGCGCATGGCCATATGCGCCTCTGGTACTCGGCGATGCTCTGCGCCAGTGCGCTACAACCGGCGATCAATTAGCGGCCGTGGAACGAGTTTGTACCCGGAAGCTCACATGAATGACATCTGCAGTCTACCTTAGTCCCTGTATGTACAGTATGTGTGTAGATAGAGCTACCAGCATAGCGTAGTCAGGAGTTGCAAGATGCGCTGACGGCGTGGCAAGCACAGCTCCTCTAGGACAAAAGCCATGCCAAGGACTCAATTTTTTTTAAAAAAAAAATGATAAATAACTGCATTCAGAAGGATACAGATGCCATCACTACTTTTCGGATGTTTGAATATGATCCGTCTTCAAGACGAAACGGAATTGCCTAGTTGAGGGTCTCCCCGTGCCTGTTCCGGCCCCCGCCCCAACTGCTTCCACGTCGAACCGTCGAAAGATCTGTCCAGGACATTGGTTGTCAGCAGCTCGCCTACCCATCTATCTGCGCTCACATCGCCATTCGCTTCTTACCTCTGCGACGCTCTTGTGCAGCTGAGCCAGCGCAAACCGTCTCGCCGCGCACTTCCTGCCACCGTAGCCAAAGTGAAAGCTGTTCCTGTCCCAGTACCGCAGCTGCTCCTCCGCGGCCTCCAGCCAGCGCTCCGGTCGGTACACGTGCGCGTCCGGGCCGTACAGCCTCTCGCTGCGCCCAAGCACCCATGGGCTCGTCGAGACGGAGTAGCCGGGGGGCACGTGCTCGCCGTGTAGCTCCAGCCCCGTGTCCCGGGGGGCCAGCCGCGGGAGCTGCGAGACGGTCGGGGCGAAGCGCAACGCCTCCCGGATGCAGGCGCGCAGGTAGGCGAGGTTCTGGGCCTGCTCGCTAGAGACGACGTGGGCCTTGGACGGGATCGCGCCGGACAGCTCCGCCCGCTCCAGCTCGAGACTGAGCTTGTCCCGGACTGTGGCTTGCGTAGCGATGAGGTAGACGATGGTCCAGAGGTTGAGGGGAGTGACGGACGACCCGGCGAGCCTGCATCGCAGAGTTCGGTAGTTAGCATTGGGGCGAACATCCTGCCAAGCTAAGTGAAGATGACCCGGGGACGCTCGGGCGACGTACAGAGCAAAGAGGACCTCGGCGCGGATTTCCTCGAGCGACATGCCGTCGCCGGCAAAGTGAGCAAGCAGAAGGGAGCTCAAGAGGCTTCCCTCTACCCAGGCTTCCCTTTTCAAGTCTCCAGTCTCACCTATCGCCGACGCCATGATGCAATCTCTTTCCCTCATGAACGGGCCGACACCCGTCGTGTCGGTCGGACGAGCCATGACGAAGCTCCTTCCTATCCACGTGTTGCGCACATACCATGACAGCGTCTCCGTGATGGCGAGGAACTTGATCCAGTGGAACGTGTTGTCCTTGCAGTAGAGCAGGTTTCGTACGTCCGACGCGGACTCGATGAACCCGAGCGCCTTGCCAGTGATCAAGAGAGTCACCGCATCACTTGCCAGCCAACTTCCAAGCCGGCCAGTCAGTCAGTTATTCAGTCAATAAGCCATTTGGGTGTTGTCTATCGGCGGAACAGGTTCTGTCCTTACCCTACGCGCTCGTAGAGGTCCACGCTTCCCTCTTGAGCCGTGCCCTCTTGCAGCCTCTCCAGCCAGCGCTTCAGGAGCTGATTCAAGCTCGGTTCGAGCAGACGGAGATTTGGATCCGAATACTGGTAAGCGAGACAGAGTTAGTACATTTGTTGCTTCCTGACACTTTTTTTTGCACGACGCGTCACAAAGGAATGGCAGGCTCGCTGACCGCTGTCGCAATGGCTTTTTTTCTCGCTACGTGGTCTTGGTAGTTTTTGCAGTTGAATGTCGCCTCTCTATCAAAGTTTGCAGCGAAAAAGTCGGATTTATCTGCCCGTCGGCCATATACCACGGCGAGGAGCTCGTGGTCGTTGAAGATGAGGCCGTTGGGGCTATATCGGACAATCGGTCCTGCAACAGCAAGTCTCTGAGTCAATACACAGCCATCTCAAAGTAGCAAGAATTTGGACGGGTTCAGCTGGAAATTAAAAGTACCGTATTTCTCATGGAGCCTCGCAAAGTTGATTGGCATATCAGGCTGGAAGCTCCAGTAGGTCTGGTACAGACAAGATACGGATGCGATAAACGGCCCTGGGAAGCGGGAAAGGGGGTGCAGCCATCGCCTGTAGACAACAAGTAAAAGCACGGCTACCGCAAAAATGAAGAATAATCCCATCATCTTGGAACATGGCTTAGAAAACGCTGCCTTCAGAACAATAGGTGATGAGTCTGTCACGGCTTCCAGTTACAGTCTACAGTCTCGGCATCTCGGGGGCGCAGCGACAATCCGCAGAGACCACTGGGCTTTCACTGCTTGGGCAGAGAGACGACTTGCGCCAAAAGGGTTCGGGAAGCTGCGCCTAAGAAAAAATACTTGGGTTACTGTAGGTTGGTCTCCTGAAGCTGTGGTATTACTACAACGAACGCCAAGGGTCCTCCCGCACCAGTCACACAAACTACACCCGATGATCCGGCCAGATACTTGGTTGTCTAACACGGATGGTTTTCTCTCGGCTAAAAACAGAACCTTCTGCGCAACGCTTTGCATCACATGTTCGTCACGATAAAATCGGATCACAGCAAGCAATAAAGGCAGGTGTTTGAGCAGTCTATTGAATGAAGGCAGGTCTCGGAGCAGCCCACCGGATGGCGCTGAGTCTCCTGCGCATAATCATGCGGCGCACAAAGGGCTCCTCCACAAAGGATCAACAGAGAGGACGCTCCGGGTTGTACCATAAGATCGTCACTGAATGTAATCAATAGATACAGCTGGCATGCATGTGGATGGTGTATGAGATGGGCTCTGCCCCGCGTCCGCCTATCTACGTCAAGGCGGGGATGGCTGCATTTCAGCTCGAGTTATGCTGTGCCATGCAATGCAGGAGGAGTCCCGGCTTTCCTAGGGTCGCAAAAGGCCATCCTGGTGATGTCTTGTAATTAAGAGATGTCATACATGCAGTTGCCCGGTTCTTTCCTCACCAAGTGCAACTGAGAGCCTGGCAAGAAGCAAGCCATATAGTTTCGAGACTGGGTCCGTTGTCTCCGTCATGATTTAAAGTTGAATTCCATCACTCATTCCAACGGCTAATCGGCCGGGACGGATCTGCGACTCGGTGCCGCGGCAAGCTAGGTAGATTAGCCAGCTCTTTCGAGTCTGCCGAGTCGTGTTGGTATAGTAAACTGCAACGATAATATGGGCGGGGATAGTTTGTTAGTAGCGTTCGGCAGAGGACGGCTGGTTCCCGTCCGCACTCAGCCTATAATCAACCTGCTAATACTGCACTGAACTCGAGCAGTTCCACGCCCGATGCTACCATGCATGCTGTGACACAGGACAAAGACGGAATGGTAGTGGCTAGCTTCGGGAAATTCTGCGGCGAGATGATTTACCTACATGAACGACGACATGACAGTAACTGCAAAGAGTGAGTATTGCCTAGACGTTGTTATTGTTATCAGAAAAACGTAGGCGTGTAGAAAGACGCCGGCCGACGCCCAATTCCACATGGCGCCAACCACTGTCGGCTTTTCACTCATAATGAAAACATCCTCGAAAACTCTGTAAAAAAATCTCTTGGTCCTGTTCTGGCGCCATGGTGAGCCAACGCAGCAAGTCCGGCTGCTGGACTTGCCGGCTGCGGCGCAAAAAGTGTCCCGAGGACGGCGTGCCCTGCTCCAACTGCACGGCCCGTGCCGTCGTGTGTCACGGGTACGGGCCCCGGCCGGCCTGGAAGGACCGTGGCGAGCGCGAGCAGGAGGAGGTCGACCGGCTCCAACTCCGCCGGCGCTCCCACCAGGCACGCTGGCGCGCACCGCCGGCGCCCCAGCAGCACCCGGAGCTTCCTTCAGCCTCCGCCGAAGAGCGGCGGCAGGACGCGCCCGAGGCGCAGCAGCAGCAGCAGCAGCAGCAGCAGGAAGAGGCGACGGCGAACCATCTCTGCCTGTCTCCCTCGCTGGCCCTTGTCGCCTCCTCCCCGGTCGCGATGGCAGAGCTCCGGCCTTCGTCGCCCCGGAAGCAGGGGGAGGAGGAGGACGAGGAGGACGAGGAGGAGGATGGGGAGGGTGAGCCGTATGACTTTTCGGCCATGCTGGATCCGCAGCTCAGCCTCTCCGGCCTGCACACGCCGTCGGGTTTGTGGGCGGACGGCGGCCTGGAGGGCCTTTTCGCCTCGACAACAACACCACCGCCCCTGTTCGACTCCGCCGCAACTACGCTGAACAGCCAGGTAGAGGTAGACAGCGCTTCCAGACCGGAGGAGGAGGGCGACTACCCGGCGGCGGCGCTGCAGCACCAAGTCTTTGCCCTCTCGTCGACGACGACACACGTCAACGCGCTGCAGGAGCGCGAGATGGAGCTGATGATGCAGTTCCTCGGGGAGGACTTTGGCAAGCTCCATCCATGCGCGCAGTCGTGGTCCATGGCGGACAGGGCCTGGCTGCTTTGGCTGCTTCATCGCTCGCCGACCTTCTTCTACACGGCGCTGAGCACGAGTGCTTACTCGGAGTTTCTCAGGACGCCGCCGCACGACGGCAGGCGCACCGGGTATTTTCGAGAATACGACGGGTTTAGGAATAAAGCGATGGAGCTGTTCTGTCAGCTCTTGGATGATGCACGCTGCGGCGGGGGGCATCCATCGGTGCCCTGGAACACAAGGGAAACAGTGATATGCAGCGTTCAGCTGGCCATGCTTGAGGCAAGACTCGCTCACTCCTCTGCTACGCACCGATATTGTGACCAAGAAGGACTCTAACATGATGGTAGTCATTGGGTGAGAATCTGAATGCGACTCAGACATATCTGGATGCGGCCTCGGATGCCCTCGCAAAGCTCTCCGAGGATCTTGTCTACATCGGTGAGCTTTCACCAAACAAGTCCATCACCAGTTACATCCCCATGTCCGGCATGGAGCGCAAGACCGTTGAGTTTTTCATCTGCACATTGATCCGAATACACACATTACACTGTTCTTCGTACCAGGCCGCGCCCGCAGCCGCCAGCGTCTACCATCGCATGCTATCTCCAGCGATGCTCGGTGATGCCTTCTTTCACGTCGCCGGGTTCCGGTCGTGGGTCCTCGTCACTCTCATGGACGCTGTCGACGCTGCCGTTTGGAAGCAGGAGCAGGAGGCGAGGCAAAGGTTGAGCATGAGAGATCTTGTCGGCAAGGCCGAGGCCATCCTGTCGACGATTGAAGACCAGATCCGGTAAGCATTCATTCGTGTTTGGCGGCTGGTGCGCCGCCGCCGTTGGCAATCTTTTCTTACCGCGAGTCAAATAGGAGAGAGGAGGATGTGCCGACGCTGATGTACGCGTACGGCGTCATCATCTACATCCACACCCTCACGTCGGGACACCGCCCGGCGGTGCCGGAGATACACGCGGCGCTGGAAAAGGCGGTGCCGCTGTGGCAAGGGTGCTCGTTCCACCGCCAGGGGCTGAAATCCGTGGCCTGGGCCTTTTGCGTGTCGGCGAGCCTGGCAACGGGCCATCACCGCAGGGCCTTTTCCAGCGTGTTGGCCGAGGCTGCCACGTCGGACGAGTCTTGGACCGCGGCGACGCGCCTCAAGGCGCTCAGCGAAGAGTGTTGGAAGATTTCAGACACGGGAGGGGCCGACTGTGATTGGAGAGCGATAATGCAGAGCCTGAAGCCGAGCATGCAGACAATGTTTGTGTAAAGGCATCCGAGAACTATATATAAGCGCTGCCAGGCGCATGACTCGGACAATGTCTCTAGATCTACCTCCCTGGTAATGCCAATAATAAGCCGCTACTTGTCCAGCTCAAACACGGCAGCCCACACATCCATGGACATGATACCCGTGCCATCCTTGTACAGCTCTTTCTTCATCTCCGCCTCCAACTTCTCGATCGCCGCCACAATCTCCGCCCTCTGCTCCCCCGACAGCTCCGCCTCCGCAACGCGCTGCCTGAACACTTCGCCCAGCGTGAACCGGACCTCAAACTCGCCCTCGCGCATGTCCTCCTCGGGCGTGATCAGCGCCTCCCTCGCCAGCCCGTAGCCCGCCGCCGCCGCCGCGCGCAGTATCGCACTCTTATCCACGCCGCCGCGCACGTTCTGCTCGCGCGGGTCCTCCCTCCCCGCCTCCGGCCGGTACCGGTACCGGTAAAACAGCCGCTGGGCCGTCGCCGCCAGCGCGTGCGCCGTCTGCGCCTCGCGCGACGGCACGTACGACCACTCCGCCACGTACACCGGCGACGTGCCCGCCGCGCGCAGCGTCGCGAACAGCGCGCGCACCTCGTGCTCGCCGGGGAAGTAGAACAGGCTCTGGCAGAGCACCGCCGCGTCCAGCCGCGGCGCCGTCTGCTGCTGCTCGGCGAAGAAGGACTGCGCGTCGGCCTGGTGAAAGGTCACGCGCGGGCCGAGGGCGGACTGGCGGAGGTGGTCGTGGGCGGCGCGCATGGTGAAGGGGTGGCCGTAGTCCATGGAGGCCGTGTCGATGGCGGTGACGTGGCCGCGGTCGCCGACGAGGGCGGCGAGGGCGACGGAGGACTCGCCCTGGCCGCAGCCAATGTCCAGGAGGTGGTCGCCCTCGCGCACGCCCCAGGCCCGGATGGTGGCCAGGCGCAGCTTGAACCGCGGCACGTGGAAGCTCTCCAGCAGCGCGGGATTGTGCAGGAAGCTGGCCAGGAGAGTCTTGATCGTGGCATCGTCGGCATCGGCCACGACGGGAGAAGTGGATGTGCTTGTAGTAGTAGTGGTGTGGGTGGCCATGTTGTCAATGGTTGCAGGCGGTTTCAGATTGGGTAATTTGCAAACTAGGAAATATCTCTGTTGGCTGTCTTGGTCTTTCTTTTTCTTCTTTGTCTCCTCGGCTTGTGATGGGGGAAAGCAGCAAGCAAGTCAGCTCAGCATAATAAATCCACTGCACTGCAGCCCGGCCTTGGTTTTACTGATTTGCCGCAAGATGGCGCGTCGGAACGGCTCTCCGTAGCAAGCCGGGAGCCTTGTGCCCTCGGTTTTAATTGTTTGGTAATTTTCGGTAAATATCACGTCCTATCTCCGTTCCGTCATGCACCATCACCAAAGGCACGAAACAGCATAGTTAACCCCATCCAACACTTGATCATCAACTGCCCACAATGAGTGTCTCCAAGCCAGTTCATTTCTTTGACGTCGATTCGACCCTTTCAGGTATTAAATTTTATGCAAAATTTATATAATCATTCTCGCGGCTTGTACTTGAGAACGTTGTAACATCCGAGCTAACAAAAGTCACCTAGGGCCTTTGAGATCATGGTCTTCCAACACGCTCAAGATCCGCATGGTCTTGAACTATAAACAGATTCCTTACTTGCAAAGCTTCATCTCATATCCCGACATCGCTCCCCTTCTCCAAAGCTTCTCCGTCAAACCGCACGCGACGGGCCGTGTGCAGTACACCCTGCCCGCCATCCGCCATCCAGAGTCCATCACCGCGAACCCGGCGGGTGTCAAGATGGACTCGCTGCCCATCGCGTGCCACCTCGACAAGCTCGTTCCACAGCCGGCCCTGTTTCCCTCTGGGGAGGCCAGCTACGCGCTCGCCCTGGCCACGGAGAAATTGATGCTGCGCGCCGCCAAGGAGGCCTTGTTCGTGTTGCTGCCCAAGTCCGACCAGGTCCTGGACGATCGCAGCAAGGAGTACTTTTTCAGAACGCGCGCCGAGTGGTTTGGGAAGCCCCTGCCGGAGCTCGCTGTCAAGGGCGAGGAGGAGACGAGGCGTGCCATCGACGCCATGAAGGCGGAGCTGGAGATTTTCATCAAGATGCTGGCGGGAACGGAGGGTAAGAAGGGACCATTTTTGGAAGGAGATGCCCCTGGATATGCCGATTTTATCCTGGTCACGTTTTTGTCTTGGAGTCACCGGGTAGACATGGACATCTGGAGAGAAACCATGGCGATGGGCGATGGGGAATTCCAGGCTCTCTGGGATGCATGTCTGCCCTGGATGGAAGGCCAGGGAGAAGACGTCGATCCTCACCAGGTGTAGAAATAAAGGGCAGTTAGTTAATCAAGCAATTTTTGTGACAGCACTGTAACGGCAAATACAACCTCTACTACCCTGGAGTTACAGTAGGTAGGCTCTGATGGATGCCCGACCATTCTATCTACGTCCTTCCAGCCTGAATCCATTTGCTCTAGAGTTACGACCACTGTAAAGGATCCCCGTCCTGTGGATAGTGAGTGCCGCATACTAACTAAGCCATAGAAGCATTAAATTGGGCTCTAGTGCATTGAACACTCGACGTGTCCATGGCGTTACGCATCCCATACCTCACTATCTCAGGCGTCACGCACATTTGGCGCAACCACTATTTGGCGCCGCGCCAAATAGCGTGAATTCAGACCACAATGCAAACTGTGCGAATAATAACGATCGCAGCAAGAAAGAAAAGTAGTGCCCAAAATACAATAATATCATGGGTGGCTGGGCTTGGGCTGGCTTCCAAGCCCCTGCAGGATGCAGGATGCAGGGTATGTAGGCAACGTGGTCCTGTCAATGTGGGTGACATTTCCAGCTGCGGATTTGATTTGCCATCGAGGCACCCGTAACGCGTCTCAGAAGTCTTGAGATAAAGCTGGCCTCCATTTATTGCACTGGAATCTCCTCCTTTTCGCTCTCAACGAAGCAACGATGCTGAAGACAGATGGTGACCACGTCCCTTTCAAGGGTACCGCTAATCAGTCGTGTCCACGACTCAAAGCACCTCAGACCTTGGTTACATGCTGGAAAACCCGCGTATGCAGGATTCTGGCTGCGGTCGCTGTTCTAGCGGTGTTGATCAGGAGCCTCCCCCCGTCACGGAGTTGTACACATCCTGGCGGCGCGGCAAGCCACGGTGCCGTGGTCAGCTCAAGTGCGCTCTGTAGCCGCCATGGAGCTGCCATGTTGAAAATCGGTGGTAACGCTGCTGACGCGGTATGGAAAAGGAAATCGACCGGTACAGAGATGTAACTGATGGCTCAGGACAGATGGTAGCGACCAGCTTCTGCGTCGGGGTGGTCGGTAAGTGATGCGCTGCCAGTTCATGACCGATGAGCAGAGGCAAGACAAAAATGCCAGTCAATGACGGCTACTGATGTGCTCTTCGCATAGCAATGTATCACAGCGGCATAGGCGGTGGCGGTTTCATGCTTGTTCGGAATCAAACCGGTTCGTTTGAGTTTTTGGATTTTCGAGAGACGGCGCCCGCCTTGGCCACCGTCGACAAGTTCAGTCAGGCAGCAGATAATGGTCCAGCCAATGCGGGCTTGAAGAGGTAAGTCTCCAGGTTGTCCGCACCTCCCCCCCCTTTTCCCGAGTCGAGAAACAGTACGGCTCACACAGCCTCGTCAGCGGCGTGCCAGGGGAGCTGAGAGGGTTGGAGTACCTTTCCAGAAAATACGGCGCGCTGCCGTGGTCGACCGTCATGGGGCCTGCTGTTCGACTGGCAAGAGACGGCTTCCCCGTCACCAGGGATCTTCTTCGCTACATGAACTACGCGATTGAAGAATACGGGGAAGACTTTCTTCACTCCGACCCTGACTGGGCCGTGGACTTTGCCCCCCACGGTCGCCGGCTCCGTCTTGGGGATACCATGACGAGGAAGCGATACGCGAGCGCGCTGGAGAAGATTGCCTCGGGCGGGCCGGACGTCTTTTATTCTGGTCCTCTTGGGCGGCAGTTTGTTGACACGGCTGCGGCAGCTGGGGGGGTCATGACGACGGATGACCTGCGAGACTACAAGGTGGTTGTTCGTAACCATTCTGAGATCGAGTACCGCGGCCATCGCGTCATCACCACTACTGCGCCATCCAGTGGGATTGTGATTGCGAATATTCTCAAAGTTCTCAACACGTATGATGATCTGTTCACGCCCCAGAATGTGAACTTGAGTACACATTACCTAGACGAAGCCATGCGATTTGCCTATGGTCTGGTAAGTGTTTTTGTCGGCGATAGTTGAAAAGTCAAAGCGCTAATGAGAGGGTAAAGAGGACAAGGTTGGGCGACCCGGATTTTGTAGATGGCATGGAGGAATACCAGGATTACATGATACAACAATCGACCGCTGACGCCATTCGTCGTCGTATACTCGATACGCAGACGCACAACGTGTCCGAGTATAATCCCGATGGAATAGAGAGTATAGACACGTAAGTCGTTCTTATTCCGTCTTGGATGATGTCTTTCAGCATCCTGATGGTGTTGCAATGTATATGCTGACTTGGACGGACTGTGTAGACCAGGCACGTCGCACATGGCTAGTGTAGACTCATCTGGACTCGCCATCTCTGCCACAACCTCTATCAATCTCTTGTTCGGGAGCCGAATAATTGTTCCAGAAAGCGGGATCATTCTCAACAACGAACTGGATGGTACGTGTTGCCAAGCTGAAGCCGAGACATGATGACGACGCCGACTCACCCACGACGGCGCAGATTTCTCACGGCCAAACGCCTCCAAACCTTTTGGTCGCTATCCATCACGCGCGAATTTCATCGCTCCGGGGAAGCGGCCATTCTCATCCATGTCGCCGTCCATGGTGCTGCGTCCGGACGGGTCGCTGCTGATGCTTGCCGGGGCCGCGGGAGGCAGCTTCATCACGACGGCGACGACGCAAAACATCATTGCCGCGGTTGACGAGGGTCTCTCGGCGACCGAGATCCTGGCCAAGCCACGCCTCCACGACCAGCTGACCCCAAACCACATCATTTTTGAGACCGCCTACGACAACGCGACGGTGGATTTCATGCGACGTCTCGGCCACGAGGTAGTTTTTATACCTCCCATAGCTAGCATGGCGCATGCCATTCTCGTCTCGTCTGATGGCCGGTATGATGTCGCTGCTGAGCCGAGACAGCAGGACTCTGGTGGTGCCATTGTGTAGACGGACAGACAGTTGCGGGGGCCAAGATCGTACGTACATGCATGCTGGTCAGATGCAGGGATACCCATCGAGACTGCCCAGTAGAAAGCGCGCGGGTTGTGTGTGATCCATACAACCCCTCAGACAGCACACCAATAAAGAGGTGCAGCTGGGTAGCAAAGGTAGTTAGCAAGCACCGTAGGGTTGTGAATTTGGGGTCCATTCTTCATCGTTCCGTTCCTGTGACGCACGCCGGCGCCTTCTGAGACAAAACGTGTACCAGAAGGTCACCTCTCAGCCTCAGCCTCAGCGTTCGCGTGAGCACACTTCATTGGGCAGTGAGGGGGGGCCGGCCCGTGGTGGACGCGCCGATCCGTCCCTTGCCAAGACGATGGCATTGTAATTCGCTACTATATTAAAGTGGTGTCGGGCAGGCGGGAGTAGTTATGCCGTCGCACAAGGTAGGGGCGGGAAGGAAGCTTAGCCATGCTCCCCGTCCGTCAGGGGCTGGGCAACGTTTGTCTCTTAGGCGCATGATAGAAAACGGTCGGGACTGACATCGGTGAACATGGCGAGTGCTTTTCTCTCTTTTTCTGCTGTTTCCCCCCCCTACCAGAGCACTTGGGGGGAACGTTGGCTGTGGCGCGCAAAGCGCAAAGCTGGACTGGGCAGGCAGAGAGTTAGGTACAGAGAGATGCCCACGATTGGGGGCCTTGGATTGCGGGATTGATGCTATAACTACCTGTGCTACCCATACACCCAAGGCACGTGCCAAGTTGCATGTATGTATGTGTGCCTTGTTAGTGCCTAGAGGGGTAGCCTTTGTAACCCAAAACGAATGCTTCCGAGAATCCTTCTCCAGGTCATCGCCTTCCACCACCATCAGCATGATTCACTCTGTCGAATGGCCGTACTGCATGACAGTGGCTGTCGCCCGCATTGTCTGGCGCACACACATACAAACGGGCGCACACATGAATTCACCGCCGCCATGCATGCCGCCATCTACGTGCGTCAGCAAGGGTTTCGTCGTCGGCTCAAATACCGACCGGTAAGCCCCCTCATAGCTCTCGCCGTTTGCCGTCCTCGTCGTTTGCTCTCTCAAATATCACCGAGTTGCCCCCGGAGCATTTTGGTCTATATCTTCACGGCAAAATCCTCTCACCCTCCTAGAAGGACTTTCCATAGAGCATCCCCACGGCCGACCTGTGACGAGCAGCAGCATCACTCACCATGCTTGGCGCAGAGGGTCGACCGCACCGGCGCGCATTCCCGGAAGAAGAAGAGGAGCAGGAAGAGCTAAACGCCGTCAAAAATACGGAAGAATCTCCCCTGCTCCCAACACAACATGCCCTGACATTGCCGCCGCCTGACGACGACGACGAGGAGAGCAAGCCTGGCGGCGGCGCATCGCCCACTGCCCTCACCGTTACCCTCGCCGCCAGCGCCATCATCTTGATACTCGACGTGGTCGCCAGCGTGCCCACGACGCCCCGGCTAGTCATATTCGAGAACATCATCTGCCGCAACTATTACCACGCCTGGGGCCGCGACGATGCGATGGGTGATTGCAAGGTCGCCGCCGTGCAGGGTGAGCTGGCCATCGTCAACGGCTGGAAGGAAACGTTTGACACTATCCCTGGTGCGCCGTTTGCATAGCCCCAAACACGACGATTCTCTTGATCGTGTTTTATTAACCTCCCTCTCGGGTTTCTTTCCAGGCATCGTGGTTTCTATACCGTACGGTGTTTTGGCCAACTACATCGGCCGCGCCAATGTGCTCACGCTGGCTCTCTTTGGCAATTTGCTGGGCGAGTGCTGGATCGCCGCAGTTTGTAAGTGTTCTGACTCTTTTTGCTCTATTTTTTCGTTCCTGTGGTGCGGCGCTCTCGTTTCCCTTTTTCCCGAAGCAAATCGCTGAGTGGCTTACAAACAACAGGCTGGCTTCCACAGACTCTACCGTTGCGCACCTTGTGGTTCTCCGGCGCCTTTCAAATCATCGGAGGAGGGGGCGCAACCATGATTGCCATGTGTTATACCATGATTGCCGACATGTGTACGCCGCAGCAAAGGTAAGCGCGCCCCCTCAATTGTATGCGCCAGCGTCAGGATTGAACTGGTCCCCGCGGCTAACTGGGACGGCTTCTGCAAACAAGAATCGCCGCCTTCTCCTACGTCCATGCGGCCACCTTGCTCTCAGAAATGGTCTCCATTCCTTTGGGCTCTGCCCTTTTGTCTATCAACCCTTGGATACCAGTATTTGGCAGCATTGGCATTATGGTAGCAACTTTGGTTGTTCTCGTTCTGCTTGGTCGCCGCTTCTTTCCGCCGCCGCCAGCAAAATACCAGCCAATACCGGAACGCAACACTATCGACGATGAGAGCGGTCGCCCCAGCCCTATCAACAATTCCGTCGCTGGCATTCCTCATGACCAGCGGAAGCAGGGGTCGTCGACTTATACCTCTCGCGTTGGCGTTTGGTTAACAAGGGATGTAGTCTTGATGCTCATTGCGTTCTTCTGCTGCCAGCTGAGTCGTCAATTTTCCAACGTGCTTCTCCAATTCAGCTCCTTCAAGTTCAGCTGGGACTACGCACAGGTTTGTGCCAGGTCACCCCAGTTTGAAACAATGGCAACGCTAATAGGCAAACTTCTCTAGGCTTCGTACCTCCTTCCCCTCCGCGCCGGCATTAATCTCGTCGTGCTATTCTTGGTTGTTCCTAGAGTCCTCCATTATTTGACCTGTCAAAAGGGCCTCGTTCAATGGCAGGCAGACAAACACGTCACTGTCGCTAGCAGTGTCTGCCTGGTTGTCGGATCGACCTTCATCTTCCTTTCGCCTCACCCTTTTGGCGTCGTGCTGGGGCAAAGCCTTATTGCTCTAGGCTTCACTTTCACAGTTACAGCGCGCAGCTTGCTCACAGCCATGGTAGAACCGCGATATGTGAGCCTGCTGTACACCAGTGTCACCTCTGTTACGTATGTTGGACTCGTCACTGGGGGGCCGGTTTTTGCGGCGGCTTTTCAATGGGGGCTCAAACTGGGCGGTATCTGGATCGGAATGCCGTTTATGATCACCACTGTTTTGTTCACTGTTACAACTTTGATAGTATGTATAGTCAGGGTCAAACAAGTAGAGTCTTAGAAGACAAAGACCCAAGTCATAGAAATTCCAGGGACTCCGGAAGAATCTGTATTTATCGCGGACAGATTGGTAGGTGACTCATACTCAGGGCTGTGGCAGGCTGTAATTATTAGTTTTATTAGCTGGTGCTGCGCTTCTTTCCATCTGTATGTCGGTCGCTTCATGTACCCATGTCATCGCTCCACCAGAGCTGTGGTCTGACATAACATCATGGTATTCACACGCGGCAACTCACTTATATTGCTGCATCAGACCTGCACATGTGAAATTCGGCGTCATCATCGATAAGAGCCATGTACAATGACAACTGCACGTATGACCTTGACGAGCTCAAGAGTAGACAGGTATCGGTGCTGACCACGAAGACCCCTGGACCCATATAGCGATACGCCATTAGCAGACATGTATAATCGCCGCGATTGATTAGTGATTAATTGAAACTGAATCCGACCCCAGGATTCAGAACACCGACTTACATTAGTTCAAGTGGGGGTGTGGCACGAGGACTTCGAAGATTGCTCACCTGCGACTCGTAAGGCTACGCTCTCCTCACCTTTACAACAGCTACAGGCAGATCGCGTCGTAACGCCCACAGCGGAAACAATGCGGGCAGATATGACATCAGTACCAGCGTATTTATCTGCGTTTTCACCTTATTCTGTCAACGAGATGTTTGTCAACACGAATGAGCTTGAATACTTTGCTGAGGACAAGGTAATTCAAGGGTATGTCGAAGACAAGTTTCCCCAGCGCGAGTATTACAAGTACGGCTATTCTATTTTTTGGCATGAAATATTTGGCGACCGTAATGATCACTACTACCAACGCATTCGAGACGCAGGGAAGATTGCGTTTTGTCAGTTTACCGATGCTATGTGGGAAGCCTTTAGGGATCTTGCTTCATATTATGAGTCCTTTCCCTTCCACTATGGGAAACCGTCAATGCAGATTTATCTTGACGCCGCTGCGAAATACATACGGGTGCTTAAACAAACGCATTACGCAAGTGAGAGTGGAGTTATCTGGGGAGAGCGCGGTGTTGGGTCTTGGGAATATATATTAACAGGTCCGTTCGAGGCTGCGGGAATTGTCAAGTCGTTCAAGATCGAGAAGAAGAAAACAAACCCGGATAAGGAACTTTTGCACCTGTTCAGGCTGGTAAAATGGAGGATGGACGCTGGCTGGTGGAACAATGGCAATTATCAAGATGTGTATGAGAAAGTATGATGAGGACTAGAGATTAAGGTATACAGTTTCATATATCTGAATTTTGTAGTGCGTCATGTCTTTGTTTTGTATGTGTAGTTGACGACTGAAAACACCCTCATTTGCGTGGCAAGTCGATGAAGCGCCTGATATATATCAGTCCCCTGTGAAAGCTGTCCCGCATCAGGGATGACTTGGGTGCGGCAATACTCGACATGCTCACCCATGATGCGCTGCATCGTTGCCCTGTCAAATAGAGCCCCATTTTTGAACTTGTCGTGGGGGAATGCCACGTGTTTCAGGAGCAGCGCTGCTGTATTCTTGAATTATCCTTCAGATTCTATGTATATTATTAAAATGAAAAACTTTATGTAATAGTATATAGAAATATAAGTATCTTATATATATAATATACTTATTATTAAATAATATTTTCTACTACCCTAGTCTCACTTCAAGGTTGGATAAACTACAGTCAAGGTACCCGCGTTCTGTGTGCCCGCCAACACGCGCCGGTTATATCCGTACAGCGTTCGCTGCCTTGGTACATGGTTACAAGCTACTGTATGTACGTACCTACGGACCTACATACATACATACCAAGTTAATGCCAAGCCCTTACCCAGAACGCGTTGCTTTCATGTGATGTTTGCAAGCTCTCGTTTTTGCCCTACAACCCACTCGCTTCTCGCACCGAAATTATCCATGGGCCGAATCATAGACATTCCTCTGCTAACACGCCCATGCTGATTACCATTGACCTCGCGTCATATGGTGGAACCGCGCGGCTCGTCATCAACTACGTTGCGCTATAGCTGAAGCAGAGGGAAGCTTCACGCACCTCCCGCCTCCAACGGAGCATCCTTCCCCCGCGGTCGATGCGCCGCCATCCGTCATGGGCGAGCCCAACTCCAAAGAGCTGCCCAGCGCTGCCGAGACTGACGAACTAGCACACTTGCGCGCCGGGCTGCGCTCGCCGCACCCGTATCATCGTCGCCGCCATGAGATCCTCTACGACTGCGACCGCCTGCCGCCGCCGCCCTCGCCCATTCGCCCGGGCATCCTCTCCGAGGAGTCGACGCCGGTCAGCGATAGCGGCACCGAGGCCGACGACGAGCACTTCCTGCGCGGCCTGCCCGCGCCCAGGGCCAGGCTTCATAAGGGGCTGCGCGGCCGCAACGAGGTACCCTCGGGCACGGCGACCCCCGCCTCCCCGTCCGTCATAGAGGAGGAGGAGGAGCCGCTGCTTGGCAAGGACACCGTATCCAAGTCAAGCTCCTCGGGAAGCATACTGCTCAGTCCGCTCCGGCGCTACCGCAATGTCGTGCGCCGGCTTACGGAAGGGGGCATCCTCGCCCTCCTGGGCGCCTTCGTCACCACCAACTCGCACGTGGCGCCAATATACCGAAAATGGAACCAGGGTATGTTTCGCTGAATCATCGTTTTGCCATCTCCGCTCACAGAGAATAGATTTTAAGCTGTTTCTCGGCCTTGCCACCACTCTCACGGCCGTCTACCCACTTCGAGTCTTGATATGGTCGTATCGCAAACGAAGCCCCTCGCGATGGGTACCGATCACAATACCGGCCAATTTCGACCCTGCGCCGTTGTTATATCCGCCAGCCATAACAATACTTGTATCCCTTCTCATTTCTGTTGACAATCTGGCCGTGCTTCTGCCAAACATCATCCTCAGCCTCAGCGCCCTCCCGCAGCAGCTCTTCCCGAAACTCGAGTATACTGCTTATTACGACACGATTCAATGGGCGGTGACATGCCTCCCTCTATTATGGGGGAAGGACTCTGGCAACCATCTTCGCCAGGGCTCTGCCAACCTTCCTCTATCCAGAGAGGTTATCGTTCTGCTGTATCCTTTGCACAGAACCTTTTGCCTTCTCTTGCACTGTCTGACCACAACCAGTCTGCTGATGGCCGAGCTCCAGCTGCTGTCAATTGCACTCATCAACGTTCTCATTCTCGGCAAGTCGCCGCAGATGCAGATACTCAAGGCCTTGCTCTGGGGCGGCGGCCTCGGCGTCCTCGTCGTCTGCGGCGCCGTGATCCGATGGGGCATCTCGCTTGCCCGGGTGCCCAAGTGGCGCTTCCGCAGGCTTCCCAGCGCCCGAAAGTCACCCATCTGGAAGTCTTTGCTGCGATTACTCTCGCTGCGTCAACTGCGTGCCGAGCTTCGCGGCTTGCAGCCCGACGACCCGGCCTACTCCACAGCGTGCTCTTCCGAGGACGAGGACGACACCGTGCTGGTGTTTCGTACACCTGCCCGAGTGCGAACGATGGGGGCCATATCGAGTCCGGCCCGGGCGGAACCTAATGCAACCAGGGCTGCTGCGGATTATGACGAGGATAGTATTGAGGGAATCTCGCGACGACACACACTGCCGATACCAGACCAACAAGCACGTCGCAACAGTGGGCATACGCCATCTGGTCGGCGAAAACGAGCTACGTCGCTCTCTGTGCGACCATTTCTTAAACTCACTTACGAGCAAGCCACGGCTCGAAAGTGGGCGTATGCAGCCTACGTGTATGCCTGCATTGTCCTGCTGATCTTGGTTGGCATCCGCACCTACGTCGCACGTTACGCGCTGTCCAGCCAGGAGCCCATCGGTTGGGCCTTGAGCTACCTATTCGGCGACCTCCCATGGTTCCGTTTGCAGGTCGTGACGGCGAACCTGGAACGATGGATCTGCCTTCCCCCCAACCATACCAACATGCCGGACGCGGCGGTGGCTGGCTTAGGCTGGGTCGAGAAGCTGCGCCTGCAGCGCTTTGGCGCCGCTACAACGCGCCTCCTCCTCAGTGGCTACTGGCTCGCTATCTTGTTTGTCGGTCTGCTCGTCGTGTTCCAGCTAAAGAACACCTACGAGGTCGATACCCGCCGCAAGGTCTTTCACTTCATGATGGTGGGCATGTTCCTGCCAGCACTGTACGTGGACCCAGCGTACGCTGCACTGGCTCTCGGGCTCATCCTCGCCATATTTTTGATCCTGGACCTACTACGTGCCAGCCAACTACCACCGCTATCCAAGCCCATCGCCACGTTCCTTGCACCGTACGTTGACGGCCGCGACTTTCGCGGCCCTGTCGTCGTCTCCCACATCTTTCTACTCATCGGCTGCGCCATCCCGCTGTGGCTGGCGCTGGCCGCAGTCGGTCGCGGGGGGCAAGGCTATGCTGCGGGCTGGGAGGTACCCACGCGCGACGTGAGCATGGTGGCAGGCGTCGTCTGCGTCGGTCTAGGTGACGCCGCCGCGAGCCTCATCGGTCGCCGCTACGGTCATCGCAAGTGGCTCTGGGGTGGTGGCAAGAGCCTTGAAGGAAGCGTCGCCTTCGCCGCAGCTGTCTTTGCAGGCCTGGCCTTTGCGAGCGCCTGGCTGCGCGTCGGCGGCTGGCCCACGCCCGACGAGCCATTAGGGTTGCTGGCGACAGCGAGGAACGCGGGCGTGTGCGCTTCGTTGGCGAGCGTCACTGAGGCTGTCCTAACGGGAGGAAACGATAACGTGATTGTACCGGTTGTTCTATGGACGTGCGTCAAGAGCCTGGGGGTATAGATATTGACCGACGGGACAGAGAAGGCACCCACGCCCCATGACGACGCAACGGCCATCATTCTCGCATAAACTAATATTACACAAACGACATTGCCGCAGCATTACATGTACATAATACAGACTACATAAGAGTTGTAGCGTATCAGCGACCCGTCAAGTCGAATAAAGATGTATACTTTTCAGCCATCACGTGTGTAAATGATAACAAGATACCTACGCCATTAGATCCTCCAAGATCGCCTCCAGCTCCTCCCGCGGAAACGGGAGACTCAACAGCTCCGTCCCCAGCGCATCTTTCCGACTGGTAATGATTTGATGATCGTGAAACCTGCACAATCGCTGTTAGCATGAAGATGGCCAAGTAAAAGCCCCAAAGCCAGCTTTGAGGAAAAGGAAAAGGATAAAGGAGACCATACTCTTTCAGCAGCGTCCGGAAAGCCATTTCCGAACTGCATACAAACTCCTCGACAGCCTTGTTGTACACCATCCTGTACTCAACACCCGCGCCGCCGTCTACCTCGGCGGCGGCGGCGTCGTCCTCGTCCATGGCGACGAGCACCTCGCCGACCAGCAGGCGGAAGAGGTTGCGCGCGTTCTCCGGCAAGCTGCGCAGCACGAACGCGACGCCCTCACGCCCGTGCACGCGCCGCGCCCTGCGCCCGAGCAGCTCGTGCACCTCGTCGACCGGGTCGAGCTCCGCCGGCGCGCGCGGCGCGAACGTCGTGGCGTCGTGGAAGACGAGGTCCAGCGCGGACCGCGCGCCCACGTCCCACAGCAGCGCAAAGTCGGGCCCGTCCACGGAGCACGCGAGGTGCACCGCGGGGTGCGCGGCGAGGGCGGCGAGGGCCGCGTACGAGCCGCGGCGCAGCGCGGGGCCGTCGATCGAGTGCACGACGACCGCGACGGAGGCGGACGGCGTGGCGGAGAGACGCGCCAGGATGGAGCAGCGCGCGCTTCGACCCGTGGCCGTAGAGGCACACGCCGAAGCCGCGCGCGAGCTCCAGCGCCCACTGCGCAAAGGACTCGGCGTGCAGCGCCTCGAGGCGGGCGACGTCCTCGGCGTGCTGCTCCGGGAGACGGCTGACGACGTCAAAGTACTCGTCGTGGGTGAGCGGCCGCAGCCCGGCGAGCGTGTTGTCGGACGTCTTGGGGCGGCCGGGCTTGTTGTGGAAAAAGTACGTCTCGTGCGGCGGGAGGTCGCGCGGCGGCGTGGGGGACCTGGCGCGCCGTCGGCGCGTGGTCGGCGCGCGTCGCTTCCTCGTCTTCGTAGGCGTTCCCACGGCCGCAGCTTCTTCTTCGGGGAGCAGCATGCCATCGTCTTCTTCTTCGTCGTCGTCGTCGTCGTCGTCATCTTCGTCTGAGGAGTCGCCAAAGATGGCCCGCGCCAGGTCCTCGTCCTCCTCGCCGGCGGCGTCCGCCTCGTCGTCACTGGGACCGTCGCCGGCGGCGTGAGAGAGCAGTGCGCGCGCCGTCTTCCGTCGCGCGGAGCGGTCGGCGGCGTTGCGGCCGGGCGTAGAGGCGTTGGGCCCGACGGCCTTGAGCGGCGTGAGGTGCGTGGTGGTGCGCCCGGAGGTGGAGGGCGTGGCCGGGGACTTGGTAGGCGTCTGCTTCGGTGGCCGGCCGCGCTTCCGGGGCGTGGTGACGGGTGTCGATGCAGGCGCTTCGGCTGCGTCATCTGTGGTTTGAGTGTCCATGGCCGTGTCGTGGCCGTTTATGAGGAGGTCCTCGGACGCGGAGAGCATGGTGGTGTCCAAGGACGGGGAGCTTCGCTGGCGCTTTGTTGGAGGGCCTTCATCGTAGCCGTTGCTGTCATGGCCCATGCTTATCATTTACTACATCCAGGTCCGCTGGCCTGTAGATTTTCAGACGTCAGCTAGCGTGCCAATTTCCAATGCTTCTCGATGGAGTTATGAATAACGTTGCACGGTTGTATGTGACTGGCCACTTCGTTTGAGCTTGCCTGGTGGAGCGCGTCGGGACGCGTCTCCGCGTAAAGTGGTTTTCTTTCTCAGCATATCACATCTTTCAAGTGTACTTTTTCATGCGCAATACTACACAAATAATTAATAAAGATGCAATTTGCCTACTTTTTAAACGGTCAGTTGTTTTTTCTGGTCTCAAAATTACAATCCTCTCATGTCAAAATAGTGTAGCGAAGTCTACACTCTACCAATAGGAGTTCCACCACCCCTCGGGATGTGATCTCTCAAACCAAGTGCCACCGGGGGAAGGTGACCGACCCCTCCGGTGACCGACCCTCAAAGCCTCTTCGCATCTGTACTTGGTAACTAGAGCTTTGCGTACGCCCATGAACTTGAATCTCCTTGGCGCTGACCCCGACGGCGAGTTGCCGCCAAGAGCAAAGTTCCTCATGATCAAGTAGTCGGTGTTGATGAACTGGAAAACCAGGGTATATTTTCCACCGGAGGACTTGGCCACTGTCTTCTCTCTTCCTCCCCTTTCCGGCCGCTTGCATGAAGCAAGGTCACAGGAGACGTGGGCATTCAACATGACAGTGGCCTTCCTCCACCTGGAGCTCTTTCGAGACGACTCAGCGGCTGCTTCCTCGGCACGTTGAGCACGTACTCCTGTGGCAATACTACACTCCTCGCCGTTATCCTCGTCATCATCTTTGTCCTCATCATTGTTGTCCTCATCTTCGTCGTCCTCGTCATGGTCGACAGGGTCCTGAATTCAACAAAGTTATCGTCCAAGCCTTTGCAATGATTCATATAAGCATCGCAAAACAGAACAAAGGTCTCCCTTGTAGCCATCCTCAGGCTCTGCTGGGCGGCTGACCGCTTCTTTGCAGAGAATTTGCGCAGACTTGCATGGTAGGCTTGATTGACTTCTGCCGTTCTGTTGGCCACAAACTCCGACTCCTTTTCTTTCAGAACTCTTCTTCTTTCTTCTTTCTTTGCTTTTATTTCGTCCTCTTCTTTCAGAACTCTTTTTCTTTCTTCTCGCTCTGCTTTCATTTCGTAATAGCAGCCGGCGCCGGACTCTTGATATGACCTCTCGCTTATATGATCGCAGTCCTCCCCGCCCCCGTCCCAGTAGGAGTCGTCTTCGGGGTCGTCTTCGAAGTCGCCGTCGGGATCTCGGCCGCATTTGCTGCACTCCTTCGGTTTCTCTTCGAGATCAAAAAGATCAAGATCATAGTCGCTCGGCCGTGTTCCCAGATGACAACGATTCATGCAGAGCTTAAGCACTCGGTAGTACCATGTAGGTCGGCTTGGAGGGGGACAGCCATGTTTCCTCGCAGAGCGCTTAGTAACATTGGACTCCATTTCTGCCATGACGAGTGGAAATTAAAAACAGATTGCGGCGGCAAAGAGTCAGTTATGTTGGTATTGACTGCTCAAAGGTCAGCTCTGGAGTCATAATAGTTAGGGACAATCATCAGAGTCAGATTCATCCCCTTGGAAACCGCCACCATGCATCCTGTCGGGTCAGGAAACTGAAAAATGTGCCCTGTACTCTTTTACTTCATGACTGGCTTTTGTATCTTGTCAATTTGACTTTCAAAAACACCAGTCTGAACTAGGGCAACTTAAGTATCGTAGCAAATTCTTGACCGAGATAGCGGATAGCCCCATCCGAGACGAGAGTTAGTTGCACACTGCCAATATTGCGACACGAGACCAGTATACTTCGCTTGGTTTAGTTCTGTTTTCTCTGCAATATTGACAGAATTTAGGGAAACTCTGAATACTGGAGAAGTTCCTTGAATAATATTTGTGTAATTCGTATAAATCGGGGAACCCCCGGGCTCCGCTGCCCACGGCCGCAGGCTTATCGGTCTGGGGAACAGAGTTTCGAGCAACTCTACCCGGCCCCGAATCTTGGAACATTCACTTCAACTGCCCTTGAACTGTCACTAACCTCGGCTCTCCAGCCTTGGCATTACTAATGCAAAATACTAGAAAATATATATACTCCCTTGTCGCTATCCTAAATTTGGCGGCATAGGCAGTTGGATCATCAACTACAAGAAAACATCATGGTCAGACAATCCATTGTAACACTCAGTGACGGCGCACAGGTGTTGGTTCGACTTCTCGGCGAGAGCGAAGACAGGAGCAAGCCGCTCCTCATTGCTCTACATGGCGCTCCGGGAATGTCCAGCCATCTAGAGCCAGAGAACTCCTTCGGCTTCCTGGCCAGTCGCTTTCGCGTGCTGGTGTACGACGCGCGAGGCAGCGGCGAGAGCGACCCCAAGCCGCCCTTGACCGACGAGCGCTGGATCGCCGACCTTGACGAGATCCGGTACGTTGGGCCGTCAACCTGACACTGTCTTGCAACCCTACCACTAAACGTTTTGTCCAGAACCTGGGCGGGAGAAGAAACATTCCTCCTCGCTGGTGGCTCGTATGGCGGCTTCGTCGCCCTCGGATACACCCTCGCCCATCCGCAGCGCGTCACCGGCCTGATCCTGCGGGACACCTGGGCCTTTGGCCCCCGCGGCGCCGTCCGCGCCGCGAGCAACGTCGCGCGGTCCACACAGCTCACGACGGACCCGGCCCAGCAGGTGCGCCTCTGGTCGGGCACCTTGCGCGACGACGCCGACTTTGAAGCCACCGTGGCGGACTCGCTTCCCATCTTGGCCTTCAAGAAACCGGCGGGGGCCGTACCCGCCGCGGGCGGCGGCGGCGCCTTTGAGGCTGCCAAGATGCGATTCCGCTACGAAACCCACAACGCGGCGTTCAGCTACAGCATGCCCCGGTTTGACGTGCGCGCACGGCTGCGTGAGATCCGGGCGCCGACGCTGGTGGTGGTGGGCAGGCATGATCCCATCACGCCGGTGGAGGACGCGGAGGAGATTCACGCGGGTATTGGTGGTAGTGTCTTGGCGATTTTTGAGTATTCGGGCCACAGTCCGCCGTCGGAGGAACGTGAACTGTTTCAGGAGAGGGTGTGGGAGTTTATGAATAAGATTAATTGAAGTTGATGCACAAGATTCATTGAAACACGTTGTCAAGAATGGAGAGAGAGGATGGAACAAGTCTGTGATAATTTGCAGTTTGCGCTCATATAGTTGTCAAATACATGCGTCGTCAACCTCATAACCCACACAAATAGGATATCAACCAGCAACAAATATTGAATCAACCCTTTCAAGCTCAAGCATGCTCAGTAAGCGTTATAGACTTTCCGACTTGCACTTCTCCGACCTCCCGGCCTTGTCCGTTCCTGCCTCACCACGACTGCCGGCGGCAGCGTCAAGCTCGAAGATCGCGAGCGCTGCCTGCTCCGCGGCCGTCTGTGGTGATGATGGTGGTGATGCTTCGGTTCCGCGTGGCGGCCGTACCAAGGCTCAACGTCCGACGGCGCGCCGAGGTTGAAGCACGAGCGGACGATCCAGAGGAGGAGGAGGGCGCCGACCATGGATCCGACCACGATGCCCGCGATGGCACCGCCGGTGAGCGTTGTCCCTCCGCTTCCATGGTCCGGGGTGCTGGTGACGGTGACGGTGACGGTGGCGGTTGCGGCGGAGGCTTGTCGGCCGGCGAGCGGAACGGTCCGCGAAGGCAGCGCCAGGGTCAGGTAAGGGGCCATTGGTAAACAATGCGATTGTTTGGTTTTGGGGAGGAAGTTTGGGAATCGTGATGCAATTTATGGTCTTTTTATATTTTGCCGTGGGGGGTTGGGGAGGGGGCCCAGCTCTTGTATTACATCACGACTATGTCGTTGACCCCTGCACTGACGATCTGTGGTGGGCGATCATGAACGTGTGTGGATTCTGCATAATGGCGACCAGTTATGGGGCATATTAATTGATGACGGCATCTCTGCGTATGCCAGAGCTGGTTTTCAGCATTTGGCTGAAATTCGCGCAGCATCCAATGCTGGCATTTAAATGGCGGCACTGGCTGATTGTAGATGATCATCACTCGATGCGCGAGGCCATTTATATAGTGACTGTAACATCAATTGTATCGCGCTGCTAGTTAGACATTTTAACCCCCAATCCCCTACATTCATAACCCTGCTCTAATCAGTCCAGCTCAGCAGGCCCTTCTCCGTCAGCCGCAGCTCATCGTCCACCTTGCGCCAGACCCGCAGCCTCGCGTCCGCATCCTCCGTGTGCGGCATGTTCCTGGCCTCCCAGATGCGGTTGAAGTAGCGTCCGCCGCCCCGTCCGCCCTTCTCGCCGACGCCCTGCGTCAGCGGATCCGGCCCGGCGTCGACGCTCGTCGCCGCGTTGGTGATGCAGTACGACCCTTGCTTGGGGGTGATGCCGAGCAGGCGGGCGAAGCACTGCAGCACGAAGCTGATTCCCAGGCTGATCAGCCCGAGGATGCCCTCGCCGGCCTTGAACGTCCAGATGCCCGTGTTGACGTAGCCCGGGTGGACGCCATTGATCGTGAGGTGTCGGTATTTCTCCGAGCGCATCAGCCGTTCGTGCATCTCAACGACCCAGCACTGGAAGTACAGCTTGTTGTTGTTGTAGAGCTGGACGCCGTGGCAGCCGTCGCCGTTGAAGTTGGCCAGGTCGTAGACGCCGACGTAGGTCATGCACGAGGTGGTGCAGACGACCCGCGGCGCCGGCGCGGCCGCGAGCGCGGGCAGCAGACGCAGGGTCAGCAACACGTGCGACAAAAAGTTGACCTGGTGGACGAGCTCGAAGCCGTCCTCGCTGCGGATGTGCCGGGTGACGCCGCCCGGGTTGGTGCCCATGCCGGCGTTGTTGCAGAGCACGTCGAGAGGCCGGCCCGTGGCGAGCCAGCGCGCGGCCAGCGCCTCGACCGAGGCCAGCCGGCCCATGTCCACCTCCCACCACTCGACGACGCTCTTGGCGTGGCCGGCGGCGCGCGCCTCGGCGGTGCAGTGGTCGGCCACGGCGCCCGGGTGCTTCTCGGCCGGGCTCACGCGGCACGCCAGCACCAGGTTGGCGCCGCACCGCGCAAAGTGCAGCGCCGCCTGCTCGCCGATGCCGCTGTTGGCGCCCGAGATCAGGATCCAGCGTCCGGAGAGGTCCTTGGCCGGCACGTCCTGGTCGGTGAGCGTCTTGCCCCGCGTGCCCTCCCAGAAGCACTTGTAGCGCCGCCAGAGCCAGGTCGGCTCGGTGAAGGAGAGCGGAGCGTCGTAGGCGACGTTTTGGTACGGTGACGGTGGCATTTTGTCTCTGTCGGGGGTTTGATGTAGAGGTGAAGAGGGAGTGGGAGAAGCCAGGTTTCAGCTGCAAGCCTCTTGGTCGGTGGCTGGAACATGGTGTATTATAGGTAGATGAGATAGAAATGCCTAGGCAAGAACGGTCCTCGGGTAAACTCTATGGCACGGCCCCGCGAAACCCCCCGGCATATCGGCTCGCTATGATCGCCGTTCAGGGCGGAGACGGGGAGCTTCCGACACCCAGCCTCGGCCAGCAGTAGCGGGGTACTCTCGATGAGAACTAATAAAAAGCATCCAAGTTGCTGGTAGTTTTGAGAAACAATCATGGTTAGTGTCAACTATGGGGTAACTAGTGTTGGTGTTGCTCTCGTTTTCACATGGGTTGGCTGCAAACGATTTCGCAACTCACCCTAGAGTTGATAGAGGACAGCTCCTGCTGCCGCATTCGGCATTCTGCTGGCTGAGACGCGATAAAAAAAATTAATCTTGGAGTTTCTCTTTCTCTTGAGTGGCCGACGATGTAAAATTCTATTGATAAGAACAAGGCTGAATTGAAGGCATGCCAAGCACAATTCATTAAGCTATTTCTTCGGCACTGTATATACACAACCAGGTCGCTGTAAGCACACGGTAAATTCATGGCGAATTTTCGTGGGCAGAGTATTTCCAGATATATTTTTTTAATAAATCTAGGCTTGACAAATATACAGCAGATAATCCATTGTTTAACTATGCATCTAGGAAAAAAAAATACGTCACGGATAATCATACGTCAGAAGCCACATCTGCTGCCTGGGTAATATGCAGTACTTATCACCAGTACTTATCACCACTTCCCGCTATGAAAGTGAAGAAAGGCTTGCCAAGAAAGACTATTATTACACCAGTCATAAAACAAACCCCTCCGTTAGTACAAATCTCCCGTCGAGCCGTACAGGTGCTCCCCTCGCTCCAGCACCTCAACCTCATCCCCGACGCAAATCTCCAGATTCACCAGCCCCTCCCGCGCTGCGTCCAGGTCCCTGTCCTCCGGCACCGCGTGCATCCCCAGGTATCCCAGCGCCGCGCCGTTGCCGCTCTCCACCATGCGATGCCTCACCAGCGCCGTCGTCGGCTGCGGCAGCCCCTTCTTCTTCCCCTCCGCCGGCCTCTCCGCCGAGAACGTGCCGCTCTCCGGGTCCACGTTGGGCATCGTGCACCTCGACGTGCGGCACACCACCGACAGCGTCGTCGCCAACTTCGCCCCTTCCCTCCGGCGCTGCCGGGGTACCACGCGGCACCGCTTCCACGACTCCTCGTCGTACGCGGCCGCGCCCGCGATCCACAGGTTCGCCCGGAAGCGCAACGCGTCCAGCGGCCTGTTCTCCCGCGGCAGCAGCCGCGACACGGCGTGCACCGACGCCACGCTGTTGACGTTGACCGGCTGCTGGTCCGTGTAGCCGTGGACCGCGCGCGAGCCGATGCGCGCGAGCGGCGCGAGGTTGCGGTCCGTGCGCGTCAGCGTGTCCGGCGTGCACCGGAGGAGCGTCAGCGTGCGGCGGTCGGGGTACCCGAGGAGGGCCTTGAGTCGCGGGACGGCGGCGGCGACGGCGGCGAGGCGGCCCATGTCGACGCCCTGCGCCTCGCGGGAGTGGATGGTGAACGGTCGCGGCTGCAGGTCCGACTCGCGCAGGTACCGGATGGTGGGCGTGAGCGGGACGACGAAGGAGTACCGCGGCGTGGCGTTCCAGCGCAGCTGCTCGAGACAGGCTTGCAGGCGCCGCGTGAGGGTCGGACGCTCGGGGTCCGGGAACGTGATGCGTAGGGCGCCGCCGGCGTGGACCAGGGGGTCTTTGACGTCGCCGCCTTCCCGCGGGAGCCACAGCTCGGTGTGGATGAGCGACATCTTGGGCTTGGTGCGTTGGCTGATGAACTGCAGCGTGCTCTTCTTCTCGTCCGACTTCTTGTCCTCGGCGTCAACCGCAAAAGCGAAGCACCTGTCGTAGAGAAGCCCGGCCTTCGTGACCACGGCCTTGTCTACCTCAACAGGGGCGCACGACTTGATGGGGTGGATGAAGATGGCCTTGATGGTCACTGGTCCGTCGGTAGGCGTCCCTTCTGGTATGGCGTACTTGTCATCGTACTGGTCCTTCATATTCTTCTTCTTGGGCTTGACGCGACGCAGATTTCGTAGCTGGCGCCACGTCTTGAAGCTTGGTGTAGTCCATAGCAAGCCAACGATAATGGAGGCGAGTGATAGGACCAATGCTGCAACTGTGTACGCAGAATTACCCGCCGTCAGGACGGTCCTGACTTTCTGAATCACATGCAGCAGCATCTTGCCGCTCGCACTCGTGCCTGATGATGAATGAAGAAGGACACTTCTCACGGCAGCCACGGAATAAAATGAGAAGGTGCCCAGAACTTTTGGTGGCGGGCCTCCTGTGGAGCGTGACTGAGTCAATTTCCTGGAACGGACACTCTCCAGCCAACCTATATTCGTATATTTCACTTGATCTCTGCTACCCGGGGTGCTGGTGCGTGAGCTTCCCCAGGGTGGAGGCAATGAATGGACCAAGCCAATATTCGCCGAAAATGATGCATTTGGGATCATCTCCAGCCTCACATCCTGGATCGACGGTTTTTAACGGTAATAACCAACCGCCGCTGGCTCTCTATCCGCTGGAAATCAACGTCGGAGACCGTTACAGTAAACGGTTACGCTAATAAGGCTACCAGCTCATGGCGTGCTTTTGGTGGCCGCGGGAGACCGTCCCTGGAGCGACGGGCGAGGAATGTAAGTAAATATTTACAGAATTTGGTTGATATCTTCTTTTTGCGGATGTTCTTTCCGCTACTTCATCAAAATTACAAATGTGCTTCACCGTACCATACGCCGCGAAAATAACGACCTTATCCAGATGGGACTCTATCCGTAATTTCAAGTTGTAATAGATTGACCAATAAATGTGGTTAGCGGTTCCTCCCTTCCTTTGATTCTTTACCACTTCTTATTAATTACCCCTTCTCCCGTTCATGGGAGTAGAAATCATGCAGAAAATGGTTTCCGACTTGACGTGCCTGTCGGAGCCAACCATTGGCATGGTCTCATGAGATGCGCGACATCGAATAGCCAATTTGATGTATTGTCATGCTTCCTGCAATCTACACTTGCACCCACTCTCTGCATCCCTAACCATACCGCACCTGCCCGGCGCCCACCCTAAACCAATCGCCCTGCGCGATGGACTCCTCCGTCGACGCGTAGTTGATAATCGTGCTCCTCGTCATCGTATACGCGTGGTACGCCTCGACGCCGTTCTCGCTACCTACACCGCTCGCCGCCGTCAGCCCGCCCCACGGGCTGCTCGGGTCGTTGCGATGGTGCGTGTTGACCCAGACGATGCCCGCGCGGATCTGCTCCGACACACGAAACGCCTGGCTGAGCTCCGTCGTCCACAGCGCCGCCCCGAGGCCGTATGGCGTGTCGTTGGCGAGCGCCACGGCCTGCGCCTCCGTGTCGAAGCCGACGAGCACGACGACGGGTCCAAACGCCTCTTCACGCCAGAGGCGCGTGGCTATGACGGGGCCTCCGTTGCTGGTATCCTCCTCCCAGATGGGCGCTCGGGGGTGGGCGATCGAGCCCAGGTCGAGGATGGTGGGCGGGTAGAAGTGACCTTTGCTGAAGTCGGTCCCGTCGAGGGGCGAGGTGCCGCTCATGCGCTCGCCGCCGTGGACAAGATCGGCGCCGTCGGCGAGGGCATCGCCGACAAGACTCTCAATGTTGTGGAGCTGCTTTGAGGAGATGACCGGGCCCATGGTCGACTCTGGGTTGGCCGGTGATCCCATACGCTCCTGAATTGACTCCGCCTTGGCCTTGATCTTGCGCCGCACCTCGTCGATGACACTGTTATGCACCAGGATCCGCGTGGCAGCCACGCACGTCTGCCCGCTAGCGATGAAGGCTCCAAACGCAATACCATTGACCGCCGCATCCACCGACGCCTTCTCCAACACAATCAGCGGCGCCTTACCGCCTAACTCCGCCGTGTACCTCGCCAAGTTGCCGCCGACAACCGCCCCGATGGCGCGCCCCGCGGCCGTCCCGCCCGTGACGTCCACCTTGCGCACCAGCTCGTGGCCGACCAGCGCCCTGCCCGCCGTCGCGCCCAGGCCCGGCAGCACCGAGAACACGCCCTCCGGGACGCCGGCCTCGGCGAGGATCGGCCCCAGAAGCAGGCTCGTGACCGGCGTCTGCTCGCTCGGCTTGAGCACGACCGAGTTGCCGGCGGCCAGCGCGGGCGCCAGCTTCTTGACGGCGATGAGCAGCGGGTGGTTGAAGGGTGTGACGAGCGCGACGACGCCCAGCGGCACGCGGTCGGCCCAGTTGTGCAGCGCCCCGGCGGTCGGCAGTACGGCGCGCGTCTCGGTGCGCAGCAGCGCCGCGTAGTACCGGAACCAGCGGACGAGCGTGGGCACCTGCGCGCGCATCTCCCGCACGGCGCGGCCCGTCTGCCGCACCTCGAGCGTGATGAGGTGGTTGAGGTGCCTGCCGAGGAGAGCGGCCGCCCGGTCCAGCACGTCGGCGCGGTGCTGGCGTGGAGAGCGCGACCAGTCGCCGTCGCAGAACCGGCGGTGCGCTGCCTCAACAGCCTGGGCTATGTCGGCCTCGGATGCCGTGTGAACTCTGTGTCCCGGGTGAGCTTGATGTCTGACACCCGCTAATTGATCTTGGTGGATAACTTACTCTGCGATCCTGTCACCAGTGGCGGGGTCGTGGACAAGCAATCTGATGTTCATGTTAGTGAAGCCCGGGAAGCGATGTTGGATTGCGCTTGCAGCTGTCCGTGGCCGGGCGTTTGCTTGCCACACCACAGAGGGTACGGGCTGTTCGTTTTCACGACGTCTTCGTAGTCGTATAAAGGCATTTTCGTGAGTATCGAAGCAGAAAGTTGTCGAAAATGGCCGGCTGTGAGCGAGCTACCAGTTGGCCTGCCTATCTATGCGGGGTACATCTGTAGGGTGCAGCTTAACGTATCATGGCCGGTGGTGCCTTAGTAGTTTGCGTCCGCAGTCGCGAGGGCTAGGTGAAGCAGGAAAAACGAGAGCGAGAGGGAGCAGTAGACTCGCGAACTATTCGGCTGGTTCAATTGGTAATGATCGCTCTCGTAGAATTGCAAACGGATTGTTCTTTAGACGGCAAGTTGTGGCTTCTGACACTGGCTGCAGGTTAAGACTCGGAACTGTGCTTGGTGCGAAGATCATCTCGTTTATTTGTGTTGAGATACTAATCATAAACAATACACGAATAGCAAGAATTGAATTGCCCAAAAAATGTCAAAAGGGGGTTGAAATGTTGTCGCTCATCGGAATGTGCCATCTGTAGAGGCAAATTGGAGGTTCGGCATTTATCCTCGACAGTCATCATTCTCGCAGTCATGCCATGAGTTTCGAGCTGTCGATCAATGTTATCCTGGAAATCGAGCCAAAAAAAAAAAAAAAGGCCGATGGACACGGAATTGACATTGATTTTTTGGGGTTTCGTTTTTCGCTAGGTACCTGTTGCTCAATGGTTGGTAAATAATCCTGTAGCGCAGCTTGGAGCTTCCCCTGAGAAAGGAGGCAGTGGGGCCAGCTTGTGACGCGCGACCGAAGTTCAGCCTGTGGCCACCTGGACTTGGACTTGTCAAGACGTCAACCTCCAAATCCACGCGACCCCTGGAGCCAGCTTATCCTGATTGCTACGGCTCGAACTATCCGACAGTCTTGCGGCAATCACATCCGCGATGAAGTTTTCAACGCTGCTGACGGGCGCTGTCGCCCTCTTCAGCTCCGAGGCCATTGCCACCTCCCTTACATATCGGGTCGAGGCTCACGAGCAAGCTTGCTTCTACGCCAACACCAAGAACGCCAACGAAAAGATTGCCTTTTACTTTGCTGTACGGACCCCGAGATAAATATCGGTCGAATCAATTCGACGCGAAGAGAAAGGTGCGTTGCTAATGCTAGCGAACAGGTCCAATCCGGCGGCTCGTTCGATATTGACTACGAGGTCACCTCCCCCAGCGGCAAGATCATCATGTCCGGCGAGAAGGAGCGCCAGGGCGACTTTGCCTTTACCGCGCAGACACCCGGCGACTATTCGTTTTGCTTCAGCAACAAGATGAGCACCTTTGCCGAGAAGTTTGTCGATCTCGAAATCTCGGTGCGTGCAGCGCCATTCGCGAATGGCCAACACTTAGCATTGGACACCAAGACTAACCATTCTCACGCAGGTCGAGAATGAGGCTCGTGCGCAACTCCCCTCTAAGCAAGGTTCTAGCCCTGAGCAGACCAACATCCTCGAGGACTCCGTCTACAAGATCTCGGGCCAGCTGTCCACCATTTCGCGAAACCAAAAGTACTTCCGCACGCGCGAGAACCGCAACTTTGCGACCGTCACGAGCACTGAGAACCGCATCGTAAACTTTAGCATGATTCAGTCGTTCCTCGTTGTCTGCATGGGTGGTCTGCAAGTATTTGTTGTCCGATTCTTCTTCCAGGTAAGCCAGGTGGCCATACAGCCTCGGCGGGGCCGTACGCTGACAATTCCCAGGGCGCTCGCAAGGGCTACGTTTGATCCGTACATTCTTAACGAAACTGCAATTTTTTTTAATACATTGGCGGCGTGGGTTTTGAAAATTCGGTTCGGTGGGAATAGGCTGTACAATCAATGGTGGCTGGCTGCACGCACTTGTGTCGCTCGACGTGGTTTACATTGCATGGTATAGAGTAATGGATTGCATAAGGCAAAAGCTACCTACAATGTTGAAATTCTACCCAACTTCCTTTTGACCACTGATTTATTCTAATAATGTGTGTAAATATGTATACATGTTCGCGTCCTTTCTAACTAACTGCCAGAGGCACGATCGCATCTTAATCCACGCTAACCACTTTAGGACAGCGCCTCTGCTCCAAAATTCTTGACCCAGGCAGCGACAGCCTCGAACTCTGCATCCAATTTCCCAAAACGACGAGACCAAGCGACACGACACCATGGCGTCTATCGCCGCATCTTTGCAGTCTTCGCTGCCGGAACCGAAATACACGGGCGAAGATGAAGAAATCCCCTCGCACGCCAAGCCGCGCGGCCCTCGCATCGTGGGCGTCGGCCAGATCGACGAGACGCAGGTCGTGCTGAAGCGCTCCGGCCCGCCGCCATACGGCCAGCGCGTCGGGTGGCGGCCACGCTCGCAGGAGGACTTTGGCGACGGCGGCGCGTTCCCCGAGGTGCCGGTTGCGCAGTACCCGCTGGACATGGGCCGAAAGGGGTCGACGACGAGCAACGCGCTGGCGGTGCAGGTGGACGCCGAGGGCAAAGTCAAGTACGATGCCATCGCGCGGCAGGGCCACGGCGAAGGCCGCATCATCCACACGTCCTTCAAGGACCTGATCCCGCTGCGGCAGCGCGCCGACGCGGGCGAGATCGACCTGTCGCGGCCGGACAAGGAGGCGGTGGCGGCTTCGGCCGAGCGGACGCGGGACGCGCTGGCCAAGCTCGTCAGCGGCGCGGTGGCGGCGCAGAAGCCCAAGAACGTCAATGTCGGGCAGCGCGCGGACCCGACGTTTGTACGGTACACGCCGGCGAGCCAGATGGGCGACAACTCCAAGAAGCAGGACCGCATCATGAAGATTGTCGAGAAGCAGCGGGACCCAATGGAGCCGCCCAAGTTCAAGCACAAGAAGATCCCGCGAGGACCGCCCTCGCCGCCACCGCCCGTCATGCACTCGCCCCCGAGGAAGCTGACGGCGGAGGACCAGGAGATGTGGCGGATCCCCCCGCCGGTATCCAACTGGAAGAATCCCAAGGGTTACACAGTGCCGCTGGACAAGCGCTTGGCTGCCGACGGACGAGGACTACAAGACATTACGATCAACGACAAGCACGCACAATTTGCAGAGGCCGTCAAGATGGCGGAGCGCCACGCGCGCGAGGAGGTGCAGCAGCGTGCTCTCATGCAGCAACGCCTAGCGGAAAAGGAAAAGATGCAAAAGGAGGACAACTTGCGGGCGCTGGCCCAAAAAGCCCGCGAGGAGCGCAACGCTGCCGGCAACGCGAGCCGCGGCCGGCGCTACTCGCGTGGCTCTGCCGACTCGCGCGACAGCCGGGACTCGCGCTCCCGGTCGTCGAGCTACGACTCGCGCCGGTCCTCGCGCAGCCGGTCCGGTAGCGAGTCGGAGGGTGAGCGGGCGCGCACCAAAGCGCGCGCGGAGCGGCGCAAGGAGAACGAGCGCAAGCTGCGGCAGAGCCACATGGGCGCGGAGCGGCAGATGCAGGCAATGGCGCGGGAGCAGAACCGCGACATCTCGGAGAAGATCCAGCTGGGGCTCGCGAAGCCGACGCAGTCCCGGGAGGCCATGTACGACTCGCGGCTGTTCAACCAGTCGAGCGGGTTCGACAGCGGGTTCAACGAGGACAACCACTACGACAAGCCGTTGTTCGCGGCGCAGGATGCCATCAGCAGCATCTACCGGCCGCGCGCCAACGTGGGGGATGATGACGAGGACGGCGAGGCCGGCGACCGGGAGATGGCGAAGATTCAGCGGGCCGGACGGTTCGGGGAGGCGCTGGGCAAGGGCACGTTCAAGGGCGCGGCGGAGGTGGAGGCGCGCGAGGGGCCGGTGCAGTTCGAGAAGGCGGCGGACGATCCGTTTAACGTGGACAAGTTCCTGTCCGAGGTGGACAAGAAAGGGCCGGGGGGTGAGGGGGGGAGTGGTGGGAAGAGAGAGGGGTATGGCTTGCAGGATGAGGAGGACAGAGGCAAGAAGCGCGCACGTGTGGAGGATGATGACTAGAGGCGGTGCGGGGACTTACAAGGAAGATTGTAATTGTTATCGTATATCTGCCTTAGCTTGGCAGGGGCATGCATCTGGCGTCTTGGCTGCTTTTTCTTGATTTCGTTTGTACAGAGTAGTGACAGGCATCACCATAATGGGAGTCACACCTTGACCAGGTTTACTACACGCACGACCAAGTACAGTATGGGAATACGTAGAGAGAACTTTTGTTTTCCATGCGCAAACCAGGCAGCAGTTGTCTCATTCAAAATGAGTGATGGATATGCAGGAGCGGTGGCATACTGGGTTTGCCTTTTGACAGGTGTGACAGGAAAGGCGTCCAAGGCAGCCCTCATGGCGTCCTTCCTCGGAGATGTTCCCTCCAGAAGGATTCATTCAGCTGAGAAGAATGCATACCGCTCGAGCCACCTGCCATTCTAGCTATCTTTTTTTTCCCGTCCAACTTCTTTGTGTAGCGCCCCCTCGGCGCGAGTTTCTCGGATCTACGGCAGAGGGCGTGAGAGACAAAGAAAGCATGAGGAGGGGGTTCGTTTATAACCTAGCCTGCATATCGTGCAAGGTAAGGTGATAATCCTCTCTGATTTAGACCTCCTTCCTGATAAACTACTAGGTGCTAACCAGACACCTCAGACCGAATAGCTTCTTTGGAGTCTCTATAATGGCGGTGGACTCGGCTGGCAGCTCTTCAACATCGTCGAAGCAAATCGATAAACATGGCCCCAACGCTATTTCAGGCAACACTGGCTTCAATGTAGGCCTCATTAACGGTTTATCCTTTACGTTGAACGCTGCTGCAAGAGGCAAGTGCTTACCAAGGCTGGCAAGATGATGTTAACGGAGTAGAGGAGACGGCCGAGAATAGGCATCAACGGCACTTGGAGAGTAAGAAGCAACAGCACGTCAATTACACGATCACTTTGAGATAACTGACAATTTCATCTCCAGCCTGTACAAGCTACCTTGCCTGTTCTGCAGCCCGGAAGAAGTATTACGACGTGGACAGTCTTCCCTCTGCAGACTGGCTGTTCAAGCAAGAGCCCTTTAAGCGATGGCTTCATGGCCGCCCGCCCACGCTGCTCACCATCCGCGGCAGGGGCTTTACCGGCAAGTCGGTTATGATGAAGAGGGTAGTAAAACGGAACAAAAAAGAAACACCAGCTCCATCACCCTCCACCATTTCTTCGGCGGTTCAGCTTCAGGGGCCCTCACCGCGCTCCTGAGGCAGCTACTCGGCCAGCTCCTGGCGCAGCTGCCGAGCACGCCGCTTGAGGATGTCTGTCGCTGGGGCGAAGACATCAACGGCGAGAGATTTGAAGAGCTCTGCTCGCACACCGCGCTCCGAGAAAAGATTAAGGACGTTATTTTGTAGAACAAGCGGCGACTGCGAGAGGACGACACTGCGATTCGCGTCTTCGTGGACGGAATAAACGAGCACCTGGATGATGACTCTTCCCTTGACGCAGAAGCAAGCAGCCAGCCCTTCTGTATTCTCGAGTTCTTCCGGGATCTGCTCAGTTCCCTCCAATCGGATGGCGTGGACATTGCGGTCTGCGTCTCCCGCCGCCACAAGAATTACTACCACGGCCAGGAGCCGCCGGACGAGAAGCTCGAACTCGAAGAATACATCGACGCGGAGATTTCTCGACTCTTAAAGGCCAAGCTCCGGTGCGTTGGCGATCCGGAGAGGGAAGCCGTCATGCTCTATCTACTACGGCGCACGGGCTCCAACAACTTCTACTGGACCGCCCACGCCTGTGGCAAGATCACAAATCGCGGCGCCGGCTTCACCGAGGAGCACGTCCTGGAGCTCACCTCCACCGTGATCAAGACCACAGGTCGCTGTGCGAGTACGCGCTGTCGGCGGCGCGCACCTCCGAGGACGGCCGCGACCGGCTCCTGCAGCTACTCCGGCTGCGCCTCAGCACGTTCCGACCACTCCGGGTGGACGAGTTTCGGCACGCGCTCGCGTTTGCCGAGGCGGAGGACGTTCAGCCCGAGAGCATGCGCGAGTGGGAAGAGGAAGACCCGCGCCGGCGATCGGCGAGCGAGTTCACGGTGTTCATCCACGAAGCGTCTGGCGGGCTCCTGTCGACCCGGCCGTTGTTCGAGGCGAAGCGCGCCGCCTTGAACTTTCTTCCAATCGCCGGAGAGAGCATCGTAGAGGACGATGACGACGACGAAGAAGAAGAAGAAGAAGAAGAAGAAGACGAAGAAGAAGAAGAAGAAGAAGAAGAAGAAGAAGAAGAAGAGGAGGAGGAGGAGTGGGTCATGTTTACGCAGCACACTGCGGAGCATTACCTTTGCGACGACAATGGACCTCGTGAGCTGCGCATCGACGACACGACGTTGCAGCGCTCCTGCGATCTACTCCTATACCACATCTGCCGGTCCGTCCTGCATGCCTGCGGCCTGCGCGGAGACGACGATGCCAAGATCCTCGACTACGCGCTCGAGTACTGGCTGCAGCTCGCGCGGCGTCTCGGCGAGCTGCCGGACACTCTGCGCATCCCCAACTTCCTCAACAACGACTGGGCAAGTCGCGGCGGTTTGTCCGGGGGCAGATCAACGGCCTGTGCAACGGCGAGTACGTCGCCGGCCTGCAACTCCGCGACTACCTCCGCGAGGACCCAGACTCCGGCGTGCTGGACACGGACGATGTCGGCATGCTGCTGCTGCTGCTGTCCACGATGGGCTGCACCGCGCTGCTGCGGCACCATCTACGGCGGTGCGGCGTCTGCGGCCACGTCCTGGAGGCGGCCGCCGGGGGCGACCAGGCCGCGATGCGCATCTACCAGGAGTGCCTGCGCAGCGCCACGATGGGCCAGCACGAGGATACGGCCGTTTTTCTACTCGACCTCGCCCCGGCAGCGGTGGTGGAGCTGAACGCGCACCACATGAAGATGACACCGCTGTACCGCGCGCGCTACTACTCTAGCCTGTCCGTCGGCGACAAGGCGGCGCGGCTGGACCTGGTGCGGCAGCTTCTGCGGCGCGGCGCCGACCCGGCTGGCGGGTCGCCGCAGGAGTACGAGTACCCGATCAACGTCGCGATCGCGCACAACAGCGTGCCGCTGATGAAGGAGCTGCTGAGCGGTGGGGGGAAGTCAGGCGCGGTGGTGCTAAGCGCGCGCGGCGAGGACACGGGGTGGACGCCGCTGCACTTTGCGGCCCGGAGCCCGCGAAGCAGCGACAAGGGGAAGCCGGCAGTGGTCAGGGCGCTGGTGAGGCTGGCGCCGCCGGGGCTGGGGTTGCTGAAGATGAAGGACCAAGAGGGGAGCACGCCGAGGGACCTGGCGAGGAAGTTGGAAGGCAGATATGGGAGTGGTGTGCTGGACGTGCTGGACGCGTTTGCCAAGGTTGATAGGCCGCGGGAGGGTGGTGATGGTACGGCGGGGGTCGCGGCTGCGGGGAGGAAGAGGAAGTTGGTGAGTATCGAAGATGAATCGGTCTGGTCACAGAGACGTCTCTGTGCTAGTGCTTTTTTTCTTCTTTATCTCTCTATTGGTATCACAAGGGGTTGATGTGCATGCACAGGTGGTTTGGGTTGATTTCGCTTGATTGAAGCTATCAACTCTGATTGGCTCGGAGGCCCTATGGATACAAGAAAACTGGGTCCCATCTCTCTTCTGGCCAATGAGAGCCCTCTATTGGCTCTATGCAACAACACTCTCAAACGTAATTGATAGCACATCACGTAACCTAACATTGCGTTGGTTTGGGTTGGCTTGGTTTGGCTGAATTCTCTTGAAGACTACAATTCACAGTACGTTGTCCTTGTTAAATTGATAAGATTCTAAAATTCTAAAAAGAAATATATATATTTTTCCTAGAAACATTCTTCTTTTGATTCTCGATGGAAGTTCGGAGCGCAATCTGCGTGCGGACTTTGCTTTCCTGAACCAGGCGGCAGCTGTCTCTTATGCCGCAATTGTCAGGCCATGCAGTCAGCCTTGCATCCAGTTGAGTTGAGTTGTCGCAGGGACGCTGCGGACAACCGGCGGCGTCGGCAGGCCCAGACGACGGAGCCTTGTTGGATGGGTCGATTTCGGGTTCTTCCCTGACGATAAGGCATGCCTATCTTTGATGCGTTCCTATCTATCTAAGGGTCCGAGGTCAATAGAAGTGGAAATATTTTATTATGATTTAATTTTATTCATAAAAGTGTTATCGGAGACGTTGCTGTGCCCGTTACAGGTGGATGCCCTGACCCTGATAATAACTAGCATGTTGCTTATATCCGGTGTTATTCCCTAGAATAGGCTACCAAAGGCTAAAAAAAAAAAGTCGATGTCATCAAGCAAGGCGAAAAAAAATCATAGCTTTGTTATCTTGGGCTTGGCGAAAAAAAAAAAAGGTCCGCAAAGGTGGCATGTTACATGGGCGGGATTGAGTCATACCCAAGTCTCCGCCACTGAAAGGGGACGATAAGTGCATTATTAGTACCTGCATACCAGTACCTATCAGCAGCAGCATGTGCTCGGCCGGGCGGTACCGAATGCAGCCATCCACCGGGAGTTGATGGGACGTGTGTGACGTGCGGGTGGCGGCGGATTAAAATTTTCGAAGGGGTTTTCTATTTATGTACGCGGTGGCTTGTAATGAGATATAAGGGTGGTCTGTGTCGCCTCGTTGGGGCGGCCAAGCTGTAACATCCAACATACATTTTGCCAAGTCACAAGCTTTTCCCCTCTACAAACGCGCAAACACAACGAAACGAATACCTGCTTCCGCGACGTCCAATTCGAGTGAGATACGGCGCGCATACGAGCTTGGCGCATTTACGACGCGCGTACACAATACAGAAAATCTACAAACACAAGATCTACAAACACCACACACATCGACATCATGTCCGCCGCCAAGACGGCGCTGCTGCTCGCGCCCGCCATCACCAGCACCTGCACGCTCCTCTACGGCTTCGACCAGGAGCTCTTCCTGCGCCTGCTCACCCTCCGCGCCACCGCGCGCGACGCCGACTCGCTACTACCCGCCTACTGGCGTCGCCTGATGCGCGTCGGCCTTCCGCGCGTCCTCGGCTTCCTCGCCGGCACCGCGTCCACGAGCGTCGCCGCGCTGGTCCTCGCCCGGCCGCTGCTCGCCCAGCGGGCCAGCGCGTGGTGGTACGGCGCGGCGGCGGGCTGCGCGGCGGCGCACCTGGCGTGGGTGCCGTGGGTGACGGGGCCGATCCGCGCGATGGTCGAGGACGACGGCGTGGCGGTCGCGGACGACGAGGGGCCGAGCAACGTGGATCACCAGCGGCGGTGGTTGCGGGTGAACTGGGCGAGGACGCTGACGACGGATCTCCTGGGGTGGGCGTGCGCGGTGGTGGCGGTGACGAGGACGCTGGCGGTTGAGTGACGGGAGGCGGAAGTTGCTGCTTTACATTTTGCGAATTTTGACAGGAGCTGCATATTAATACCCCCATTATAAGAAGGACCGACGATGATGTTACGACTTTGCTTTTGTTGGTTGGTGAAACGGGGAGAGACGCGGCGAAGGTTTCGGTGCACCGTTTTGAGGGTGCGGATTGTGACATATATACATGCATACATAGCCACGCTACTCGATCAACACGATTTTTTTCTGATTTGAAAACTGCGATATTGAAAGAGTTGAATATTACCATTGATAAATAGAATAGAATCGGAGGAAATTCACCCCTGTTGCCTGCCCATCCCGTGACAGCACCGCCGATCCGATTGCCGTGATGCCCGCTAAGCCGTTTCCGCTGGCCGGCGTCACTGGTAGAAGGAAAGCCACGGCAAGCCCCAATAGACTCCCGCCTCTGGATGGGATGAGCAACGTTGCCCAACACAAGACATCCAACAAATGTCTCGCACTGTGATCGTCTCGATCGGCTCTTCATCTTGCCATGACCGCAGACCTCCCCACTCCATGACACGTCAATGCCGTCCTTTCAGTTCCACAGCTTGCTATCTGGAACTTGATCGTCTCCTGGATACACTTTTTTCAGTGGCCGGCCAGCCCAGCCGGCCAGCCAGCCAGCGCCTGTTGAAGCACACTGCGAGCAGCCTGATCGTCAGGGGATTCCAGGGCGGCCGCCAGCTTGTTGCCTCACCGGACTGGTACTCGACGCGCGTCCCCGCCCATCCTTTCTTCCCTTGCCTGGCCTTTCCTTGTCCGGCTTGTGAGAGTTGGACGCTGAGAGCTCATTCTCAGCGTTTGTGCCTGTTCCATCTCCACTGTCTTTTGCTTTGCTAGCCAGTCGCCGTCCGCCGCAACCACACACTCACACACACACGCACACACACACACGCACACACACACAATATGTGCAACACATATTGGCATGTAGACACTAAAAATATGCGCCATCAAGGGGTAAGCACCAATAAATCTCGTAAATAGCTAGTTTGCTGCACTGTATCCATACTCTGTTGAGTGATAGTTCTCGTATCTGGAGGAGGCGCAGCACCCGCATCTCCAACCGGCCAATTCCCGTCCCGCCCATCCCGTCCGTTGTCAACAGACAGCCCAGCTCGACAGCTCTTTCTTGTTCTAAATTCCTTCTCAACAAACCACTCTCTATTTCATACTTTTCTTCAATTTTTTTCTTCACACATCTTCACCGCCAAGGAAACATCCGCAAGGTCCCCCGCCAAAGTCCCCTCTAATCCACTCCCGTCTTTGGCGTCTTGGCAAGCCTGCCTATTCCAGGGCCTCGGCCGAAAAAGGCCCCTCCAGTGTGCATCGTGAGCTGTCTACTGGTATTAACTAGTCGAAAAGGCAACAGGAAAGGCAGCGAGCCTTGTTGCAAGCTTCATTTTTAATATCGTCAGCCTGATTCTGCGTCCTTTCCCGTCCATTGAAGCGAAGAGAAAAAAACCAGTCTCCTCGGCATCCATTCACTACATCTATCCCACCATGCCCGGCTACGAAGACGAGGGCGACCTCATGCCCTCTCACCACCACGGCAAAGCCAGCCGTGCCGTCACCAAGATGCCTTGGTGGAATCCTCGCTATTGGACCCGCAAGGTCTGGATTGCTGTTGTCGTTGTCTTTGTCATTATCGCCGTCGTCATTGGTGTCGCCGTCGGCGTGACAGTCTCCAAGAATAACGCCTACCCTAGCTACAAGCCGCTGTCCTACGCGCTGCAAGACACATGCAAGTATAGCCCGGAGTTTGCGCTTTGTGCTCAGTCTAACAGTCATGTCGCAGACTCGGGAGAGGACTTCTTTGACCAGTTCAATTACTTCAACACATACGACCCCGGTACGTGCGCTACTCTTACCACCAACGCGGTCTCTCACCACTAACAGACACCTCTCAGCCCACGGCTTCGTACACTATGTCAGTCCAGCCGATGCCAAACAGCACGTAAGTCTGACTATCCATCCAGCTCTTCACCCACTTCCCTCGCTCACCTTGCCACCTTTTAGAACCTCACCTACGCCACGCAAAGCAGCGCCATCATCCGCGTCGACACCACCGTCGGCCCCGGCTCCAACCCGGACGCCTCCACCGGCCGCTTCTCCGTGCGCATCGAGTCCAAGAAGACCTACGACAAGGGCCTCTTCGTCTTCGACGTGCGCCACACGCCCTACGCCTGCGCCGCCTGGCCCGCCCTCTGGCTGACCGACCCCTCGCACTGGCCCGAGCACGGCGAGATTGACGTCCTCGAGGCCATCAACCTCGGCGCCTCCGGCAACGCCATGACCCTCCACTCGGACAAGGGCTGCAGCATGGGCGGCAAGCGCGAGATGACCGGCAAGGCGCTGGACAAGTCCTGCTACGTCAAGGACAACAGCAACGCGGGTTGCGGCGTGCAAGGGCCCGCGGGGTCGTTTGGCGCGGCGCTCAACGACAAGCAAGGCGCGGTGGTGGCGGTGGAGTGGCGCGCGGACGGCATCCGCATGTGGCAGTTTGCGCGTGATGGCGTTCCGGCGGACGTGCAGGCGAAGAAGCCGACGCCGGAGGCTTGGGGCACGGCGGCGGCGGACTTTCCGAACACGCACTGTGATATTGGCGCGCGCTTCAGCAACCACTCCATCGTCGCCAACATTGACCTGTGCGGCGACCTCGTCGAGGCTAGCTGGAAGGACTCTGGCTGTACGTCTTCTCCCTTTTCCTTTCTTGTTTCCGGAATAAATGCTGACTAAAGTTAATAATAGGCGGCGGCGGCGCCAAGTGCACCGACTTTGTCGCGACCAAGCCCAGCGAGTTCACCAATGCGTACTGGGAATTCGGCGCTTTTGAAGTCTACCAGGCCTCGTAGATGTCAAGGCCGGTTGTTGCGAAAAGTTTTGATACCATGACCACATATAGATTGAATAATGCCACATGATTGAACCCCCAGGACCCGACTTGCGTAATAATGTAGCCATCGGCCACGGTATATCGTCTATGTAGTGTACAGATAGATAAATAGCGGGCATACATGCCCTTTCTAACGAATCCAAATTTCCGTCTCTGGTTTTCCTCCAGAGTCGTCGAGCGGAGATGCACATGACCAAAATATCAAAAGCCAACAAACGCCATTTCCCATGCCCAGTAGTGTAACAAAAAGAGGTGTCCTCCCATTCTACATGTTCTCTCTCTCTCTCTCCCCCTTCACCAGCCCATTCTTTGGTATTTCTTTTTCTCCTATTCGTCGCTCGGCTGTCGCATGTAGGCGTCAATCGCCGCCGAAAACGCCGCAAACGCCGCGCAGCCGCCGGCCATGGCCGTGGGCCCCGCGTTCTTGGCCAGGATGGCGCCCGTCAGGCAGCCCGCGGCGACGCCGTTGGCGAGGTCGTTCTTGGCGCGCATGCCCTCGATGCCGCACTCGATGCCGGAGAAGAGCGCGCCGACCTTGCCAAAGTTGCGCGCCATCGAGTACGACCGCGAGCCCATGTCCTTGAAGCCGACCTTGAGCTGCTGCCGGAGCGGCATGTTGGCGATGGCCTGGTGTGCCTGGTTCCCGGAGAGGGAGGTGCCGACGGTGTCGTAGGACATCTAGGATTGTGGAGGTTAGAAGGGCTGGAGAGGAGGGTAACAGGACGGGGGACGTACGGAGGCCATGAACATGCCAAAGAGACCGCCCATGCCAAAGCCCATGACGCCGGACATGACGGACTTGCCGACGCACGACTCCATGGCCGCTTTCATCTATACACGAGTGTTGTCAGTAACAACATTGCGAGTGGCGCAAGTTCGGTTTCCGGGGCAGAACGTACAGCCTTGACGCCCTGGTCCTCGGCGCTACCAGCCATCGGCACCGGAGGTGCGCCGAGCGCGCCGCCACTCAGAGGAAGACTCATGTTAATGGTATGTCGTGGGAATATAGTATGCGTGTGCGCACTGTGAAATCGGATGTCGCAGGTTGTCGAAGCGAGTACACGGGCGCAGGAACTCGAGGCGTTGCCAACAAAAGCGATGACCTCCTGATGATGGTGGGAAGAATTTTTGCCAGCGGCGACCGCTCATTTTTGGGGAAGCTTGGAGGCGGCCCCACGGCGGCCCCGAGGCTCTTCCTGGAGCGACGAAAAGGACCGGTGTAATGAGGTACAAAATTATTATAAAATTTTGATGATTATATTTTGTTGTTTAGTTATTTTCTTCGCTATTTACAGAGATTATTAATACATGTTGTATTGTACATGGCTTGCCCCCTTGGCCTGGTACAGATGTCCAAGTCATTTCACTCTACGGCTCTGTGATAGTCTGAGGCTCAGGCGGCCTAACACCTCTCGACTCTAGGAAGTAGTGTATATTCCGTTCCATTCTCGAAAACTATTCCCGCAAGTCAGCCAAGTCTCACTACAACTCCCCAGTCCACTCTCCTCCTCGCACCAGACTCACCATGCTCTTCTCCCTCATCGGCACCACGCCGTCTCGGACCCAGAAGCCCCAGCCGCCCATCATGTTGGCCAGCATCATGTCCGTCGTCAGGCGGTCACCCACGACGGCCACTTGCGAGGGGTGTGTCACGCCCGCCTCCGGGTGCCGCGCAAAATAGGCCATGATCTCCGGCCCGCACCCGGGCTTCTTGACCTCGTGCGGCAGCACATGCACGCCGGTGCGGCGCTCGACCTCGGCGGCCTGCGACAGTGTGCGGTCCCAGGACGTGGCGCCCGAGGTGTTGGAAACGACGAGCAGGCGACGCCCGGGGTACGCGCGGCGCAGCTTCTCAAAGTGGTGCTACGTCGAAAGGGGCGTCAGCGGTGGTGGAAGGGGGCGTAAGGGGTAAGGGGTAAGGGGAAGGGGTTCTGGCGGACCTTGTACGGTTCGTAGACGTCTTTGGAGTCGGGATAGGCAAAGCAGTCGTCCTTGTCGAGCACGACGGCGCGGATGTCGGCCTTGAGGCCGCGGGCGTGCAGGGCGGAGTCGAGGGGGATGGGCAGATCGTTGAAGGTGGACACGGTGTGATGGGGTAGACAGATGCCAGGCTTGAGGAGGAGGCGCGTGGCGTTGAGCGAGGCTGATAGGTTGAGGTTCATGGCTGTGATGGAATGGATGAGTTGGTTGAAGTGATGAATGAGTGAGTTAGTCTGTTTGAGTCTAGACAGTGAATGGCCTAAGCTCCACCAAGCTCCAACCAGGCCATGTAAAAGGTTGCTGTTATGACGCAGTAATTCTCTTTCTTTTTCTTCTTCTTTTTTTTTTTTTGAGAAATATCGACATTTCAAAATGACAGCTGATGCTATTGATTTTTCTATAATGTCATTCGACTACGGTAACGAAGTGTTTTGGGCTGGTTGTGCTACCAGCCCGCCCTTCTGTGTACAGGTATTGAATGATTGGTCTCTGCTGGCTGAGTGCCGTCTGCTTGAGAAGATATCATTCAATACTACGTACAGATACGAATACGGAGACTCGTCCTACTATCAGTACCAGTAAACGGTTTGTTAATTGTTGCAGGCGGAGATGGACTCTGGACTACCAACTATCGGCTTTTGCGATGACTGTTCAACGGCGTCCCAGAAACTGTCCAATCAACTGCCTCCTTGTCCTTCGCAGTCTGTTGCGGGCGGTCTGATAGTCAGTCAGTGCAGAAACCTGGCGCGGACGGAACAACCTCCGAGAGAGGGCATCGAATCATGCTTTACCGATGCGCATCCCCGACCCTCTTTCTCCCGATCGGTGACCATGCAAACAGAGGATTGGCTAATAAGTGGCTGAACATTGGGGATGATGAGACGTGGTACTTTGGTATCAGTGTCAATTTCACAGCCAGGAAGTCGTGCATAGGAATGTCTCAAGTTTTCGGTGTCCGTAAGAACGTAGCGGTACAGTAAGTACGTGGTTATACGGTTCCTCTCCGATGGTTAACTCGGAATATAGACGCACTGCGGTAAACCAAGTAAACAACTGCAAAACAAATAAAGAAGCGTTGAATGTCAAAGCAACCAACGAACAAATTAGCCACGTTCGCAGCAACACAGCGCCACAACAGTGGCTGCGCAACCGATGCCGCCCGCCGACTGGGACTGCAATCACCAACCCTGTTTGCCGACCACGATTGCTCGGCGTATTCTGCTGCAGCAAGTCATCACATCGCCACCCTACTCTTGCTTCGAGGCACAGGGCAAAGAAAAGCGACAGGGGCTGCTGCGGCTGATTGTGGAAATTTGCTCGTGCCGGACCGGACCCTTCTCCGAGCCACTCAATTGGCCTTGCTCGATTTCCGCCCCTGCTCGTCCAGCTCACACAGACTCCCAACCGTGGCTGATGTTATGTACCTGTCAAATGAAACCTTTTCAATGTCTTGCCCTCACGAGGCTTCAAGAGCGACAATTTACGTAACGTTCCATACTTGTCGCTGTATAAGAGAGCCTGTATCGCCGCTCCGTACACCGCTTCGATTTCGCAGACATCCAGTCCAGACCTCCCAACCTGCTCTCCGAGCCTGCAAAGAATGCCTCCTCCAGCAGCCGGCTCCCTGCCCAGGCTTTTGCCCAAGCCTTCCACCGCGCAGGAGCGACGGCAGCCTGCCTCGTTACCCCGCAAACGTCAGCCAGTGAGCAATGCCTGCAACAGTACGTATGCTTCGTGCAAAGGTCCATCGTCCTTTTCCCGAGTTGCAAAATTAACACGTAATCGCAGGCTGCAGGACGCGGAAAACAAAGGTACGAGCCAACCATTTACCCACGGGCAGTTCAAAAGCGGCCTGGCCGCCGTTCAATGAAGCCCCGAGGCAACCAACCACCACCACCACCGAGCGTGATGGGACGACAACTGATGTGGAAGAGCATATTATTAGTGCGACGGCGCCCGGCCTGCGTGTCGACAATGTACCAGGAGGAACTGGCCCTGCGTCTACACGGCCCCTCCCGGCATCACGCCGCAACAGCTCCGAAAGGAGCGCACCGAGAACTTTGCCAGCATCGTCGAACTCATCCGCCGCTCCAACGGCGTCAGCGCCGAGGAGATTGCGCGGCGCATCAGAGAAGCCGACAACGTCGACACCACCATCAGCGACATTGCCGACGCGAGCATGCTACTGCAGTCTTCGGCACCGCCGCCGCCGCCGCCGACGGTGCCTGCGTATCCCGCCGGACCATATCCCGCATCTGCACCCCCCCGGCCGCTGTTGGCATCACCGTGAGTTGTGCGCCCTGTTGTGACACTGTTCTACCGTTGTTGACCAAAACTTTTTTCTGTTTTTTTTTTTTTTTTCTTTAGATATGAAAATTGCGACTTCATCTTTGAAAAGCGCTTCGACGTTGATTCTCGTTATCTGCAGGCAGATAAAAACGTCTTCGTTGATGTGCCAGGTCACCACGACTTGCCATTGTCCAGATGGACAACCGTGTCCACTGATGATCGCCACATGAACCATTTGCTCAACTTGTTCTTCACTTGGGACAATGTCGTCGAGCGCATCATCTATCGGCCAGTATTTGAAGAGGATGTTAGGCATTCGCAGACTGGCGACGCTGACGCTGACGCTGACGGCGACACAAACGACGGTATTCGCCTCTGCTCTCGCTTCCTCGTGAATTCTCTTCTAGCTCTCGGCTGTGTAAGTCAAACTACCTTTCAGGAGGCTCACTCAAGCTAATCCCTGTAGCTTTACTCCATGGACCCGGCAACATACAAAACCCCGGGAGATTCCCCCTCCAGAGGGCGACTATGGGCAGATGAGGCTGAGCTTCTCTTACAACAGTGCTCCCAGCCATCTATCCCGCTCATGCAGGGCCTGTACGCCCTCTTTGTTTACGAGGGCAACCTAAGAAGCGGTCAGAAGTCCATCGAATACTTCTTTCGGTGCATGGAGATGCATGGAGCACTGGACGAGAGCCTCAGACGCAAACTTACCAACAACACAAGACTCACTCCTCGACAACGGCGGGAGCGGGAAGCTATATCCTGGTGCATGTGGGGACTGTACTGCTACGAATGGTGAGTAGACTCGGAAGGTCGGCCTGCGCCGCCCTCTTCCCATCTGCTAATACGTATAGGCGATCTACCGAGGCGCTTGGTTTGCGAAAGTTAACGCGCCAGCCGAGCATCGCCAAGCTATGGCGCGAGAGTGATTTTTCCCTTCGGCAATCCGACTGCGTGGGGTATTGGTGGTACCCTTATCCGATCAGCCTTCAAGCGCAGCCATCGATGCAGGTGGCGGTCCGGGAGGCAGACGTGGCGCTATCCCTAATTGTTGAGAGGATCTTGGATTACCTACATCCCGAAGTCGAAACGGACACAGCCTTGACAAGACCCCGGGATGCACTCGAACTCTACAATGCCTTGGCAGCGTGGAAGTACCAACTCCCCGACGAGTTGCGTTTCGAGAATGCTGTTCTGCCATCGGTCTTTCTCTTGCAGTAAGCTTCGTCCCCGTGAAGATCCCACTCCCGATGGCTAATCTGTGCAGCATCGCCTTGGAGGTCATGTACATAGCCATCCTACGCCCCTTCGCCCACACGACAAAGGAACGCTTTGGGCGCTTCGACCCCCACGAGCGGTGCGCCGCGCACGCGAGCCACGTGGTGACGGCCATCTGGACGTTCCGCGCGTACGGCCAGCTTCGGTACGAGTATTACCTCGTACATCCGCTTGGTACGGCCTGCTACATCATGCTGCAGGACGCCGAAGCGCCGGTGAAGATGGACTCGCTTGTTCGCGCGTGCCAATGCCTGTACGTGATGCGCACGACGCTACCGCTGGCAGTGGACGTGCTGAGCGGCGTCCGAGCCGCCTTTTACAAAGACAGATTGACAATACCGACGTTCATGGCCAGGTACTTTAACAGGGTGCGTCACAGGCAGGACGGGCTGATGCATCACACCGTCGTCGGGTTTCTGCCGAATGCCCCAGTCCAGGATGGTGATACTAAACAAATAAATATACAGCTCGAGCAGTTGCTTAAGGAGCTTGACAATGTCGATATTCACTAATGATACCTCTCGTCGGACAATTCGTCGTGTTGGTTGTCCTGTCAGTAGGGGGTTACAGGTACGCATAGGCAGATGTTGATGATTCCCGGTGGTGGATTGCTGGACGGCAATACGAATATAACCATTACTGCCTGCCTTCCTATACTAACAGCATTTGGACATGCAAGCCTGTGCACCTCGCGTAATATTTCTCAGCGCCGTCACAGACGAGTGGCGCAGCGTCAACCACCAAAAGGCCAGAGCCAAACCAGCTCCATCAAGTTTGTACGTGGACCTCGGCCGAAGTGGCGACGAATTACTAATACCATAGCAATATCCGCCTTTGTATTGACGGGGGTTCGCTTGTACGAGTTGCGCTGGAAAGGGATTAAAACGGCCGCTATATGATCGTGACAAGGTCCCAGGCAAGGGTTCCCGACCAAACGAAACAAATCGTTAAAGGCGATCTGGTACACAGAGGATGACACGACTCGGAAATTCTCTTGGGCATGCTGCGAATTTTTTTAGTTATTGTACGAAGGACAAAGTATGTTTACTTTGGCAGGCACAAGGCAGCCAAGCTCAACACAAGAGCAAAAGAGCTCCAAGCACACCAATAGCGCTACAATAGAGAGTCGAGCACGGAGCACGACGTATTCGTACATAAATCAACGGCCATCGGCTGCCGAGGACAGATGTGGTGCCTCTCCCGAGCATCATTTCGCTGCCCCCAACGTGGAGGTATATTAACTACCAGTACAGCCACGATCCTGTCCCTCCACCTACAACCTGGTCTATATCACCGAAGACGGTGGGATGGTGAAATTACAATAGCGTTTAGAGTAAGCCCTTATTTCATTCTGACATCTAGCCTCGAGTCTGCCGCCCTTGCCTTTACGACGGCACATATTCGTACGCTGGTCGTCGCTAGACACTATCCATATCAGTCCAGGCATCGCTATCCTCACCCGAGTCAGTCGAAATTTTGAGGGCGCGAATCCTCCGATACTGGGTCTCCTGGGATGTGGCTCTCTCCAGCAGTACCGACGACATGGTTCCGTTATATGCGACGTTTATATATGGCCGGGGCTGTACGCACGACCAACAGCCACTTTCGGCCAGACCGTAGACATCCACAAACTCTTCCAAATTTAGAACTACACGTCAGGAGAATTTGCAACTCCTCACTCACCCGCCTCTCGCTTCTTGCCTAGACCCTCCACCATGGCCACTGCAATGTCCTCTGCGGTCGTTCCCCTCCTCCTATGCCCGATCCTCTCCTCCCCGAGCACTGTGTCCTCCGCGACTGCGCGGTACACGCCCGCGGCGCCGATGAACAGCTCCGGCGCGAATCCGCCCTCCTCGGCGTGCGTCTTGCTAATCTCCTCCATCTCGCGCACCCAGCGGTACGCCTTGGGCGCCATGCCGACCAGCCCCCCCTCCGTCTCCGCCGCGCGCTGCGGCGCGACCTCGCCCAGCACCGTTCGGAGCTCCCCGAGCACGCCCATGGCCCGCGCGCTCGTGTACGCCTGCACGGCGACGGCCGTGTAGCCCTTGCTGAGCGACGCGAAGCACATCTTGAGGCCGCTGGCCGCGCCGACATCGTCGGCGATGTGCCGCACGCGGAGGACCTCGGACAGGCGCGCGCCCCAGCCGCCGGGGACGTCCTCGAGACGGTGCGGCCCGGAGGTGTACAGGACCGGGGCGCTCCAGGAGCCATCGGCGCGCAGGGACGGCGGGCCTCCGATGATGGAGCCGTCGACGAAGCGCACAGAGGAGCCGACGGGAGTGAAGAGATGGCCGATCGCGCGGACGGTCGAGGGCGCGATGGCGTTCATGTCGGCAAAGTAGAGAGGTGCAGCACTGGCCGCGCGGGCGCTCGGGCTGGATGAGAGGACGCTGACGACGCGCGCTGCAATCTCGGTGGCATCGCGAGGCGGCGCCACGGACAGGATGACATCACAGTTGCGGACGAGCTCCTCGTCGGTGGGATAGAGAGTCACAAGAGCCGCCTCTGCTCTCTCGACCGTGTCTACGCTGATTCGTGTTAGCCTTGGCGCAGGTGACGGCTCTAGTCATGTAGAAAGTGGCAGCGCCAACCCTCGACGATCACGAAGCTTGTAATAACAGGAGAATCGGTATAGCGATCAAGAGAGGGCCAAGAGGCACCCTTGTAGGGCTCCTACCTTCTACCGTGGCAGTTGGTCGCCACCGCGAAGCCGTGGACGCGCAGCAACTTGGCTATGCCGAGACCCATGCCCCCAATGGACAGAATGCCAATTGTGGCAAGTGCCGGTGCAGCAGCAACAGGTGCTGCTGCGGCTGCTGCTGCAGACGACATTATGGTTGATGCAATCTTTAATTGATGCCGCGTGTTGTGGCTGCAGTGCAGTGCCGGTGGCTGGATCCGGAAAATTAACGTGGTGTGCGATGACGGTGAAACAGCTGACTTTGCACGCCGGCCCTGATGTTTATCGCGGTATATCCAGCTACAATGACGCTACTAACGTTGGAGGCTCTCGGCAATGCCCGGATTTGTTAGTCTGGGGGCGGCGATGAAACCGTTGGGTTCATCATGAGGAACAGCCTCTGTTGGGGTTGTGATATATTAATTCAATCAACTTCTTGTTTCTGTAATATAAACAAGAAATCGTTTTAAATAGCCTTGATACTGTCATGTCCACAGTTACTATCAGGGTCCTGTCATGTTATTCGACTTGCCAGTATAAGAGCGAGCCATCATCCGGCTGAGCAACCTCTCTCGGCCAAGGCACATGTCGTGTTGCTTTTTCAGCCAACTAACTAATCACGAGTCTTCAAATTTCGTTGCTCGCCGGCAAGGCTTTCCTCATTAGAGTCTTACGCGGAAGTGAGCAAGGATCCTGGAAATCCGGAAGGCAACTTTGCGGAGCACCCGGTAATTTCTGGATCCAGGAAAGCTGTCAGGAACGGGCCTGAGCGGCCGTGAACCCAGCAAGTCTGCGGACCCGGTTCCACGCGAACTCGTGCGATTTTTTCACAACCGTTGAAGAGACATGGAAACTTTTCAAGGCAAGCTCGTCTTGCGGTGGGGGTAGGCGGCTGGCCTGATGAAAAAGTCGTATGAGTTTGGGAAATTTTCTAGCAAATCCGGAGACGGGCCGGCATGGGGCCCTTGTCTATACCTTGTACGGCTCCTCCACGTGAACTCGATAGGTTTTGACAGCTCCGGGGTGACTCGATATATAGGAGGATACTAGCTGGTCGTCCATTACACGGAAATTGTTTACATCGATGCCTGTTTGAGGGGGCCAAATTCAAGTTATTGCTTTCGTTGTTCATTTGGTTCTGCTTGTCGGTCAGTGCAGTTAAAGCCGTACGACTCACACACACAATCGACTGACTAGATCACCAGCCATGAGAGTAATCATTGCCGGTGCGGGCGTGGCGGGCCCAGCCATCGCCTTTTGGCTCGCAAAAGATGGCCACGACGTCACACTGGTCGAGCGGTTTCCCTCGCTTCGAACCGCCGGTTTGCAAGTCGACTTGCGCAATGAGGCGATTGAGGTGGTTCGCCGCATGGGCCTGCTGCAAACCGTCCGGGAGCGGTCCGTCCCGGAAATGGGCACCATCATCGTCGACTCCAAGGGTCAGGAAAACATTGTGCAAAGAAAGCTCGAGGTTGAGACCGAGAGTGGCGTACAAGGAAAGACGAGCGCCTACGAGATCATGCGCCGCGATCTCATCGAAATCCTTCACGACGCGACAAAGGAGAACGTGACATACCGTTTCGGCCTGTCTGTCGACCACTATCGAAACATCAAGGGCGACGAGAACAGCGAAGAGGGCCCCAAGACGGACAAGGTTGAGGTCACGCTGTCCGACGGCAGCAAGGAGATGTACGACCTGCTGGTCGCGGCCGACGGGCAGGGCTCGCGCATCCGCAAGCACATGTTCTTCTACCGCCCCGAGGACGACGATTCGCGGTGGCTGGGCATCTTCTCCGCCTACTACACGCTGCCGCGGCGCGACTACGACACGAGCTTCTGCCGCATGTACCACGCGACGGAGCGGCGGCTGGCGATGACGCGGTGGCACCGCGAGGACCAGGGCCAGGTGTACCTGATGGCGATGAGCAACACGGAGCGGTTCCGGCGGGCGCTGGACCGGGACGTGGCCAGCCAAAAGGACGCGTTCGCGGCCGTCTTCAAGGGCATGGGGTGGCAGGAGGAGCGTATCCTGCACGCGCTGACCGACGCCGAGGACTTTTACGCCGACGAGATGCTGCAGCGCCGCAGCACCGCGTGGTCACACGGCCGCGTGGTGCTGCTCGGCGACTCGGCGTACTGCGCGTCGCCGATCGCGGGCGTCGGGTCCAGCATGGCGCTCATCGGCGCGTACGTGCTGGCGGGCGAGCTGGCGAGCCCCGAAGCGCTCGCTGCAGGCCTGGCTGCCCATGTCGACGTGGTCCATCAAGCGGCTGCACGTCGCCGAGTGGGTGCGCAGCAAGGGCCGCGGCGCCCAGCCCTGGGCCAAGAAGGTCCGCGACCAGCGCTGGCTACTGCCGGACTACCCTGAGATGTGCTGGCGCCGCAGCCCGTCGACGGCGCGGTCCTCGCTGACGGACGACTCGCGGTCGCGCTCGCTCTGGTCGCCCGGCGCCGGCGCGTACAGCTCGGCGTCATCGGTGACTGGCGGCACCGCGGGGGATGACATTTGGCTGCCGTCTCACGAGCTCCGCGAGCAGCCAGAGGAGGAGGAGCGCGCAGAGGTGGAAACAGTCAGGGCCAGGCCGGATTGGCCCCTGGCCACGATTCCATCTTGTTCGAGCTGTTCGAATTGTTCCAGAAAGATTGATGTGTTATAGACTCGGGTTCATTCTTTATTAGATGGTAGATAAAATTTTCGGTTTCATTTGTTTGAAAAGACGTTGAGGATATTTAGATGTTTAATTTTACCCTAATTTTAATTCCAGCACGCCGTTTGCAACCCAGTCCACACTAGCCACAGATCTGCGCCCCCTAACAGCCACCTCCAATGACGACACACATAATTCATCATTCAATGCACCCAGCTTTCTGCTGCGCTTTTGCATCTTCAACTTCATCCTCCGCTCAGCTTTTGCTAGCTCCTTGTTTCTAATTGTGGCAGATGATTCGATGATTTAATCTCTCATCTTGCCAGTTCCCTTTTCCTGTCTCTCTTTAGATCACCGTTTTCTCACATTTCCATCCGTCACTCCATACTCGCCACTCAGCCTTCAACCCGCTCGTCTGTTCTAACAGTGATGGCGGTCCAAGCCACTATCGCCCGGATATCCTCGGTTGCGCTGAGGATATGCGCTATCATATTCTTTCGATTCGTAAGTCTCCTCGCGTCTACGACTTGCTCAGATTTTTCCTTCCTTTCCATTCGCTGACTTTCGCATAGTTTCCTGTATGCAACCTGGTGACCAGATAGGGGGATGTCTGCGCTAACATCCACAGGCTCATTTCCCGACCTTTGTTTTCGCCGCCTTCGCCATATACGTCCCCGCGTACCTGGCCACTTACCGAGCTGGCCCAGAGCTGCAAGTCGTAGAGGACAAAGTCGACGTCGTTATCAAAGAAACCACCCTGACTCCTGATGATGGCACTGGTGCTGCTATCGTCGCCGATGAAGTCGATGTAGAGGAGAAGGTTGTCCTTCGTGAAAAGCCCGTCTCCAGATGGAGGATTCTCGCCTATGGCGCCCCGAACCCCCGCGATCAGCTCTCATCCATCCTGACTTTTCTCATCAACGGCATTTTTGTTGCCCTCACGGCGGATGCATTGTTCCGCGCGCGCATCCTTTACCCGGCTGACGATCTCTCATTCGTCCGGCTGGGCTATGTTTCCAATGACGAAGCCAAGATGCTTCTCCGAGAGCCCGATCAGACGAAAATGCCCGTCACGGTTGAGGTTCGCATTGCTGATCCTCAGCCCCCGTTTGAGGACCCCATCTGGCGCCTGGCTGGCGGGTTTCGGTCGACCGCCGATGACACTGATTTCACAGGCATTGTCACCATTCCGTTGAGCTCCAGACATCCTCGCTGGTACGAGTATCGCACCTCCAACAATCACACTGGCCGCTTTCTCTCCGCTCCCCGGCCCGGTCAACTATCTGAAAAGACGGATGGCAAGTTCACCTTCTTGTCTACTTCATGCATTCTGCCGCGTTTCCCGTACAACCCCCTCGACCACGCTTTGGCTATTCCTGGTCTGCGCCATCTTGCCGACAAGCTTCCTAGCCTGAGCGCCCAGTTCATGCTCTTCCTAGGTGACTTCATCTACATTGATGTACCAAGCCGCTTTGGCAAGTCCATCGATGAGTACCGCATGCAATACCGCCAGGTCTACGCTTCTCCGGACTGGGCACCAGTTGCCCAGAATCTGAGTTGGATTCATGTCCTTGATGACCATGAAATCTCGAATGACTGGGATGCAAGCAATACAGGCGTATACCAGGCCGCCTTGGAACCTTGGACCACGTATCAGGCAAATGTGAACCCTCCCAAGGCTCTCCGTGCCGGCACCAGCAATGTTCGACGCCAAAATGCCACCTGGTACACGTTTGCCCAAGGCCCGGCCAGCTTCTTCCTCATGGATACCCGCAGCTACCGCTCGCGCAACAAGGTGCCTTTCGAAGATGAGGAGAAGACCATGCTCGGCGCTGAGCAGCTGGAGGACTTTCTCGCCTGGCTGGCCCGCCCCGAGCCGCGCGGCATCAAGTGGAAAATTGTAGCCTCATCTGTCCCCTTCACCAAGAATTGGCCCGTCAATGTTCGGGACACATGGGGTGGCTTCCTAGTTGAGCGACGCAGAATACTTGAGGCTATGTGGGATGCCGGTGCTCGCGGTATGGGTGTTCTTGTTCTTTCTGGCGATCGCCATGAGTTCGCGGCTACCAAGTTCCCTCCGCCTGAAGGTTCCAAGTGGCCTGCCTCTGCTGCTGCCCACGAAATATCCACCAGCCCTCTCAACCAGTTCGCTTCTCCGTTCCCAACGTACAAGCAGACTGATGAGGAGGATGTTAAGTTAAAGTGAGTATCATTTTTTTCTGGGCCAGCGAGTGCATTGTTGACTTTTTTTAGATACATTCCATCCGGCTCTTCCAAGTTTGGAGCTTTCACTATTGAGAATATCGAGGGCGACAGCTCGCTCCACTACCAGCTCTACGTGGATGGCAAAGAGGCTTGGAACACAACCCTTGTTGCCGCTAAGCCTTCCAGCAATAGCTCTGGTTCCATTTGGGATTTTCTCAAATTTTAGTTTTGATCTTCGTTTTCCCCCTTCCAAAGTTTCTTGTATGGATCATGTGGCGCTGGGAGTTTCTTGTCGCTTTATCGCCCATTTTTTATACCAAAGGGCATTACGATACTGGCACTGCCTTGCTCAATTACTATTTTATAATCTGATTTTCTATAATTTCGATACACTTCTATGTCTTTAACACAACCTACTTCCGTTGGTCCTCTGCGTGTAAGTCCCGTAGATCAAGGGTTCGGGTTACGGTTCAACCCATAACTCACCGCCTTCGGCGCCGCCCCACTACGAAGAAAGTATCCGGCAAAAACAGCTTTTTTTTTCTGGCTCGGAAGTGCAGACATTGTTGTAGCCTCATTACATATATTGCCATTATTAATAATTCAAGGCAATTTTCAGAAATCAACATGGCCGGCCCATTCAACAAAAAGCGCCCCATGGGCGGGAAGTTCCAGAAACCCATGAAGAGACAAAAGCGCGAACGGCGTGTGCAAAAAGAATACCATAGCAGCACCGAGGACGAGGAAGGCGGCGATGACCAGCAGCAAAACTTTGACGCCGTCAACCTGCTCGACTCGGACGATGACATTCACAATGCCAAGGCCGACGACGTCGGCGAGGACGATCGCGGCGACGCGTCAAGTTCAGAAGACGAGGCTCCGCCGAAGAAGGCCAGCGGCGCCAAGGGCAGCGCAAAGCTCAAGGCCAAGATGCCCAAGACGCTGGCCACAGACGATAAAAGCGACGTCGAGGAGGGTCTACCCGAGCCGGCGGACAACGATGACGATGACGATGATGATGAAGATGAGGACCTAAACGACGAGTTCGACCTGGGCGAGGATGATGACGACGACGATGAGCAGGGCGGCTCAAGAAAACCCAAGAAGCGCAACGACCCGGCCGCCTTCGCCACGTCACTGTCCAAGATCCTGTCCACCAAGCTGTCCTCCTCGAAGCGCGCCGACCCCGTGCTCGCGCGCAGCGCCGCCGCGCACGAGACATCCCGGGCGATGCTGGAGAGCGCGCTCGAGGCCAAGGCGAAGCGGCAGCTGCGGGAGCAGAAGCGCAAGGCGCAGGAAAAGGGCCGCGTGCGCGACGTGCTGGTGGCCCCGGAAGCGGAGGCGAGGTCATCATCATCCGCTCCGGTGATGACGACGGCGGACATACTGGCGACGGAGGCCCGGCTGCGCAAGGTGGCGCAGCGCGGCGTGGTCAAGATGTTCAACGCGGTGCGCGCGGCGCAGGTCAAGTCGAGCGAGGCGGAGCGCGCGACGCGGCAGGCGGGTGTCATCGGCATGGGCAGGCGCGAGGAGAAGGTGAATGAGATGAGCAAGAAGGGCTTCTTGGACTTGTTGGCGTCGGGGGGCAACGCGCTGAGGAAGGGAGCGAGCGCGATTGAGGAGGCGTAGATGAGGAGGAAGGGGGTTCAAAACGCATACTGTATATAATGAATTGTTTTTCGAGCCATGTCTTGAAAGAAGGTCAGGGAATGACAAAGATTGCTCAAGTCACGATATTGATGGGGTTGTCCTGTGTCATGTCTCACAGCGTTGACTTATTAATCTGATAGAATAGGGAATCTCTTTATATCTGTTACAGTGTCCCATATGCACATCCCATTTGTATGCCACTTTATCCCTCTCACTCGTCCGTCCGAGCCTCCACAACCTATCCGTTACAGTATTGTACATGGTTTTGCCGCGCCCTATGCAATTATAAAAAAGAAACAATATGAACAAAAGTCCCGCGACGTAAAAAGAGAAATCAATTCGATCGCCGTGCTTTTAATCTACCTCCCCGACCGTGCGTCGTCCGCTATTGAAAGTCGCTGGCCTGCAGGTTCCGCGTCATGGTCGGCAGCTTGACGACGAGGCCGTCGAGGTCCTTGGTCATGATGACCTGGCAGCCGAGGCGGCTCGTCTCGGTGAGGCCAAACGCCAGGTCGAGCATGTCGTTCTCGTCATCCTCGGGCTCGGGCATGGCGTCGAAGAGCGCCTCGTCGGTGACGATGACGTGGCAGGTCGAGCACGCGCAGGAGCCACCGCAGGCGCCCTCCATCTCGAGGTCGTGCGCCTGGGCGATGTCAAGCAGGTTGTCGCCCTCGGCGACCGCGAGCTACATGCGAGCGCGAACGGGTTGACGAGGAGGGCGCGGGCAAGGAGGAAAAACTCACTCTTCACCGGGCTTGGGCGTGTGGACGTGGCCATGGCGGTGTACCCCCGTCGTCGTGAAGGTACGCTTGGTCAGCGTCGCGGCCGTCCAGCCTGACGAGGAGGCCACCGTTGGCCGAGTTGTCAGATATGATGAGGTGGAGGAGGGTCGGGGAGCGATGACGGCGCGCGCGCAGGCCGGCAACCGTCGGCTCGTGGCCGCGGAGAGCCTGGCGATGCTGGTCGCAATTGTCCGTGTGGCCGACATGGGGGTATATAGAGGAGTGAAGGGAGGTGGGACGGATGGAGGTTGGTCGTTTTGTTGTGCGCGGCGTGATGATTCAGGAAGCTCTGGGTCGGTCGTTGAGCTTGCCTACGCCAGGGAGCGTTTTTTTTTCTCCCCCCCGGGCCGCTACCTTACTCAATTAGCATCACTGCCATTGGCTGTAGCCGATACGGCGCTCTGGAGAATTAAAGTGGGTGCCCTTCTGCCCCGAGAGCCTCGATGTCCGAGGCAGGTAAGAGGCGTTCGTCTGGGGCACATCGGGACTGTTTCTAAATGTGGACTTGAATCGGGGTTTCAGTATGGAAAATCCATTGTTTATTCTCCAAGTATTTTCCGGGCCCTTTTTGCATTCAATTGCTCTCGCCGTGTCATGACTGAGGCTATAACTAGCTCCGCATTGCTATATGTGCGACGTTCTCGGTGGTATAACCTTGCAATTTAATTTCTTGGAGAAAACTCCGAATTGGAGATTTTCCGGCTACTCTTAAGGTTGAATGTTGGTTATACGTAATATGAATGCATTAGGATATTCTATAGCTACTGCCAAAAGCTGCCAAGCAACACCTATCCTTGCTTCGATCGGGCAGCTTACACAAGTCTAGTCCTCCATTTTTCAGCTCTACAATACAGTCATGTATTCATCATATGATTGTAGTTCGAGAGACTGCTTGGCTGTTTTGTGCAGAGACCCGGGTTTCCACTACGTTGCAAAACCAGCGAAAGAGCGAGGCACCTCGGCTTGGCGTTCGACAGGCTAGGATAACTAGGGTATCTGATTGACAGCACCATCACAGATTGCCTTTTTTTTAAGCTAGAATAAGATGAGAGGGGAAAATCTCCGTCGTGCCCTGCTCTTGCCCTTCTTGGAAGTTGCGTAAAGGCTCGGCAAGCCTCCCATTCCCGCCAACTTTGCCCTGTCAGCGGGTTGGCTGGTTTCCGTAGCCACTTATAGAGCGGGAAGGGCGCACGAAAAAAAACTGTTCTCGATTGCTCTGCCAAGCATTCCCCAAGTAACTTTCTTTCAATGGTCCTTCTTTTTTAGGCAGTTTGGAAGAATGAAAGGCATCGGGGTCGAGTGTCCTAGCTAATATCGGCAGGTAACATTCTTGGAACTGTTCCTTGTGACGTTGATCGTGTAATCTTATGAATCTACGCTGGAGCAGGAGAAGATTGATAGGCTTCATTATCGTCGCTAATACGTACTGCCAATCGTTTGTAGCTCTCGGCAGTTGGGATTCGAAGACTTGTCATATTCAGGATCGTGTATATAAGCTGTTGAGCTTGCCGTCTCAGCCCGACTCTAGAGCAAGTCGAGCATCAATCCCGTTCACAAGCACTCAGCAACTACTTCTAACCTACAATTGTCCTCTTTCATTCGTCATGCTTCTTTCTACCCGCATTCTCACGGCTTTGGCGGCCGCTTTGCCGCTGGTTGCAGCTCTGCCACAGCAGCCTAGCAGCGATTACTGCGCCTCCGACGCAGGTGAGAACACTGTCAATGTCCACAAGAAGCTGGTCGCTGGTGAGGCTTCTGTCATGAAGAACCTCGAGACCGGCCAGGTCAACCTCCTCGAAGCCGCCGGGCTTGATGCGTCCTCGATCGCGGCTAGGCAGTCTGGCAATACTCCCATGGTCTTCAACACCTACGTTCACATCATCCAGAGCGCTGCCGGTACCTCTCCTGCTAGTGGTTACATCAGCGTACGGACCCTTCATTAAAAAACAAACAATTGAATGCGCTGACATCTGTTGAGAATACAGAGACAGCAGATTGATGCCCAGATGAGGGTTCTCAACCAGGAGTACGCCATTGCCAATGTTGCCTTCAACTACGTCAACACCTCGTACACGGTCAACAGCCGGTGGGCAAATGCCGCCTACCCCGGTGACAGCATTGAAAGTGAGATGAAGCCTCGCCTGCGCGTCGGCGGACGCCTCGATCTCAACCTCTTCTACATCCCCGGTTGGAGAGGCAGTGGTGTCTGTCGCTTCCCCAACTGGATCGGCCGCAACGACGAGTACCTGTCCATCGATGGCTGCATGCAGGCCAGCGACTCCTTCCCCGACGGCACCAGGAACCGTCGCGGATTCTTGACCGTGCACGAGGTCGGACACTGGGTAGGCCTCCTCCATACCTTCCAGGGAGGATGCAACGGTGGTGACCAGGTGGCCGACACCCCAGCCGAGGCCACTCCCAACCGCGAGACTTACTGCCCGACCAACCGCGATACCTGCCCGAACCATCCCGGCTATGACCCTATCGAGAACCACATGGACTACTCCCTCGAGTAAGTTGGCGTCATTCATTTGCATGTCCTGTTCGTAAAGTACTGATTGGATGTGATAGGTCGTGCAAGACTGGTTTCACTCGCGGCCAGGCTGAAAGACTCCGCCAGATGGTTTTGATGTACCGCTATGCCAGAAACTAAGCTGGCTCGGGTATCTCATTAATCCCACCTTGATCCAATTGGGCAGAGAGTTTATGCTATGTTTGGGGATTTAGAGGGGGTAGATGTATTGGTTGTACGGTGATGTACTACTGGGAGGATCTACGGATTGTACATATGTACATAGCATGTATATAGTTTGGATCAATTTTAAATTGTAGTTGACTTGAATACTGTCTTGCTGTCTTTTCTCGTGTGTGGCCTGTATTTCTACAGTCCTTCTCGTTATCATAGGCCCTCAGACCGTTGTAACACGCAATCGGGGAAACAATTACAAAATTGACTGATTAAACAATTTTAGAAAAAAATCATCATATTCTGTACTTTCTACTTATATGTAGTATATAGTAAATTCACACATTCCCAGTTAAACGAATTTCATGCGACAAGGATTGTCGCGTCCGGTGGCTGGTCAAAGTCGCGCCTGTAAATTAACCTGTCTAGCGGTCTAGCGGCTCTGGCCAGCCGCCTGCCATACTGTACCTCTCTCTGTATTCATTCCCCAACTCGCCACTACAGCCCAGTTATGATTTCATTTCCTCTAGCAGGGTGCCACTCAAAGCTTTTATCTCCTCTTCCCTCCCATCACTCCATCTCCCTCATCCCACCATCCCATGAGGTCTCTCCCATCGTCTCCGAAATGACGAGCCACGGTAATGGGGTCAATCCCCTGCGACCATATTACATCCGGCCCTCGATCGGCGAGCGCGCAGAGCCCGCCGCTCCCGGGCCCAAGGCCTTCTCCTCGGCCTCGGCGCGCAACGCGACCGCCTCGTCGGCCGTCGCCACGACGTCGTCCCGCTACGCGAGCCGCGCGCGCGACATGTTTGGCGATCTCGACTACAAGGGCTACATGGACGACGACGTGCCGAGCATGGCACGCAGCGTCAAGGAGCTGCTCGACGATCTCGTGTGGAAGTACACGTCGGTGCTGATGGCCCAGCCGTTTGAGGTGGCCAAGACGATTCTCCAAGCTCGCAACCAGGATGAGAATGCGCTACTGTCGGAGTCAGTGGAAACAGAAGTATTCGGCATGTCTTTTTCGAGCCAGGGCCTAGGTATCCCTGAGGTACGTATCCCATTATGTTTATGGTGTGTGACCACACTGACACCATCGGTTCCAGCACGATTCCGACTCGGAGGGTGATGAATCTACCTTCTTTACATACAACGGCCCCGATACGCCCGCGAGCACAACAAGAGGCGGACTTACCGAGCGTCGCGCCTCGCCGCTCACCTCCCCAAAGCCCGTCAAACGCCGCCAACCCGTCGTCCCCGAGCACTACATTCCGCTGCGCCGACCCGACTCCGTCACCGAAGTCATTGGCCATCTTTGGCAAAAAGATGGCGCCTTTGGAGTCTGGAAAGCTTCCAACGCCACATTTCTCTATACTGTGCTGCACTCACTACTAGAAAACTGGTCCCGCAGCTTCCTGAGCGCCATCTTCAATGTACCAGACCTCGGCCTCAAGGAGGATATTGACCGCATCATTGACATCGCGACACCGTACCCGTGGGCGTCGCTGTTTGTCGCCGCCACCGCGGCCGTCGTTACCGGGCTTGCCCTGGCACCCCTCGACCTTGTGAGGACGAGGCTCATCATGACACCCAGCAGCAAAGGCCCTCGCCGCACCCTGGCTACGCTGCGCGCTTTGCCGTCGTACTTTGTCGACTCGATGCTCGCCATCCCCACGATCCTCAACTCGCTCATCCACCCGCTTATCACCCTCTCGACTCCTCTGCTTCTGCGCACCAAGTTCTTGCTTGACAACCAGGCCTCGCCCATGACCTTTTCCGCCGCCAAGTTCCTCGCCTCGACAGTGGCCATCCTCGTCAAGCTGCCGCTCGAGACGGTTCTCCGCCGCGGCCAGATGGCCGTGCTATCGAGCCCCGAGTACATCCGCGCCCTCGCCGGCAAGGACCTCCGCATGGAGACCATCGTCCCCATCGGCCCATACCGCGGCGTCATCGGCACCATGTACCACATCACCGCGACCGAGGGCTCCAGGACCATGCAGCTGCAGGCCCCGGTCAAGAGCAACCGCAAGGCCTCCAAGTCTCGGCCCCAAACACCGCTCGTCAAAAATGGTCAAGGCCTCGATGGCTTGTGGCGCGGCTGGAAGGTGAACTGGTGGGGTCTTGTCGGGCTATGGGCTGCCAACGTCATTGGAAACGGAGGCGACGGAGAGTTTTGATCCATTTCCCTCGGCCGCCACCTGTACTATTCCCTTTGTTCTTCCTATTCTTGCTGCCTTTCCGGTAGACCATCTTATGGTGAGGCGTTTTTGCTTCCTTCTCTGATACTGTTGTGTTGCAGATCTACAACATCTCTCTCCTCTACGACGAATTGTTTTATGACAAAACATGCTATGATATCCATCTCTATTTTTACCCCAAAATGTACAACTACCATAATACACAACTTTTAGAAGCTTTTCGTGTCTCCTATTTCTCTATTTCATGTTTATATGTCATCTATACCGTGAATACGTGACGAGTGTACGAAGACAACGGGCTACTGATACTGAGGAGGTTTGGACGTGTCGACCTTTTTTATGACGCGCGCCGGGTTTCCCACCGCCACTGACTCGGGCGGGACGTCCTTTGTGACCACGCTGCCGGCGCCGATGACGCTGCCGCGACCGATTGTGACGCCCGCCAGGATCGTCACGTTGCCGCCCAGCCAGCAGTCGTCGCCGACGGTGATGGGCCCCCCGCTCTCCGGGCCGCGCGTGCCGTTCCGGACGCGGTAGTCGACCGGGTGCGTTCCCGAGTAGAAGCTGACGTTGGGCCCGGCCATGACGCGGTCCCCGATGGAAATGGTGCACGTGTCTATCCAGACGCTGTTGCTGTTGATGTAGACGTTCTTGCCGAGCCTGGGGGAACGTCAGTCTTGCTCAGTCTCGGCCGCGTCATAGTAGGAGGATATGGGGTCTCACTTGATGTTGTAGCCGTAGTCAATCTTTCCAATGGGTCGGTCTACCCAGGCAAGGTCCTGGAGAAGCTCCTCGTCTTCCTCTTCTGTGGGTGCCGCCGGTGGCAGAGGGGTCTTGTCCTGGGTAACGCTGGAAATTTCAGTGCTGGATGAGTCGGCTAGAATGAAGCTGCACTCACTCGTTCCAAAGTTCGGCCAGCTCTCGGCGAGAAGCATCCTCTGCCCTGTTGAAGCGCTTGTAGGCAACCTCGACCCTATTGCGGGCCGCAATCAAATCCGGCGTAAAGGCATAGTATAGCTCACCAGCGGCCATGCGCCGGAGATTCTCCTTGGGATCAATTGGCTTGCCGTCTGCTGACGTAGCTGACATTGCTTCCGGCACTACAGCTTCTTGTAAACGCTAAGTTGTATTGTACCTAAGCAGCCTCGAGTCGGAGCAACCAGCACCACCCACACTACGACCATGATCCATGATGCGGGGCAGCGTGATTGCTCTCGAGCTAATCGAAGAGATCTGAGAAATACGATTCTTGGGCTTGTAAAGATTGATTTTCAAAGCAGGTCGTACTCTTTGAAATTTTCAAAAAAAAAACACAATCATTTTTTGGAGTTTATTTTATGCAACTACTCGGGCAATGTGGCCTTCAAGCCATCTCCTCAAGTGGCGTCGACGCGATCTTTGGAGAACCATAACGCGAGTCGAGTCAAGCCGATTGAATTTTCAGAATGCTGCAAAAGTCCAAACCTAAATGTGTGCAGCATTTGAATGTTCATTTATGCATCTCTACATATCCATAAAAAGAAGTTTTGATAAGATATACTGTAAACATAGATACTCATGCTACCAATCACGTGCATGACTCCTATCAACTTTCGCGCGCCAAGGGGTCTGCAACTTTATGGGACCACAAACACTTTCTGGCATCACAAACAGCATCAATCTGCGCCTTGAAAAGTTGCGCCCTGTGCAACACCACGGCATGCTCGCGTAACAGCGGTGTTATAGACGTCCAACTATACGCGCGGGAATTGCTGAAACAAAAACCTTGGCTCGCGTCGGCCCGCGCGACCGCTGGCATCGATGGACGCAGCACCGAGCACCAAGCCTGGCGCAGGCCCGGCGCCACGCAAATACAAAGCCTCCGATCTACCATTGCCCTCGGCAACACGTGCGGCCATCGAGTCTCTCGCCCACGCATTCAAAAAAGAGGGCGCGTATGACGATATTCGCAGACAAGTATGGGAGACGTTTAAGACGAGCGACTACGAGGCGCAGATCACCAAAGCGATCCTCGAGGTCGCTGGCAAGGAAGTCGAGCGAAATCCACAGCAGCTGCTCACCCTTGATCGACGTAAAGCTGCCGCCCTGATCGACGGTGCGCTCGAGCGCTCTGGCGTCTACCACAAGGCCGAGGAGGCACTCGTCGAGCTGATCAACGTCGGCGCCATCGAAGAGCGTATTCGTGAGATTCGCCGAACAAAGATTGGGCCTGAGGCCGCTGAGTTGGAGAGACTTCGAGGCGCCAAGACCGACGAAGAATACGCGGCCGACACGGCGGCCCGGCAAGCCGAGCGCACCCGCATCCGAGACGAATTACGACGAAAGGAAGAGGCGATTATTGAAGAGAAGCGCCGCATAGCGCAGGAGGAGCGCAAGAGAGAGGAGCGGGAACGGGAGCTGGCAGAGATCAAGCGGCAAGATGAGCGTGACGAACGCAGACGCAAACGCGAAGCGGAACGCGAAGAGCGAGAACGACTCCGAGACCTCGAACGCGACAAGCGCCATAGGGAGCGCGAGCGCAGGGATAAGGAGCGCGAATCGGAGCATAAAGACAAGGGCAGAGATGATGATCGCGAGCGAAGCCGTGACCGCGACCGCGATCGAGATAGGGATAGGGATAGAGACAGAGACAGGGACAGAGACAGGGACAGAGACAGGGACAGAGACAGAGACAGGGACAGAGATAGGGACAGATCTCGCCGTCGCGATACGGAAATCCGGGCTGTGGAGAAAGAGCCCAAGGAGCTTTCCAAAGAAGAGCTCGAGCGCCTTGAGCAAGAGGCCTTGGATGATCTGATTCGCGAAAGCCGCTCCACGCACAGCCGACCAGAGGTCGAGATTGACTCAGCACTTGCGCCACCACCTCGCAAAACCGCTCCCGCCTCCGCAATCGACCCTATACGACGCGAGTCTGGCCGTGGATCGGTTAGGGGCGACTCCAGGACACGCCGCGACAGAGGGGAAGGGGACTCGTCCGCGCCGCGTGACGAGCGACGAGTCAGCCGCAGTGCATCCCGTACGCTCGACCGAGAGACCGACAAGCGACGAGACAGGAGCAAAGATAGGAGCCGCCGCGATCGCCGCTCCAACTCGCCCCGGCGAGAGCGCAGCCGCTCGAGAACGCGACGAGACAGATCCCGCTCACGGCTCAGGCGCGATGAACGAGACCGCAGCCGGTCGCGTGCGAAGATTGCGGATAGAAGCCGCTCACGCCGCCGGGACCGCAGCAGGTCGCGCGCCAGGACGCCACCGCGCCGTCGGGAGAGGAGCCGCTCTCGCGACAGACAGGATGACCGCAGTGCCCGACGAGACCGCGACCGCAGCAGAAACCGCGACGACAGCCGCGCCAGGCGGGATCGAGACCGCGACCGCAGCAGAAACCGCAGTCGTTCCCGTGACAGGCCTACAGGAGAGCGTTACGACCACTACGACCCTCGAGCGGCTGCCGCTGCTCGTTCGCCTCCGCGCCGCCGTAGCAGGAGTCGCGATCGTGACCGGGACAGAGATCGCGTCGATCGCGACCGAGACAGGGACCGCGGCCGCGACCGCGACCGCAGGAGCCGTTCCCGGTCGACACACCTGCGCACGGCCTCGGCCACGCGCGAGGAGCTCGAAGCGATCAAGCTCGAAGAGGTCAAGAAGCGCGAGAAGGAGGCCAAGGCATATCTCGCAGCACAAAAGGACGCGAGGGCCAAGGGTCTCCCCATTCCTGGCGTCGATGACAGGCGCCGCGACGAGCGCCGATCGCGCAGTCGCAGCGCGGAGAGGAGCTCTTTCCGCGACCGCGACCGGGATCGGGATCGGGACCGGGACCGAGATCGAGATCGCGACAGGGACCGGGACAGGGACCGGGACCGTGATAGGGACAGAGACCGTGATAGAGATCGGGATAGAGACAGGGACTGTCGCGAGAGGGATAGGGATAGGGATAGGGATCGTCGTGACAGACGAGAGAGAAGCACGTCCCGCCGTCGTGACAGGCGAGAGCGCAGTCGAAGCAGGCGACGAAGCCGCAGCCCATAAGCCTTGGAGCATGTGCAAGATCAACTGTATAATAGGATGCACAGGAGGGAGCTCGTTTAATCACAAAGGCAGAACAATAATAAAGAGCTACTCACGACATGATATCGAAGCACAGGGGCCACCATTTCCTGACGCGCTGGCGTGAGCATGGCTCACAGGAGCTCCTCTGTCGTCTTGCATCATATCAAGCCATAGGTTGATACGTGAGTGGATTGGGTCGCAATGAAGGGTAATGAGTTTACTTCATGTGGATTGGATATGTAGGGCCAGTAGCTTCATGCTTAGTTACTGTATCTCCAATTTCATACTATATGAAGCTGACTTCCATAATAAGGAATCAAAGATTATGTCCCCCAGTCGGCAAGGTGGACAAGCAAGTGGCTTCATATGTCGTTCAAATAACCCAACAAAGCGGCTTTAGATCAGAATATAGACTGCCTAACAGTGCGGCGTCAACATTCGCGACTTTAAAAACCTATTCACATGTATAGGGTGAGCTGTGCCCACACAACCGCTCCCCACCGCGAACTGGGGCAGCATTTGGGTAACAGTTCTTTCATCAACAGCCGAGACCTCAGTTTATACATGTGTGCGCAAAAAAGCATATTCAGACCCCCCGGATCCCTCCACGGCAGCCACCAGTTTATCTTCCCCCAGGACAAACCCGGCTTGGAATCTTGAACCGCGCATGACTGGAAGACAGCAGCGAGCTGCGATAGTTATTCGAGCCTGCAGCTCAGGTACTCCGCCCTCCCTCATCAGCCCACTCTCGAGCGCCAAAAGCAAAAATAGTGCCAAAAAAGAACAGATGCAAAGCTCGGAGCCGGGATCGAACCGACGACTTCAGGATAACTGGCCAAAGGGGGATCGTGAAATCCCATGTCTTCGCTGCAATCCCGTACTCTACCACTGAGTTATCCGAGCCAAGGTGGAGTCGGGCCAAGCAATTGTGCACTATACGCGGCTGCAACAATGGCACCAGCAATTTGACTTTGGGCGCGAGAGAAGGTCTGGGCTCGTCATCTGCACCTTGGCGACAAGGAAAGTTGCCATTCCCGTGGATTTATGGGCATATAGCTTTGAAATAGCCTTGCTCCTCGCTGCCTACCATCGCCACGAGCGATGTATGATTGTTCTAAAAAAAAAGAGAGAAAGAATAGAAGATGCGGATGATGTATAACAGAAGCTTCCGGTTTTCCCGATCCTACATAGCTGGCTCATTCTAGGGTGTGTGGGGCGTAGAGGGGGGACTTGCAGAGGTACCTTAGCACCAATATAATGCGTTATTGCTAACCGATTACCAAGCTCGGATAACTCAGTGGTAGAGTACGGGATTGCAGATCCTGAAGTCGTCGGTTCGATCCCGGCTCCGAGCTTATCAAAAGTTGTTTCTTTTTTTTTGATCTTTGGCCCCAACCAAGTCAATTCTGTTTCTTCCCCTTGGTCGGCTGTTTTTTTATTATTATTAATTTCCTTCCTTTCTCCTTTTCATTTTTCTTTTTGTCTGTCGACTGTGTCGCATTCTTGTTGCTCTCAACGTAGTCCATGCAAGCAAAGCACGGCTTACAACCGATGTGATGCGACTTACATACATAGCCAAGCCCATGAGATTTAAGTGTTCCTGCAACCGCTTCCAAGCCCGGGTACTTGCTCCGTCCTTTACGTTCTTTTATATCAACTCGAAGGAGGAGACAGTGGTGTCAAGAACCCTCGTGAATCATATTGCTTACCCATACAAGCTTGGCGCAGCACCTACGACGGCATGCTTTGAGCTAAGCAATGCGATGCAACTTTGTGACCAAGCTCGCCCATCTGCGGCCTTCCACAGCCCCCCTCCTTAAAGAATCGTTGCTTCATCACACTAGCGGTCTTTTCATGAACCTGTGATTGTTTAATCCTTCTCTTCCAGAAAGGATAAGGCTGATGATCCAGCCCCCTCATCCCATGCCACCGCTTCTGCAGCCGAGACATGCATGCCCCAATCCTCTTTCCATTTCTCTGCTCAGTCTCCTTACGCCGCACGCGTCCTAACCATGTCGCAGCTCTGTGGTGCGCTTCTACTGGCCGCCGCCGCCGCCGCCGCCGCCGCCGCCGTCACGGGCGCATCGGCCGCTTCCTGCCACGGCTTCGCGGGTACCTGCGGCCGGGCCATTGCGCGCAACGGCACGTCGGGCCACCCCGGCCCGGATATGCTCGTGTACGCGACGTACTGCTTCGATCAGGCGGGCGAGCGCAACTACAACCCGACGGTGGAGATCAACACCTGCCTGTCCAACACGTTTGGGCGACTGACGCCTGGGACCGGGTGCGTTTTCTTTTTCCTTTCCCCTTTCAGCTGTTGCAGTTTGGGATGACTTGAGCCAAAATTGCTCCAATGGAAGACTGACAATGAACAGCTTCGCGTATAGCTGCCGCGACTTTGGCATCGACCCAATCGCCTCCGTGCCTAATGTTTTCTACGCAACGTGTGCCGATGGCAAAGGCAATGAAATGAAAACGCAAATCGATCTGAGTATGTACAAGACCACCCTCCCTCCTCTCTACCCTCTGCTAATTCAGAATTAGACCAAGTATTGTGTAATATTAACGGCAATCTCGCTTGCTTCTGAGTACATCCTATAATTACATATCTCCAGATTGCTTCATCTTTCATCATGTTAGCCGCCGTAAATAAGGATTTTCCTCTTCTATGCTTCAATAAATCGCTTGATTCTACACCAAAAAGAAATACCCCATGGGGTGATAAAAAAGACAACCATAGTCCAAACACCAAATTTCCAAAATCAAGATACCTAACCAGATTCCTTGTATTCCGTAGATCTAACCAGTTCGTCTAATGCGCACCTAATGAGGTGGGGATGGTGGTGGGCACCGAGTTTACCCACATGCAGAGGACAGCGATAACGAAGAGCAAGCCAACGACGGCACTGCCGAGAACAATATAGCGTTTGGTAAGCAGGCCGCCACGGACGCCACCGGGCGAGCCAGGGACGGCGCCATAGGAGTTCATGGTGGCGGAAACGTAAGCAGTAGTGTTGTTGTAAACCTTGACGACATTGTCGTAGCCGAGGGAGTAGTAGGTGAGGCCGAGGAGGGCGATGCCGTAACCGACAGCCTGGAGAAAGGTGATGGGAGTCTTCCAGATGACGACGGAGACGGCGACAAGCAAAATGGCCTTGAGAATGCCAGTCAAGGTTAGAACGAGACCGGACGTCTTGCCAATGAGAAACACGCTGGCAATGTTGAGCATGAAGGCGACGCTGGCGTTGAGAAAGAGCATGGTAAAGCCGGTGTTGACGAGATCTTCGTACTTGAAAGTGCTGACTTCGGTGAAGAGGGCGACAAAGATGTTGAAGAAGGCGCATACGGGGGCATAGTAGTAGAGAGCAACCAGAGGGTCCATCTTCATTCCCTCGGCCGTCAGCATGACCTGGATCATGACGAGGCGAATCGCCTCAAAGACAATACCGAGCATCTGGTAGATGAAGCCGATCATGGAAAAGTTAATTTCGCCAAAGCTGGCGACGGCGACGCCAACAACAATGACGAGAATGTTGAGAAACTTGGCGAGATCGGGCTCGGCGACGCGGAAGATCCACGACGTGAAGAGGACGGCGACGGGGGAGCCGGCCTTGAGCATTTGAGTAAATGCGACGGAGAGGTAGAGGTAGACGAGGTTGGAGAAGACGAGGGAGCCGGTGTAGAGGACGCCGATGGGAACGATGGTGCGGAGGTACATGCGGCCGTTAATTGGGAGAGACTTGCGGCTGTCAAGGAGGTTCGTGGTGCGGGCGAGGATCTGGGTGGCGGCGGTAGCAAAGACTAGATGCCAACATGTGAGGATAATGGCTGTGAAGGTTAGCGGGATGATGCGGAGGCAGTGGTCGGCGCGGAGGGACGCCGAGGCAAGACGTACGGTATCCTAGAATTGGACGTTAGCATGGAACGAGACACGATTGGAAGGTTGCTGCGACTGAGGCGCGCGTGGACGTACGGAAGCCGGCAGTGTCGAGTAGCCATTTGTTAAAGAGAATGGTGGCATTGGAGAAGAGAATCCAGTTTCTATAGAATAGAGATATCTGTATCAGTACCACGATGCGGGGAGCGGGAGCGGAAACGGGCGTGACCAAGAGCAGGGCGAGGGAAGACATACAGAATGAAGAGCGAGGGGTGGAGGCCCGAGGCAGCGGCCGGAGCAGGAGCCTTTTCGGCCGTGGGAAGCGGCGTGTCGCTAGATGAACGAGGCATGATGACGGGCAAAGATTCGTGAGGTAGTAGCGATGTGCGAGGAGCCAAGAAGATTCGCGATGATGTGCGTATGCGCGCGATGGGGATCTGCGACGAGGCCCAGCTTTTTTTGGTGACTTGGTCTCTTGTTCTCGATCGATCTGAGAGCAAATGGCGTCAGGTGTAGATGTGATGTATGAATAAAGTAACACGACAAGACGAATCGAATCGAAGCGGCAGCAGGCCGATGGGAAGAGCAAACGAATGTAGAGATGGGCAAAGAAAATAGAATGAAGCTGAAAAAGAAAAAGGGGACTGTAGATAGGAGATGGCGGCGCGTCAGGTCAGGTCAGGAAGGAAGGGCTAGACTAAAATAGTGCGGACAGAGTAGGGGAAGAAGGAGAGAGAGGTTCAGCCGAGAGCAGCGGAGCAAGCTAGTCGTCGTTTGGTGTCGCGAACGGCACAGCAGACAGGCTTGTTTTGACAGACGGAGAGACCAGAGACAGAGGGAGGGGCAAAGAAAAGGGAGGGAGAGACCCCTGGATTGAGGATTGAGGCTGGTATGCTGCTGACTTGACTGGCGGAGGCCGCTGTGTGGGCTTGGACAATTTTTTTTTGGCTTCTGCTAGCTGGGCCTGGCTGGGCTGCTGCTGGGCCTGGCTGGGCTGGGGCTGGTCTGGGGCTGGTCTGGTCTCTCTGGAAAGTACCGACAAGGCTGCGTGGCGTCGCTTCTAGGGTATCCCTAGTGGTGGGGGGGAATGACAGGCAGACTGATATAGACAAGGTTTGCTGATGACAACACGCTGGCAAGGAAGAGAATGCAAAAAAAGAAAAAAAAAAAGAAGAGATGGAAAGATGAGTGCAAGGGACCATGAAGGGATTATATATTACAGTGGAATTTATGCCATGTTTTGACATGCCCCCCTCGGCATCCAAACCCGTCCCTGTCATGTCCCTGCCATCTCCGCGGTCTGTGTGGCTGATGGGACCAGCCCCGGCAGGGGATTTGCCTCGCTAGGCTGCACCCTTGTAGGGCATTTCACGGCTTGCAGCCCGCTAACAGCCGCATGCGCCACACCTGTCCGTGAGCTCCGTCGACGTCGAGACTGGCGCTGCCACCGCAATGCCATCTCGTATTTGCCCTACGCTCGGATGAGGCATTAGTGCTATGTTGCAAAAGAAGCCTTTTCTACTCCTCGGTTACGCGTCTCAGCATACGAAGATGAAAAAGCGTTCGATTTAATAAGTTTCTGGCGTCGGGTTGTCGCCGATCTCGATATGCTGCAAGCCAAGCGTTTCAAGTAAAAAAAGAAAAAGAAAAAGAAAAAAAAGAAGACACAACTAGACTTGAAAAATGCTACAGTTTTCCTTGAAAACTAGACCATTAAATCATCTAGTAACAGTTTTTTGCGGAGGTGGACTTTGATGCGCTGACGACTTGGAGAGAGTATCACCGTATGTGCAGCACCTTACCAACTATATCATAATTCGCATAATTAGAGCCGCTGAAGAGTTTTTCGCATACACCAAGAAGTGCGCAACAGTTGTCCGAATTCGTCTATTGTTTCGCATGGAACTGCTGAACAGCGGTAGTTGGCATGTTGTTCGGCATAGCAACTGTAAAACAGCTTAAAGACAGAAAAAAAGCGGCTTGAAACACAGCAGGTAGCCATGCTCTTTTCAATGCCACGTAGAACCCGCGCGTTTGCTGCTGTACATCATGCATCATGTGACGCAATTCGTTACCCCTCCGCTTGCGCCTTCGTCCAAGGTCGCCGTCTACCTGAATGGCCTGTATTGACTCGTCGGGCATGTAACTACTCGACCCTTATCAGACAGAGCCTCAAAGATTGTCCTGAATCGCAACCAGCTGCGCGACTCGCCTCCGAAACTGGTCACAGTTTCAACCAGCCAATGGAGCGGCTTTCAGGAACGAGCTGTACCCCCAGCATGTAGAACCATAGTGGTCAAAATTGGGTAGAAACAGCACGTGTTCGACGCCGTACGTGGGACGATGCGGTCGGTCGGCTACACAGGCGGCAGGTGCGGCTCTTATCAGATGTCAGCGTTTATGTTGCACAAGTCTGTTCGACCCCTCCTTTGCGACAACACAATCATTTTTCCCAAAGAAAACCACAATGAAGCATGGAATGCGCACATGAAAACGCAGAGCGATACGCAAAACACCTGGCTTACAGTGCACTGGCCCTACCCAATTCTTTGGATTCCCCGTGGGATGGACACCCACACTGGGCAGTTGTATGTACCGACAAACAGAACTACCCAAGTTTCTAGGGCATGATGTCCTTCCCATTTTCAATATGACGTTGTTAGATCGTACCAGGCGCTAGTAGAAACAACAATTCAAACCCCCGATTGACCAATTGGAGGCTATATATACCGACGTTCTCTGCCTCATCGATTCATCCCATCTTTCCTCTCCATCACTCAACCACAATTTGCAACAAACACACTACTTATCCAACCATCTCATTCTCCACATTCAAATAAAACACAGCAAAGAAAAAAATGGCTCGCTTTACTACCATTTTCATCACCACTCTCGCCGCGGTCGTTGCAGGCAACCCCGTCAGCAGGGCCCCCGCCGTCACCGAGGCCGCCCACCTCCACCAGAGGAACACTGCACCCGCCTCGACCCAGAGCGGTGTCGCACCGGGCTGTACGTCTTCAAGCGCCGAGCAAAAATAACACCAACATGCACGAATTTACCCTAATTGACTTTTTTTTTCTTTCATCATTCAGGCTCTTCATGGACTGAGGTCAAGAGCGGCGACAATTGCGGAAAGATAGCCACCGCAGCTAGCGTGCCAGTGGCCAGCATGTAAGTGAACCTCGGAAAAACAGAACGGTTCCGACATACACAAGCCCCGGATGCATGGTTAACTTTTATAAACACGTAGTCTTGCATGGAACAAAGGTGTTGGGGCAGAATGCAAGACGCTCATGCTCGGATACGGCGTCTGCATCGGCGCTCCGGCGGGAGCCGGCGGCGCGGCCGCTACCGCCACCGGAGGA